TACTAAAATTCAATTTTAACCAAAAATTTGAACGTCATTCCATTATCTATCTACATAGTCAATTCGAACTATAGATTCAAAGAGATTTACTTGGCTTCGAATCACTGTTCAAGTTGCATAATCATACTAAAATTACATGATCGTCGCTGACGGAGTGTTCGACAGATGGGGAAATACTATTTTAGAATCGTATACCTCAAATATTTGCAATAAACATACAATTTTATTATGGGAAAATAGTCTTAAAATATGTATATTTGACCCATCAAATTATTTTTCATTCTTCGCTTACTTATTTATTTACAATTCCTTTGTTTAATTTAAAATATTAAATTTTCAATAAATTGATCTTAGAATATGAAAATCTATCTTCATTTTAATTTTCTCTTTATTTATTTATTTTAATTGGTGCAAATTTGGTCCAATTAGATAAGATATTATAATTACATATATTTGGGTAACTTATCTCTGGGTCATTAACACAATTTCACTGGGTATTTATCTACTTTTTATCACTGATAATCACCAGTGAATATATGCTGTACGAATTTCTCCTAATTGGAAAGGTAAACTTCACTGACTGTGAGATTATCTCGAAATTAAATTATGTGCAAAGGACTACTAGCATAATGAAGCGGTTAATGATTCATCTGAAAATTTAAATTTAGGTTTGGTAGAATTAAGAAGATTTACATAAGACTATTGCATAACAAACAGCTGATTTCGAAACATGAAAGCAATTAAATGATTTCATGACAGAAAAGTATCGGAAAATGGCACTTATGGTACATCGAATTTAAAGCTTAAGATTCAATGAAAATGATAAATATGTAGTTTTATCAAAATTCTCAATACAAAATGATTTAATTAATAAACATTCATATCTCCTGAAAATTTCCTAAGTAAACCAACTAATAAATCCACGATTGCCTAGCATCAGAATACAAAATGATAATGAATTGATACGAAGATACTGTTAAACATACGATAGTTAATAGCAATTCATTGGCAAATTGAAAAATAAAGAATTCTGACGTATTTGAAATCACAGAAGATCAAGATTGTTGATTCTGAAGAAGAATCATGATAAGCCAAGTATTAGATAACAAGGTTTGTTCTCGTCGAAAGTGTCAAGAGCTACCTATTATATCAGGATTGATGATAACATCTGGGAAGTAGAAATACTATCGTGAGCACAGCCACAGATGAGGAACATCGACTAAAAGAGCCGATGATTAATTCATTATAGATCAATGTTGCCAAATTCAATGATTTTTCAACTTGAAAAATCAAACCTGTTGTTTGAAACCAATGAAGGACTCAATGTGAATAGAATAAGAATCAATTTTTAGGAGCGCGGACCTTAAAGAGGGACCCACTTTGAACTAGAAAAATCAAAGTCATTTCTCATGATTTTTGTTCTGGCTGGTGTATGTACACTGATCAAATAAATGAAAAATTTCTACTGTGATTGAATTTTTAACTTGATATTATAATAGAAAAAAGTTGAATTAAAGGATGGATTTTCATCGAACAACTCTGAGAATAAAAGGAATAAGCTTCGGCTTGAATTGCATCCGTTGAAAACGATCGAACTTTCATTCTAAAGTTTCATCTTCTCTTGGTATTTTAACTTTTTCTATTTTTCAGTGATGGATTTCAGATCTGCTGGAATTAAAACTCAGGAAAACTGGAATGGAAATTCAATTGAAAAAGAAATTGAAAATTTCTAATTGAAAACATCCTATCCTAATGCAAGCTACCCTTTATAATTAATGATAAATAAATTAATGATATTAATTCGTATAGTTGTTGTTTAAAATATGCTTCAAAAGTTTTAATATTCTATAATTCAATTCCAAATAACAATAAATATTGCAAAAATAAGAAATCGTATAAACATTAATCAATATCTCTTACAATGTTCATTATTTTTGCATTTTTACATAAAAAGTTATTAAAAATGTTAGGAAATACATACTTGAAACTGAAAAAATGTTAACAGATAGATTTATCAGTTTTTCTGAAAAACATTCCCAAAGATGTTCGTGTTTTTGACTCTTCGCAGACACGCTATACACAATGGTATTTAATCGACATCGAAGGCGAAACGTTACATAAGAATGGAACAATAAAATAACGCAATTGACCGCTTTTCATGCGTGGAATTGCACTTGATCGACATTCAATAAATAATTAATTTCAATTTCGAGAGAGCAAAAATGGCGGACAAAAACCATACAGTGCTAAGTTTCAGATCTATCATGTAAAAAATACAGAGCCAACGAAATTTTCGTGCATTTCTATGAATTTTAGAATAATTCTCAATTGAAACACTAGCCAAATTAATGTTAGGTTTTAATATGAGGAATTTCCAATTTAGATTTCAAATGGCACAAGTTCTCAACGAAAAGTTGAGAAACACTGGGCCTATAGAGAGTATGGCAGACAAAAGACAAACGTAAAGTACGTGAAACACAAAGAGGAACAAATTGTGATTACCGGCATGCGTGTTCACGTAACGGATGCAATTTACCACTTTACAGTACGAACTTGAACGAAGATGCTTTCGATGCGATTACGTAAGTATTTATACTACGAGAATATTTAAAATTATATAAAACACTCTCTAATAAATATTAACACTTTGACAATATTTGTATAATTTACGTTGCTAAACTACTCAATTTTATCAGTTAATAAATTCTATTAAGTTTCTATTAGTTTTCAAAACTAAAGAAAGCGACAAACCGGATGGCGTCAAAAGATGAATGGAACTTCAGGCATTAATGTCCTTATTACGTGATACCGGCCATCAAAGTGTTAATATCACAATTAGGACTTGATGATTCTATAATCATTCATAAATCAGCTTATTATCATCGCGATCACAGAAAAGTGATACGTCTTATCTCTTGAAATCCGAAGTATTCGTTACCGAGTAATCACAATCAGATATGATTCATTGCTGAAAACGCAATGATTAGAAGCAACTGTCTCATTCATAATGAAGCTCGATAATTATTTAATGATTTTTTTTCTTGATAGGTACACTTAGATATCACTGTTAGATGAGATTCTTTATAAATACATGGAACAGATTTTCTATTTACTTGATAGTTTCTCCAAAAACAAAAAAAAACAAAAAAAGAAAAGAAAAATAAAATAACAAGTTTATTTGAAATGGCCAAGAAAGGTGCCTCATTATAATCCTAAATTTATATCCACCTATCTTAAATTGGCAACGAAATACCGAATTTCCCATTCAGATAATTATCATGTTAGCAAGTGTGTCAGTAGTACCAACATTATACTGTTACGTATATTATGCAGATAGAACCGTGGCCAAGATTCGACCATTTCTAAGCGTGGTTCTTCGCCAAGAATTTCACATCTCTTTGCCTCAATCTATCCTGTTTATATTTAAAAAAAAAAAAAATTTCATTCATACAAAATGGTTTATGCTTGTATTATGCACCGTGGCCGACTCCCCTGGGTCAATTTGACCCATTGTGCACACGATGCGAGTCTCGTAATGCAATGTTATTTGTGTTACGTCCTCCATTTCATTCTCCCACTCACTCTTTTCCTCCGATCGTTAAATCCTGTTTCGAAGGAGGACGAAAATGGAAAGCAACCATACATGTCTCTCCCCCCTTTCACTCTCTCAACGATCAGCTGATCTGAAACCATGACCATGCCACCAGAACCAACGTCACTGATACGAATCGTGTACCCTCCCTAACTGGTAAGGGAGGGGGCACCTATGGTCGTCCTGGGTTCTCTCAGTTAAGGATCTAACTGTCCTTGTACTTTATTTGTGAGGGCAGGAGGGTTTAGATTGGATTAGGTTAAGTTCTTCTTAAATTGAAAGCAAATGTACAGTCAGGAGCAATGTAAGCTCCATTGGGGTGAGGATAGGGGTCAGGTAAGATTTCTTCCATCATTTGCCTTCAGTTTTGGGAGAGTTTAACCTATAATTCTATGTTTTAGGACATCGAGGATAGATTTACGTTAGATTTTTCTTAGGTTCTCCCTAAATTGAAGGCAAATGTGAATTTGGAAACAAAGAAGCTTCGGAGAATAAGAGTCGGAGAAGGTACCTTCCTCCATTTTAATTAAAATTTAGGAGAGTTTAACCTCCTGCTTTCAAAAATAAAGGGCTTGGACATTATAAAAAGCCTAAATGGCCGAGCACACTAGCCTTCCTTAAGGAAATGGCGACAGAAGGAGGCTCCACCACTCGACTGCCCTAGTGTTATCCTTCCAATTATATTAAAGATTAACACTTGACAGCTTTACCTGGGTATGATGCCCATTAGTTACTCGATAAATTTCCAATTTACGACCCAACTACTCTTCTCATGCAAAGCAGGCATGAATGCCCCTTATGGTGGGCCTCCTGCCCATTGCATTCCTTCGCCTTAGGGAGGGCCACCGCGTTTGGCAGTGTCACTATGCGACGCATGCTTGTTCCATTGTGCAACCATGAGTTATTAATTAAATAATAGTAATCAAATTCCGAATTTTGCTACTGCTGCTGTTGCTGTACTGTTCGAACGATCTCATTATTGGCCCATCCCTTGCACGATCAGGATTGTCCGTATACGTTTACTAAAAGTGCAGGCTCTATATAAAAGATAACGTTGCTTATTAATTTTTTTTTTTTTTTTTTCTGTTTCTTTTGCGCACAGCAACATAAGGCGATATATAATACTCTTACAATGTATCTATGTACGAACGCCGGTGGTCCTCTATTAAAAACGTTCCAAAAATGAATCCTTCTGTATTCTCTTCGTACTCTGCCGATCGTAAATACTCTCACTCTCTCTCCTATCGTTTAAGGTACAATAATTCAACAACGAGCATCTGCAGCCAGTATATAACGAGTATTTTTTTTCTTCTTTTTCTATTTTTTTTTTTTTTCTTCACAATATACTATAATAAAGATCTCTCTCTCTCTTTCTCTTTCTCACACACACACACACACACTCACTCACTCTCTCTCTCTCTCACACACACACACACGCGCACGCACACGCACAGTCTCTCTTGTTTGATGAAAAAAAGAAAATTAATCGTGTGACGACTAGCAAAATGAAGATGCTCGTACGACAAATAGACAACAATGCACGACATGAGACAATTTGATCTCCTCTCTTTCGGCTGTGCTAAAAAGAGGCTGAGGGGCCCGAAGAACATTCACATAGGTGGCTATTTATGTACAAAATAATCCCGGTCGAAGCTAAACTTTACACGCGCCATCTTTAGGGAACACACATATATTGAAAAAAAATTGAATTTTTCTCTTGTAAAAGTGGTGTTGGTTAGTGTATGCGTGTGTGTATACGCCTGGCCATGTGTGCCCTAATACACACACACAAGCATACTCTTACTCAGATTATAATTCCATCTTACTTCGTCCATCTCTCTCTCGCGCTTAATACAAAGCGTTACACGTGTGATCATCATCATCTTCGTAGGATCATTGGAACTTCAAAATTCGGCGAACTCCTTAGCACACTTCTCCGTCAGGGAGATCCTCAGGGTCTCCTCCTCGTAGTCGTCAAAGTTGCTCGTATCTCCGGGCCCCTTGCATTTCGGGATGAAGGGGGCCTCGATTTTCTTTTGGAAGACTGCTATCCAATCGGTACTGGCGAACCACTTGTGGCCCTTGATGTCGTTCACACCAGCCTTCAGGTTGCCATACCTTTTGGTCAGGTCGACTTGCAGCAAGTTACGGAGCAAGTCCTTTAAGTCCGAGCCGAAATGTGAAGGAAAGCGAGGTTTACCGTTCACGATCTTTTCGTAGATCTGTATCGGCTGGTCGGCGAAAAATGGCGGATAACCGGCCGCCATCTCGTACACCAGCACACCCAGCGCCCACCAATCGACAGCCTTGTTGTAACCTTTGCTGAGGATTATCTCGGGCGCTAGGTACTCGGGGGTGCCGCACAGGGTCCATGTTCGGCCCTGCACCCTTTTGGCGAAGCCGAAGTCGGTGACCTTCAGGTAACCCTGCGAATCGATCAACAGATTCTCCGGCTTCAGGTCCCTATAGATCAGGTCGAGGTAGTGTAGGTATTCGAAGGCCAGCACGATCTGTGCCGCATAGAAGCGTGAGTGGGGCTCTGAGAAACGACCGACCTTCCTAAGGTGGCTGAACATCTCACCCCCCGGTACATATTCGAGGACCATGTACAGGTACGAGTTGTCCTTGAAATGAAACCGTAGGGAAACGAGAAACGGGAAACTGATAGCCTGCAGTATCCTCTTCTCGTTCAATGTGTGCTCGACCTGCTTCAGTTTCACCACCTTCTGTTTGTCTAGGATCTTCATGGCATAATACTCTTTAGTCGGTTTGTGTTGAACGATCATGACCCGACCGAATGAACCGGTGCCAAGAGTCTTGATCCGCTCGAAATCATCGAGACCAGCAGTGTTGGTTGGATTTTTCTTCCACTTATCTTCGAACTCCTTCTTCGCCTTGTCGAGGAACTCCTTCACGCTCTCGGCGGCGTCGACCTTCTTATTAGCGGTCGCAGCATTGTTGCCCATCTTAGCAGCCGCGCTGGTGCCCGAGCCGGCCGGGGCTCTACGCAGCTCGAGAAGTTCCAGAAGACTGCGTCTTCGTTTTCCTTTATCCTTTACCGTAGCCGAGCCTGAGGCTCCGCCGTGCTCCGGCCTCCTCAGAATTTTTCTGCCCACTGTACACACCTTCGACCGATGACCTACTATCGTCCGGCCCTATGTCACACCGTCCAGCAGGCCACTAACACTCAGCAGGGCACACACGGTGGCTTATTTTTTCACTTAAGGCCGCCCTTACGAGCAACACCTAGCGATTTCGCGCGGAAAAATGGGTCAGCATTAATTCTCGTCCGCGCCTCGCGCCATCTTCCCTGTCAATCGTACTAGCCCGTCGTTCGCCGTCTACTACCGTGCTCTCGGTCTTTCTTATCCGCCTCCTTTCATGCACTCACCAATACACTGAAAACACACTGACTGGAGAGAATGTCGCTGTTCGATCGACTCTCAACCCTCCGACAGCTTGCGAAACTGTCGTCTGCTCTTCTGTACATACACGCCACTCACCACACTGAAATGAAAGTGTTAAACGAACATCGCGAACGACCGTGCGTTGTGTCTCTTCGCGCGACAGGAAACAATGTACACGGTATGGAGGCACTGGGCACACTTATCGAGACTTTTAAAGTTGGAAAAACCAAAGCAGTGAAGACAGTCAGTACCGTTCCTAAAGATGGCGACGCGGCTCGCTCACTCGTTCGTTCGGGATTTCGCACGGATGCGAAAATGACGAAGTGCCGCTCCACGAAGCGAGACAGCTACTGTACTGCACCAATCCACTGCTGATTCCGTTTACCACCGACAGATGTAGCGTGGACGGCAAAAAAGACAGCCTCGGATGGTGCTGCCACCGTACCACAGCGTCGACGTACTTTTAATTCAAAGAAAGTTGTTTTCCTCAAGGTTTTTTGTGAAAATTCTGCAAGAACGTAATATGATCAGGAGAATCTTCATAAGATATATGGATATATGAGACAAATGATAGGATTGAAAAAGCCTATAGGTGTTGTTCAGATTATTTCAATAGAAATATTCTTATACGAGCTCCTTGAATCTTCTTCTAATTACGCATGCGCATTAATTTAATAAATATAATATGCATTATGTGTAAATAACACTAATATAATATTTATATACAATATAATATTAAGGTATAAATTACATTTCATTGAGAAAATAAAATTTTCAAGAATTCTGAGGATTTTGTATTTCTTTCCCAGATATATTCAAATATGCCGCGTAATAGCTGTCAATGGCGACCAGGCATGCACCATAGACAAAGACGAAAGTTGGCATTATGCAGCATTGTTTTTCCATCTCTATAAATACATCACACTCTTCTTGGATACAAAATATAGACAGAAAGATACCTTGGGAATTTTAAGGCTTTTGTACTTTCCGCCACAGAGATGTTCAGATATAGCGCGCAACGCCATTCAATAAGCGATTCCGCATGCGCAGTTGAGCAAGGATACAAAATGCCATTATGCAGTGTTCTCTTTTCATCTCTACGGATAGACATAGGTAGTCTTTACAGATAAAGAATAAGAAAAACTAAAAACATTGAACTCTTTTTTTAATTAATAGAAACTCATAGCTATCATTAAGGTTATTTTAATTGATTTTTTTTTTTTTTGTATAAAAGACAACCAAAAATACTATACGCATGCGTCTATAAAATTGATTATAAATCTTATTTTGTTTAAGATTCATGATCAATAATGAATTTCCTTGACGTCATTAATGAATAATAAAAATTATAGTGAAACAAAGAAAAGTATACTGAGGTATGATAAAGTTTTGGGTTAAGGGTAACCGTGCATCCCCCACCACACCATTCAAACTAATTTTATAATTAATTTGAATTATTTCTTTTATAACTGAAAGGTTATGGCGTCGTTTAATCTCATGGTTAGTTAGAAATTAATCCGCCGTTCACAGTTTATCATTAATTCGGTGGTTTTCATGGCTATTAATAATAATCGAGCGGTTTTGTAGCGTGGTATTGAACCGTGCCACGCGCACGGAAGGTTGAACACTCGCTGACCTGTGATAATCCTTTAGCGATTAGTTTCTAACTGTAGATAGGGCAATTTTAGAGCGGCGAGAAAGCTACTATAGGTGGAGGCAGGGGACGAACCGGTTACCGTGCGATCAGGTCAGGCCTTTTCGGATACACACTGTATTTTTGTGTGAAGACCCGGTAAAAGACACTTCAACGTGTTTCTTCGGTTTTGTTTCTACCCTATGGGATGCGCGCGACCGCTCGCTCTATCGATTCCATGACCCGAGCTTGTGCCAGTTTGAAGGAAAGTAAAAATTAGGATTGCATTACTTTCCCTTGGCCACTTTCTAATACGCCGCAGTAAAGGCACGCAAAAGTAGGAATTTAGTCCAGCGAAATGAAAATTTAGACGCGTCATTCTATCTTTAGTTTGACACTGCAAAGTCCGTGGAAATATAGGTTACTGTCATCGAAATAGCCTGCGCCTGAACACTTCCACTGACCCACTAAATTTAATTTAAGACGAATACCTGATTACCTTCAAATATTTATTTTGGAACAGAGACATTCATATGAAGGACAAAATAAATACGCCTTCCATGAAATTCTAACTCCATGTTTTATTGTAAGGAAGCATCTGCTTTCTTCACCTGCACGAAGCAGCTGCCTCGTATTATCTTCGTGCTTACGTAGGCCTCTGGCACGTGGTATAGAATATACATATGTATTTTCGAAACTGACACGTTTGCACAATTTTTTGCTAACCCATAGATTTACCTGTTGTGCCTCGTTAACTTTCCCTTGTCTCGTATTGACCCTACCTAGGCAAAGCATTATTTCGTCTAAGAACATAGGCAACCTGTAACATGGACGTACATAAATGCAACGGAGCCTTTCGATGCGTAGATCAACCTGAAAGCATCGCGCACCTTTTAATATACACCGGAAACGGGGTCGCACGCGAATCTTCTAGAACCTTCCTTACCCCCTTCCCATTTGTACATAACCTATACTGTATGTAACATTTTATTACAATCAATCCATCTTAAATTTTATGTAGAATTGAATAGTAAGTACTTTTGAGAATAATTCTTAAGGAATATGGTCGGCAGCGCCGGAAGCGCGGGGATTTTTTATGGGTTTTGTAAGAAACCCTCTGATTGGTCAATACAGAAACATGGTGGGACGAAACTACCATTTAAGATATTCCTTATTTCAAAAAAGAAATAAGATAATATAAGAATAAATTATGTAAATTAATAAATTGTTTAAATTCTTAATATTATTTTTTCAGGAAAGTATATTGAGTATGGTTGTATTTATAATTAAATTATAGCGCCAAATTTATACGTCTTTCTGTTGGAATAAGAAGTGAGGTTAGGAAATATTCCTTTGTATGGGGATCAAAAAGTATATTAATTCCAATTGTATAAATATTTTTTTTTGGAAATTGTATTTGCGAGAAATGGCTGATGTGTGCGCCATCTGTAAACGAGCGGGAAAGAAAAGTGTTTGAAGGCCGCCGGCCTGCCGGCCGGGCCGAGTAACTCGGGTCTCGGGCGAATCAGTGTGCGAGTCTCTCTGCCATTTGCGCGTCGGTACGCGGTAGTGGTGATACCAGAATTCTACGTGTGCTTACCGGTGCGTAGAGAACGCAGCGTTTATTAAGTGCGTTTTCTTATCAGAGTGCATTATCGACCATATAAATAAATCGATCAGCATGGCGGATACAGAAACTAAGTGAGTATTTTGGAATAATATTGATTTCCAACGTCCAAAAAATCGCACGCTTCCGTTATCGAATTCAGTAACGAACAGGCGGGCTTGAACAGACTTTCCTCATTAACTTTCAATGTAAATATTTTGGTTTCTTTTTTTGTGTTATTATTATGATTGTTATAGTTTAGGAAAGTGTAAGTACATACGCAGTTTTGTACGCAGACACGAGAAAGGGACAACTGAGGGGCTAGGGGGAGGGGGGATGCCCTCTCTACGTGATATTCTCAGCTTGATTCGTAAGACGCGTTACGTTCTCAGGATTACCTGCTTTTCCCATCATACGTGTTCTACTTTTATTATTTTATTTTTTTAATAAGGCAATAACAATATTATAATTACATTTATTTTATTTTTTAATATAAATTCATCCTATTGGCTGTTTGAAGTTTATGGAAATTTTATAGGAAAATTTTTTAATTGATTGTACGCGCATCACCTTAAAAAGAAAATGGACAACGTATCGATCTGCTCTCCCTTACCAACCCGATATTCAAGATACTATTTTAATTTGTAGAAGAGATACATTGTATGTGTAGTAATAAAAAGTCGTGTTATTCAAGTTCCAACTGTTTCGGAAAAAATATCTTTGTGTAACATTGATGTGTATATTTACGGTCCACGACATCCACGATTTGCCGCGCCGAAACATTCTCTGTGTGTTTGCGTACGTGTTGGGAAGGGGGGAGGAAAGCGGGATAATATTAAACATCGGTAGGTGCCGCCACGGCTGGCGTCCTATCTCTGTTTCTCTCCTTTGTCGTTCCATCTTTGTTCAACAGCCGTGAAGTTTCGACAGGCGTAAGGGGAGACATTGGGTAACGGCCATTTTGCTTATTTAGCTCTCTGATTGGTTGATTCATAGCAGATCGGAAGCGAAAGAACGCGCGCGCGAAATTCGTAACACACTTTCAAATATTTTTCATAACAACTGTGTTGCAGATTTATTAGATGAATATTTAACACTAATTTATATATAATAAATATATGTTTAACTGATAAGGAGTTTATTGAACGAGTAAAATTATTTATTGTATACGAATATCCGAAATTGCGTTTGTATTAACGCGCTAAGCCAATCAGCAAAAAGCAACCAAAGTTCAAATATCATCTAAGCAATATGACTGTCGATATTTATAAAAAAAAAAGAGAGAAACTAATTTTAATTTTTGTATATTAATTTTCAGAGATACCAAAGTCACAACAACCCCTGAGAAAAAGGTAGTCGAAGAAAAAAAGGAAGTAGTAGAGGAAGTGGACGAAGATTCAAAGGCATCTGAAAACGGAGACGCCAAAGACACCAAAGAAAATGGTTCGAACGAAGAAAAGGAGGTAGAAAATAAGGAAGCGGAATCAACAGAGAATGGAGATTCTACAGGTAATATTCCATCTGTAAAATTAATAATTATTTAAACAATAGTATTAATCTGTTGTTTCATTTTGTAGATGCTCCTGCTGATAGTTGTTGTATAAAAAGGAAATCAACAACTCTAAGTGATTCAACAGAAGACACTGCCACTGATGGTGCAAGTCCTGAAAAAAAATCAAAACTCGACGATAAGTGTGCCGAAACAGAAAGCAACGGCGACGCGGAAGCTACGGCCTAATATTTTTTACGTTTCATTTAAACCATAGATGCAATTTTTACCAGTTAAAGTCGGAACATGAAAAATTTCTTATCTGTGCATCATTACTTTATGTATTAACGACTTCCTGTGTTCAGATACTTGTATGTACGTTTGTGACTGATTGGTGACAGTATTGAATATATCCACAGCATCATCATACATTATCTTATTCATGTTTTTTGTTTTACACACTGACGTCCATGTGTATATATATATATGAATATATATTTTCACATATAACGAAGATGCAATAAATATTACAAATAATATATTTCTGATACGTGAAAATAGATGATGGCGTGGTGCTTGATAAAAAAAAAAAAAAATGTATTAGGTGTAGAAATTAATTTGGTGCCTTATTAAAATCGTATTCTCGCACCACTTTTTAATTCTACCGAAGCGCGGGAAATTCAAAATGCTAAAGGCACAAAATTCATTTGTATACCTAATATATGAGAAATATTTCATTTTTTTCTGATGCACAGATATGACATACACCTCATATCGGAGATAGAAACAATATTTTTCTGTAAATCAAAATACATTCCTAAAATACATTGAAACTCACCCAGTGATTATTAAGAAAAATTCTGACAACAAAGCACACTGTTTTACAAACGTATAATTTAACCTTCACGAGTTGTCATGTGTTTGGGTGCGTTAACTTTGAATTTAAAGTATGTTTAATAAAAAATATGTACTATTCTTTAATCATCAAAATTCACTTTGTACTTTTTAGCAAGATACCTGACAATATATAAGTGTATGTACAAAAGCCATTGATGAGTAAAAACATTCAATGTTACATATCAAAAATTTGAACTTCGTGAAAAGTTTAAAGCAACCTAATGTATACTGTATAAATGTAATGTTAAACATTGTTTAAAATGAATAATTGGTTTATGTTTATAATGTTACATGCCTACTATTCAAATACAAATCAGATTGTCGTGTATTATTTTTCATGTAATAAATACTTGTGAATTAGGAATACATGGTTCATGTATTTACAAAAGAGTTGTTATAAACTATCTATGTACAAATAAAGGTCAAAAACATTTTCTATATGTTATAAAAATAATATATTAGACTCAGAATATGAATAAAGTTGTAGAACAATACATCATTGTATGTACTTAAATTATTTTCAAATTTTGAAATAACGATACTGAAGCGTCCTCTGCTGGTGAATTACATATTAAAAAATTCAAAGAATTCGTATCAGTATGTATGTATGTATGTACATACAATACACGCAATATCATATCAACGTGACCGGCCGCCGTGTGGCGGCCGGAAATTTTGATCGGACCTAACCAAACCCAGATATGCGAACCAATCAGAAGATAGGTAGAAACAATATGGCGTCGTACTAACCTGTCAAAGCACGCTAAATACACTTTTTTCACATAATCGTATTTTTTTAAAAAGTGGTTTCCTAAACTTTTAACTGGCATTTTCGAATGTTTCAGGTCGAAAACTATAAAATTTGATATTTTTTATATGTAAAAAGTAATTTTACAAAATGAGTTCAAAACCAGTATTCTCCAAACCTGGTAAGAATAATTATTCTGAACTTATAACCTGCACATTTTTGTATGGTTAACGATCATAACCTACACATATAATAAACAATGTTTAATATTATAGGAGATAGCATGTGGCAAGAAGATAAACCAGACATAGATGCCCATTCATCGACTCAATTCGTTTACAATGCTCATCATTCCCTTGCCCTTGATATGCAACGTAAACGTTTACCAACATTCAACTATAGAAGCCATATTATTTATTTATTGGAGAAATACCAAACGTTAGTTCTAATTGGAGAAACAGGATGTGGAAAAAGTACACAGCTTCCTCAGGTATTTTATTATTAATTTTATATTTATGTATCATATATACAGAACGTTGTTAGATATATAACCTTAAAATCTTCTGATAACACGAGTATTTTATATTTTTCATTCCGTGAGTGAACTTTTGGTATTCGCTGACTTTTTTAAAATTTTGAAATTTATGTTTGACTGATATAACATATACCGCAGTTCACCAGAGTCCATAACTGCGAAAAGACCAATTTTCGTTCTTCGCGCATCTCCAGTACGCATCTTCGCCCTGATTGGCGATACTCCCAAACGAAGTGGAAAGCGATTAGCAGAGAGCTCGCTGCGTTCCCTCACCATCTTCCAACCTGCGCGTCGCAGTTATGGACTCTGGTGAACTGCGGTATAGTTATAACACGTGGCATTTTATAGTACGCATGCGTACAAATTTATACCGCCATTCTATTATTGTAGAAACAAACAAGTTCAGATATGTAATATATGATTGTCCACCGAAAGTGCAACGTACAAAATTTCTTAATCTAGTGAACAGTCATATTTTACAAACACATATAACATGTAAAAGAATAAAACCGAAAGTTATGTGATAACAGTGCAATAAGATACTGGCTATCAAAATTTTACTTAACCATATGTAACCCCACCACGCCAAGACTTCTCTGAATATCCGACTGAAACACGCTCGAAAATCTTTCTATATATGTATATATATATATAGTGTAATAATAACGATATAAAAAAGATAGACGTTTTTGAGTGAGTCACGCGATGGGTTCAGAAGTCATATTACGTTTATTAACTGTGATACGTCAATCGTTGCATCGCAAAATTTTGAGTAACAGTAAATAAAACTTCTTTCGATTTGAAAGTTAACCAAAGAAATCATATAAAAACGTGCCAAAATGTTCGGTACAACTACTTTGATAAGCAGATCGTTCTTAGCGCTTTTGATAATACTGACATTATATTTCCTTGGAATGGATCTTCTGCTATATTCCAGAATACAGAACTATGCTATAAGACCAATACCAAATGACACACAATACACCTCAATTATACCCTGTGATTTTAATCCACTGTGCACAGTGACTGTAAAAGGAATGATGTTGGATCATCCAAATCATTTCCTTCTAAGCCCTTTGGCAGCTATAATGGACAATCTGGTACAAATAAGCAGCTCCTGGACATGGGTCACACCAAACATGATCAGTTGTTTCCATGTATTAATAGCAATATTGTCTGGCAAATGTGTTTCCAGTGATTCATTGTCTTATAGACGGCTTGGTGTGATACTGTTTCTAGCAAGAACTTGGTTAGATGATCTTGATGGACATGTTGCCAGAAAAAGAGCAAATATTTCTGGAGAAAGATCAGATGCTGGCTCTACAGGATATATGGTCGATGGACTTTGCGATGCTGTTGGCTGCGTTGCTTTGATCATTGGCCTATACCAGTTTCTTGCACGTAACTCAAGCAGACGCGGAGGGTATGACAAGCTTTCACAGCTTCCAGTTTCCTCAGTTGTGGAGCCTGGAAATCTGACTTCAAAGACCTCTAATGCAGCTCTTCGTAATATACTATTCATGACCGTCCATTTGTTCCTGACTAGTGCTGCTTGGAACCGGTATATATCCTTGTACCAGGATCTTTTGGAGACTGAATACAGAACACCATCGATTAGCAAGGAACATCTCTATGTCAAACAAACAACTATATTCAGAAGTTTGTCTTTTTGGGTGATAGTACTATGCTGGAAATTTGTCAATTTTCATGCAGCTATGGATTACCTGCTTCTGGCAATATTTTTTGATCGTCTGAGGGAATATATGAAACTTGTGAGATGGTCTTCGTTTGTAATTATATTGCTACTTGTTTATGTAACCGAATTTCATTTTTTACGGGCCTATACATATGTACAAGGTGTACCATCGTATATTGACGAAGAGATATCTTCTTCTGATGTATTCATTCAGGGATGACAGTGCGAATGGAAGAGGCTATTTTCTATACTTGCTCATTATCGGTGATACACGATAACACCTATTTGCCAATTTATTTATCTGTAAAAATTTGACTGCATGTATTGTATAAATGACTGACTAATGTATAGTGGAATGTATATAACCCCTTAAATATCTTTGACTTATTGTTAAATTTCATTTTAATATATTAGATTATTCGCTGGTTCATGGTACTTCGTTCCTTCTTAGATGTATTTTGTTAGGTGTTCAAATTATTCAAATTCTCGCGCCACTTTTCAAATCTATCGAAATGCGGGAAAATTTGAACATACTAATATGTGTACTTACACCTAGTGCTATGTCGCAATTATATTTAATTGATTTTCGTGATAATACTCTCTGATCTTCAATATTTACTTCCTAATTTAAGGGGTTAACATGTATATTTATTGAATCACATGTTTCAATGGATATTTATTTATCCATGTTGTAAGGGTTATTTAAAAAATAATGTATATGTGGTATAAATATGTATTTGTGTTAAAACATATGTACAATAAGCTGGGTAAAATATGTTGATATGTGATATTTAAGTACTTGCTACTAATTTTCTATTTATCATGAATTAATAATTCACAATGACTCTTGCCTTTTATCTGGATATTTTGATGTGATCCCAATTATCTAGTTACAACATTTGTAAGTTTGCCGAAGTTACGTGGTAAGCTGTTATAACGAGCTTTGAAATCTGATATAAATATGACAGATACTTATGTGATATATGTAATATTCTTCCATTACAAGATTACTTATATTAAGGTGACAGATAAATTCAAGCATACATAGAGCTTCACGGGAAATTTAAATAAGCGTCCGGTGTATTTAATATAAATGTACTAACAATCAATTTTGTGTGAAATATAAAGTTTACTTACCTCAATTATTATAGTTTTAATTGACCTTTGTACAATCCATGGTAGTATTTATTTTCAATAATATAGATTGTGTTAATTACAAAATTTTCAAGTTCTGCAATTTCAGAATTTTTAAATTCAAAAATTTCAAAATATTATATCCGAGTGACCTGTCCCGTCTCATTGAAAAATCCTAATTACACCAATGGACGTAATAAATATACTAACAATTATACATATTTGTATGAAATATATAAAGATTACTTAACTCGAACTTTGTCCAGTCTATGATATTATTTATTTTCAGTGTTATAGATATCATACAATCATAATTTTAACGCGAAAGTACTCTCTTCGTTTGAGATAACACACGTGCTGAACCATCTGAATTATGTACCGCATCTTAAGAGGATTTCTCTTATGAATTAACGTAATCATGATGTGATTTGTAGACGTTCCTTATTAATTATTTTTAACGTGATTGACACAACACTTCATTATCGTGGAATGTAGAATATTATCAGCTGACAATTAATTTATTTCATTAAAATTATGCAAATTTATAATTGCTCGTGTTGATTAAGTATTAACACGCTTACTGCCTCTCATCCGATATCGCGATTGCAAATCATTTAAAATAACGATTTGTAATATTATTTTGTACATTTATTGCAGTATCTTCTGGAGGCAGGATGGTGTACAGACGGAAAAATGATCGGTATCACGGAACCGAGAAGAGTCGCAGCCACCTCTTTAGCTAATCGCGTCGGCGACGAACGAAATTGTATTTTAGGCACCGAAGTTGGTTATTCTATTCGTTTCGACAATTGTACAGATGAAACAACAAAAATCAAGGTATTCAACGATATAAATTGCGCTTATATAGCGGTCTAATATAACAATTATTTACAGTATATGACAGAAGGAATTTTGCTCCGGGAATTAATGAATGATCCTCTACTGACCAGTTATTCAGTCATTGTTGTAGATGAGGTACACGAAAGAACTCTTCTTACCGATATTATCATGGGTCTCTTGAAGAAGATCATTAGGGTAAATTGAGAACTGTAAATTCAACAAAGAGAAATTCATATTATACGTTAAACTGATGTTTTTTTTTTTTTTTTTTTTTTTTTTTTTATATTATTTTTTTATTTTATTACAGAAAAGGAAACGATTAAGGATCGTTGTTTGTTCTGCAACGGTTGATGCAGAACAATTGAGGGATTTTTTTAATACGAATACTACTAAAGACTCAACGAAAGATACGGCGATAATTTTGACTGTTGAGGGAAGATTATATCCGGTTGATATTTTTTATGTGAAAGGTGTGTATTTAAAATTTTTAGAATTACAAGTTTCTAGAATTTTCAGATTTGATCCAGATTTGTAAAATTGTAGAACCTCAGTATTCAACAGTTCCGAAACCAAGTATTTACAACTGGCTTAACTCCCCATCCATTAAACCCAAAAATCATTAATGCTATTTTTATGTTTTCCAGAGCCAGTAGCAAATTACGTAACAAGTGTAGTAGACACGGCATTGAAGATTCATGAAACTGAAGAATCTGGCGATATTTTAGCCTTCCTTACCGGTTTAGATGAAGTAGATCAAGCGGTTTCTCTTTTATCAGAGCATGCAAAGCTTATAAAAGAAGGCAAACGTGAGTAGCATTTAAAACGTTTGCCCTGTTACATAACAATTTAATTTAGCCATTGTGTTGTTCTTTTTCAGAGAAACTTTTACCTCTGGCTATGTACGGATCCCTTCCGAACTCGGAGCAACTGAAAGTATTTTGGAGGGCTGCCAAAGACACTCGTAAAGTAATTGTAGCGACAAACATTGCTGAAACATCTATCACCATTCCGAACATTGTTTATGGTATTATAAAGAAATTTTATTTTTTCACATATGATTGTTATAGAATGTTAATAATCATATTACCATTTAGTAATTGATTGCGGTTTTGTCAAAATTCCTTGGTATGAAGTGGAAACTCAGACAAATTCTTTGGTAATTGTTCCTGTATCTAAAGCTTCTGCTGATCAAAGAGCTGGTAGAGCAGGACGTGTTAGAACAGGCAAAGCATACAGGTAATTAACTTGTATTTAAGTATAAATATAAGCCACCGAATTAATTTTTCTCCACTTAATATATTTCTTAATCTTTGCACAGATTATACACAGAACAAGCGTACTCTGAATTATTCGAATCAACTCCACCAGAAATGCAGCGTTCGGATCTAGCACCAGCCATCTTACAATTAAAAGCTTTAGGGATTGACAATGTTTTAAGATTCAATTTTCCCTCTGCTCCGCCAAGCAAAAACCTGCTCACAGGACTAGAATTACTTTATGCATTAGGTGCAATTGACAGTAATGGAGAATTAACAGCACCATTAGGTTTAACAATGGCAGAAATGCCTTTAGAACCTGTCTTGGCAAAATCGCTCATAGTATCAGGTAAAATTCAAACATCTAATCAATTGAGCTACAAAAATGATTAATTAATTGTTCTTATAGGAGAAATGGAGTGTTCTGAAGAGTTGTCGATCATTTTAGCAATGCTTCAAGTGCAAAATGTCTTTATTAGACCTGCTGGAGGTCAAGCTGCTATTAAAGCAAGAATAGCGCACAGGAAATTTGAGGTCGAAGAAGGAGATTTGTTATCGTTTCTTAACGTGTACACTGCGTATGAGAAAAATAAAACGCCAAGCTGGTGTCAGAAACATTTTCTTAATCATAAGGCATTGAGGAGGGCTACTGAAATTAAAGCACAAATGCATTGTATGATGAGAAGATTGGATATTCCATTGATTTCTTGCAATGGTGGGATAATACAAAAACGCGGGGAACTCAATTTAAAAAGCATGATACCAAAGGCATTGAATTAATTTGTACACATAATACAATAATACTTTTTTTAATTTTATAGGAAATGTGCAACAAATATTGAAGTGCCTGACAGCAGGTCTTTTTCCTAAAGCGGGGTATTTACATTACACTGGAGTATACAAAACAGTGCGTGGTAATAGAGATTTGTACATACATCCAAACAGTTGTTTGTATACGCTTCAACAACCTCAATGGTATATGTTTTATTGAAATATTTATATTTATGTGAAATTAATTAATTTTTTTTTTCAGGTTACTTTTCTGTGAAGTTTTACAGACAAATAAAACTTATATGAAGGACATAACTGTGATACAACCAGAATGGTTATTAGAATTAGCTCCGCATTTTTATGAAAAGAAGTCCCTTGAACCCATTTAATTCTATTTTTGTAAATTACTTTAATAATAAAAAAGAAAAAAAATTAATTCATAAATGTTTCATGGCGTGATTAGATTAGAATTGATTACGTTAAGTTCAAAATTCAAAAATTCCACAAGTTTAATTCAATGGTAGATCTGTATGTATGTAAATTATGTATATATATTCCAATTTTGAGGGTACCGTGGACCCCCAAGGTGCGGTTAGGTCTGCATGTATGTACAATAATCTAACCTCAAAAGCTGAATGTATAATACATATCTATATATATATATATATATAACTTCGCTCAGTCCACTGTCTGTACATACCGACATTTGAAAAAATAACGTCTTAAACTCCTTTGCGCTTTATAACCTCATAAATCTACATTAAAAAGAAAATTTGGAATAATACTCTTATTTACTTCGAAGTGGCAAATACTTTGCATTTATATATAAGAAAGACGTATGGCTGCATTCAGGACGTGATATTGACTTTAATTTTGTGATATCTTACTAAAAATGGCTAAAATAGTTGAATCGCTGAAGAGATTGAGTGTTGAACATGACACAAGGAAACCTAATGACAATAGAACCAAGAGAAAAAGCGAATTAGTATCATCAATAGAGGAAGCAGTATCTATTAATCATAATTACATCCTTGCTATCTGTGGAACACAAAGGCAAATCTTTATTTTTTTTTAAACTTATTTTTAAAAAGCATGAATTTTTTTTTTTATGTACATTGTTCCATAATTACAAAGTGATCTTAAAATACTTTACAGTGATCCAGAATTCAGGATTGGTACTGCTCTATCCGATCTCACATGTGTAATATATTCTGTTGGAGAGAGAATCAGCCGGACCATTACTCTAACTTGTATCAAGTCACCCATTGTTGATATTAGGTTTAGTCCTACTTCCAGAAACATTTTTTATTTAGCAACAAACAGTGGACTAATTACAGCATGCGATTTGCGTGCTAAGGGAAAGGTTGTCGCAGAGTTTAAAGGTGCATAATTAATTTATGACCAGTATAACTAAGAAGGAACCAGGGTAAAACTCCCAAAATTCCAGAATTTCACAATTCCAAATTTCAAAAATTTCTAAGATATCTATCCCATCCCCAAAAAATCCTACTTACATTTCTTACCATTTTTATTTTCAGATAGTACAGAAGATGGAAAAATGAAACCCCTCTGCAGTTTCGATATGAGTTACGACGAGAGGATTATAGCAGGCGGTACCGAGCACATAGGAGGAGACGCCTTTATATTATTTTGGGATATAAGACATGCTAACTCAAAACTAGATGACAAAAACAGTCTTCTTGGTGGGTACTGGGAATCTCACATGGAGGATGTCACCTCTTTGGCATTTCATCCTAATAAACAGGATATCCTAGCTTCTGGTAGTACAGATGGATTGATTAACATCTTTGATCTTACACAGCCATCTGAAGAATCTGCCCTAACTTATTCCTTAAACACTGAATCATCTGTGGTGAGTTAATATTTTTAGTGGGGTAAAGTAAAATGTATTAATAATGCTTTTTTAAACGAAAGGATAGGATAGGCTGGTTGAACGACGATAATCTCTGGTGTACAACTCATACACATTCATTGCAACTTTGGAATTGCGATGGAGTGGCTCCGTATGCTAAATTCGAGCGTAGTAATATAGCTGTTTCTCAGGTTAGTGTTCATAAGAGAAATGGAGTTTTTTAATGACTCAGGAATATATTGTTATTTTAGAATGATGATCCAGATAATTGTTATGTGGTCAGATGTCATGCTTCCAGCGTGCTGGAGCATCCGTTTCTATTAGCAGGTTCCAATAACGCGAAAGGGTAAATAAATGTATAATTTAACTATTACCGATGAGGACAAATTGATTCCAGAATTTCAAAAGTTAGCATATTAACTTTTCGCGCGCATCAGTGGATTCGAAAAGTGACGCGAAAATATGAGTAACGATAACGATTATTCCAATAATTGAATAACATCGAATTAATTTGTACGCCTAATTAATGAATTCGTCACATGTTTTAATATTGACGCATTGGTGTCAATTAATGAAATAGCATTTTTAATTAATTCTTCCAGGGAAAATTTAAGGTGTTTGAATATCATAAATGATAGATTAGAAGTGGGTCATAACATGATTGGAAATAAACAAATAGTGCGGGATAGCTGGTTACACGAAAAGGTAAAATGCCGTTAATAATACCGCCTTTAAAATTTCAATTTTACGCGCTTTAGTGGATTTAAAAAGTGGCGCGAAAATTATGAAAATATTTTTAATAAATGAAGTAACAAGTAACAAATTTAAAAAAATAAATATTCAATTAATCTTCAATATATCAAAATAATATTGTATTAATTAATATTGGAAACATATAAACAGAAGCTAATATTTTAATATGAATTATAGAGTGGTTCCTTAATAACAGTAGGCGAAGGTGCGCTAATAAATATTTGGAGGCAAACAGAAACAACGTCCATTGAACAAAATTCAAGCCACAAGTTAGTGGCAAAAATTGGCACTGGTAAAGGACGTGAACGCCAACATAGGACTAAGCCATATTAAAACGATAGGATTAAAATTTATAAATCCAAAATGAATTTTTGTAAGTAAATATAATAAACTATCACGTAACATTTCCCTCACGTTCTTCTTTATTACAATAACAGTTTGTATGTACATTTATAATAAATAGATATTATTTTTCTTTTATGCGATTAATGTAGCATATGTGTGTGTATATAAACGTTAAGGAATGTAAATCACATACTAGTATATATAGAATTGAAACAGGAAGAAAAATACTTGTAAATACTTGTTTAGTTCTGTCAAGTAATAACGGATCGTCTTGAGGAAAAATTAGGAGCATTATGACGTGCATTTGTTGCAAAATAGACGCATGATATATTCAAATAAGTAAAAGAAATCTGAAAATTCCCTTCCCCCAATTCTAGTTACGCTTCTAATTAGGATTTCGAAAGACCCTTCAATTATAAAGCAAGGACACTGTGTGAAAATGTGAAATAAAGGGCAGTAATATTTTTGAAAGCAAATCCACGGAAGAACGTTAGAAATTTAATTTTTAATTTAAAAAGATGCTATAGTGTACTTTGGATTTGTATTTTCATGAATAAAGTCGGAACGCAATGACGCAGCGACGGAAGGACAGTAATTAATTCACTTTGCATGAATCTCATCAAAAATTTCGGTAAATTAAATGCAGAATCTGAGATTGCTCGCGGGCACAGACTCGAATTAGTAGTTTAATAGTGACAAAACCACACTAGAATAATCGCAAGCCCATAAAAAGCTCACAGGCACCCGAGTGTGTCCCAGGGGCAATTTTATTAAAAACCGTTTTAATAATGTTTTAATAACCAAAAAATCAATGGAAAGTGATGTTACGTATATACGTGTGTAGGTATTTCTTAAATATATTTAGCGTTAAATTCCCGAAATGATTTCATAAACTTGTTTCCTACAATAATAACAGTTAATATTACATATTATATATAACGGGCCTTAAACTTGAAGAGAATTAATGTGAACGCGTCTTAAAACAAATACACGTCCACTTATATAGATATATATAATTTTACATTAACATTTTCCAAAGACGATCGCAGTAGCGAGTATCACAATGATAACAGTAGATATATATAATTTTTAGAGTAAAATAGTAGGTACAGAGTAAACGTACAAAAATACTTCCCATGAGCATCAGGGGACGTAAAGATTCATTAAAACGTGGAAAACCGCGTTGCTAATCCGTTTTGTTTTTTGTTTTTTTTTTTTTTTTTTTCTTCTTAAAACTTATGCTGTCACGAGACATCGAACATGATGGATGTCATCGGACGCATTGTAGGCCGACGCACTACTCCTTATTTGTTATTCCAATTTGATTCGTTACCCTGAAGATGGTATGCGACTTCATTGCACAAGGAGGGTAACAACAGTAGTGCAATTTATACTTGATGTCTCGAGAGTCCATAATTAAGCGCGCAGGTTGAAAGATGGTAGGGGAATGCAGCGATGGTGGGGGAAAGCGATCCGCCAATCGCTTTCCACTTCCGCTGGAAGTATCGCCAATCAGAGCGACAATGCGCAGAAAAGAACGAAAACTGGTCTTTTCGCAGTTATGGACTCTCGTGACATCAAGTATAGAATGATACAGTCAACCTCTCCGTATCCGCGGTAGGTTTTGAAACGTAATGCTGTGGATACTGGGGACCGACTGTATTTCTTGAAATGAAGTCGAACACCCATCCATAAAGGATCTTAATAAATTTATGCTCGGCATTTTGTTAATTATGTTTGTTTTTTTTATCTCTGCTCTCGCGCTTTACGTCTTATTGGAAATACTCTTTTTAAGAACTATTGTCACCACGATTGATTGAGACAAGTTAATAGCATTATTTATGTTTCCTTACGAAGATATCGGGGATGCAAATGAATTCGGTGACTTTAGCAGTTTGAATATTTTCCCGCTTCGGTGGATTCGAAAAGTGGCGCGAGAATTTGAATCACAATGGCAACCAAATTCATTTGTACACCCGATTAATTAATTAGCCACGTGCCTCGACGACGCTGCCCTTTTACTGGATCATATTGCACGCTACAGCATCTTGTGAGGCGAAACGGAAATTCTGATTTTAAAATAACGATCTATATTCTAGGATTACCTTAATTAAAATTAATTTCAAACGTGCAGTATGATCATTCTTGCACTGAAAAAAGTCTCGTATAAATAAAATATTTTTGCCCTTGTACAATGCAATAAATAAAAAAAATTAAAAAAAAAAAAAAAAAAAAAAATGGTTACACAACGTTAATGGCAGTGAATAATCTCAAATTAAAACGATCAAAGGAATGATAGAATGATAGTGTAAAATCAATGATTTCTGTGACTTGGCACATTACGATAACATTATTGTTTATAATAAATCTTATCCGTCGTTTTAGCACGTATTAAAATACTTTTAGAGTAAATGGTATAAGAATAACGCGTTCGTTCATGCATACACATCTACAATAGTGTATGTATACACTTTTTTTTTAATTAATTGTACACGTACACCTACATTCATTAATTGCATTCGCACGCACGCGCCTTCTTTTCTTCAACATACGTACACATAGTGTCATACATATGTCATGAAAAAAGTATATATACACATCCATGTATATGCAATGCTAATACAGGGCATTTTCGGCCTGGTGGTTTAAAAAAGGTAAATCTATCTTAAAAAAAAAAAAAAATAATAATAATAAATAAATAAAAAATATACAGCGACATTTTTTATAGAGAGCTCTACATTTTTTACTTATTTTTTCAATTAGATTCATCTTTTTGGACCACCTAGTTGGAAACAACCTATATAATTCTCTATCTTGCTTTTTTTTCTTTAGCAAGCAGTAACAGATTTGCTTAAAAGATTTGTCTAAAATCATGTCAGTCATCTTAACCTGTTAACTGGATTATTCAAGCAGAAAAAGAGTTACTTCCTTCCAGCGGATGTGATAAAAAGTGAGCGAAGAAGAGTTCATTTCTCTCATGCAACTCGAGACAAGTTGCACCCAAGTGTAATCTATATACTACTGCATACCTTGAATGCACGAGTATAACAATATATTATTAAAGGCAAAAATCTTTCAGACGAGTTAATTCGTCATTCCCGGTTAACAGGTTAATAACATAAGGATTCAACAAGATCAACCCTTTTAATACTTCCTTTTCTCTCTGAGCATTTCTGTGAGACTTGGCATAAAAATGATATTATTGCCCTCGGTAGCAGTTGAAAAAGAATAATATGTATGTTTTCTTATTGACAGTCACGCCATTATCATGGACACGATAAATGCATCGCTTATGTACTAGTTTCAATATACAAATGAAATAAAGGGGGAGAAAAACAAAGGATTCTTACCGAGAAAATGTTGAAAGTCAAAATGACTTTACACGACTTCTGGGTTGAGCATCTTTTGATTGATTTCGGGAGGGAGTTAAAGTAGTAGTCGGAGTCGCCTCACCGGCTGCAGGGCGAGAAGACCGAGAATGCTTCCGGCCGAAACGAAAGAGTCGTCAGAAAAAAATTACTTCCTCTTCCATTGGCTGTTGCTGTTCGCTTCGTTGATGCTGTTGCTGGTGGGAATATTCTGGGGGTGATCGGGTTATTCGGAGAGAACGATTCGAATGAGTCTGACTCACTCCTGCGTGATTATTGCCTAGTTCTGGGGAAGAATACGTGGAGCCAGTTACTATTGCGGGACTACTTCCGGTACGGGAGTGGCGGTCTGGGCTGTTGTTGCTTGTACTTCCACTTCTAAAAAAGAATTTTAATATTTAATAATTCAATCTTCCTATATATGCACATATATCACATAGTTTAGGTACCTGGTATTATTGTTACTTCCACTGGCAAGTTTTAAAGGCAGCTGTTGCTTTACCGGCAAATTACTCTGCACCTTTTGCTGGTTAGTGGCGCTAATTAGATTCAAAGGTATCCGTTTAGCCTCTGGCTGTGATTTTCGCGACTGAACCACGTCATTTCCCTGTGTCATATGAGCTAAATGGGAAGCAGTGGCACTAGGCGCAGTTCCTGTAACCAATGTAACTCCCTGTCGCTCCAATGCTTCCAGTCTTCTATATAATTGATCTCTTTGCTGAGTTACATCTCTCTGTTCAGCCGCAAGTTGTTCTCTTTGCCTCGCCAATTCTGCTCGCTCTTCCTCCAACTGTTTCTTCTCTTGCTGAGACGTGGCTCTGAATGCTGCCTTCTCTCTACTCAACTGGTCTTGTAAGTTACGCAGTTCTTCTAATTGGCGATTCGGATTGGGTCTATTGTTCGATTTTCCCATACTCCCTTCTTTGCAGGCGGCTAACTGAGCCTGCAAGCTGTCGATCGTCGTCATCTGGTTACTTATTATACAAGCCAACGTATAAACGTGATGAGACAAACGAATTGCCGCCCATTGTTGATCCTTGTCTTGGTTATCTTTATCATCTAAATTTTCTTTCATAAATTCTACTTTTGGGAGAGATACTAGGGAGTGGATAGCGACTGAATCTCTCAATGGATATTTTTCCTAAAAATTGAAAGCGATTAATATTTTGGATTTATCTATGGGATGTGGGGTATTTACTTTATTGTGATCGAAACCCGCGAAGGTCTCAGCTCGACGAGGAACACAGAGAGCAGGAGGGACGTAGGCCTCGCTGTGGCGTTCGCCTGCGGAACTTAGACTTCTGGATAGAGTAGCACCACCCGCGCTAAAGGATAAAGAGCTGGCGAGCTTTGTCGCTTCTTGAACTGCGCCAACCACCTATGGTTGTAAGTTATTATTTTAGCATTTATGAAAGGATTATAGTGAAACAGTGGCGTAAGTAGGGACCCATCCCATCCCATCCCATCCCACCCCGTCAAAAATTTTAGTTTCGCCACTGAATAAAGAAAAAAAAAGAGAGAGAGAGAGAGATGTTGACCTCTTGTCGTAACTGTGTAGTATCAGTTCCTTCATTGTGAACTAATCTAGTGTAATCCGGAATCTCTTTATCAACCTTTTCTAATCTTTCATTGTCGCTACTTTCATTTCCGCTCCAAATGTTTGCGACGTGTAATAATTGCATTTGTAAATTGATTTTTTCTTCGAGTAACAATGCTTGTTCTGCATCCTTTTTACGTAATTCACCTAAAAAGTTATTAATATGAATATTACTGTTGTCGATAGTATATAAAATGCATGAAAGCGCGGGAAAATATTTGAATTTCAATTTCAATTTCAATAATAACCAATAACACATACCAACAATCTTCAGAACATGAGACTCCTTAGTCTTAACTAAACGTTGCCTTTCTTCAACAGAAAGTAACGATAAAGAAGACGATCGTGTATCCCTTAACTCGTTATTACCGTTATTTTCCGTCAACGCATCACTTTCATTTTCAGATTCTTGAGGACATGCTTCGACAGCGGATCTAATCGCTTGTATCCACAGCTGTTTATCTTTCGGTTTCTGAATCTTCAACTCAAACATTTCCGGTTCGGCTGGATTGCTACTTATCAAATAAATCCCTCTCGATTCCTGGCCCGCTTTTTCACGTACCAATAACTTCTGAAGCGACACTATACCAGCCTTATTGTCAGGCACAAAGAACGCGTACTTCTGATCTCTCTCGGCCAAGAAAAATAATATATCAGAAAGAACAACCACTACGATGGCAGTCATTTTTCCACGGCCTTGCATCAGATACGCAGTTCCCTCGAATTTTAAGATTCTATTGAACGCCATTATGTCTGATTTTTTGAATTTGGCACCGCGATATGTTGCAAAAGATTTTGCATCGATCCTAAAGCAACGAATAAAGAAAAAAAATATTAAAAATTTGAATCCGCGACAGGTCTTGGGACGTAATACCGGAGATACGGAGAGCAGACTGTACAGAATTTCTCTTACTTATTATAAATTTCTAATTTTCTATCTTCCCTTTCTTTATCAGCCACGCAAGCATCAACGTCTGCCAAAATTTCCTTAACAAGAATCAAAGCTTTACGTAAATCTTCCCCTTCGTCTTGAAGAATTCCCGTTTTTATTAATGGCTCCACTAATAGAGGATATTTAGTTAAACGCTGGGTGACAAATAGAATGCATTCTGGTATTCCCTTTTTCTTCAGTAAAGGGTGAGACTATAAGAAACGTGTATTAATTATACATTCCTGTATGTAACATCGATTTTTTTTAGAAAGCTTTGTTTTTACCTGGCACTGGCGCACGAACCGTGCAAATCTGGGATCGTGCCGCAGGTAATACTTGTAAGCCTCGACAGCGTCTCTGTGACGACTACAGAATTCCCCATAGGCGCTCTTCATGCGCTGCGCGTTTTCCCCAGAGAACTGATCAACCAGTATATCAGCAACGGTAGAAACAACAGAGTTTGTGTTTTGTCGCTTGCGCAGCTTCTGGAGAAATCTTAAATGAATATCAATGAGATCGCGTAGTCTAGGGAACATGCGCTCGAGATCCGGCTGGCCCAGGCGAAAGTGACGTCGCAGACCCTCCACGAATATTCTTTCCATAGCTAGAAGCACTAGACAATGGTGTTTCTCTGTGAGGACAAATTCGTAAATGTGCTCCTGCCTTTTTACTTTTCTCTCGCAATTGTCAACTAATCGTAGCGCGACACTATGGCCAATAGCGGCACTCCACGAGTCTGGTTCTTCTTTTGCTAGGCCCAATTCGGGATCCAAACCCTCTAGGTCACCTACGGTGAACTGGTAATCTTCTCCCAAGTCATATCCATCCAATCCACTAAAAAAAAGTTATTCTTAATATTCTTAGTCAAGAATGTTAATTGATGAATATTTTTATATGTACCTGGATATGTCTCGATGTTGACCATCTCCATCTTTCTCTTCATTTATTGTTTGACTGAAAGAAAAATACAATTTATGATTCAAAATGGTATATTTCTTTCTTAGTTAAATAGAAAAACGTTACCTTTGTACTTTTAATGAATTTTTTTTTTAATTATAACATCATAATAGTTGATTAATGAAAAATTGTGTACAACGCTGGATATGGAAGCTTTCTTAACGAAAATGGTGATATAAAGGGAGAAAGTCGTTTACTAAGAAAAATTTTATTTTATATTAGTAATATTCTTCAGTTATATTGTAAATTTTCTTAGGTGTAGGTGCCTATTTATCAGAATTTTGAGCAGCCTCCATGCACGATGTTGTACAATATACAGACATAATCTTATTACCTTTCGTGTAAATGTATTTTTTTGTAAAGCAGCTCCTATTTTTTTTTTTTTTTTTTCCCGTAAATGTATTTGTTTATGTTAATTGTTAATACATTTATTACTGTGTCAGTATTCCTACTATAAATGAAACTTAAACTTGCGATGTCAATAAAAGATGAATGCTTGATAAACTCGACTCAGAAGTTTTATCACAAAATGAACGAGAACATTGAGATGAATTTTGAAATACACTTAGAAACATGGAAGAAGTCATAAGCCAAGCTACGTCAAAAGAGATAAAATAATAAATAAATTTATATCAATTGTGTATTCATTCCTGATAAAAATGCTATTTGTCTGAGGTCATGATTGATGTAGCGATAGTTCATTGTTTATTAAGAATACAAATAATAGAAGCAAGCATATTAGAAGCATGTAGGCAGGGCAAGGTGATGTCTTTTTTCAATTGCCAATTTTAAACAATGTGTGCGCATTGACGTAACCAGGACCCCCCCCCCCCCCCCCCCCCCAAACCATTCTACAATTTCAAAAGTTCAAGTCAGATTTTGAAAATTCCAGAATTAAAAAATTTCAGATTTCCAAAATTCCAAATTTAAGGTTTTCAAACATTTGTGCTCGATACTGTATACATTTACAAAAAAATTCCTAGTCACGCCAATATGTGTGCGAGAAAAGAATGGAGGAACAGACACGGGCCATCCTACTTTCCCGTAGGATTGATTAATATACGAACGCTTCAAGATAGTATAGGAGGAACACATCAGACATGATGGACTTACTTGACTCCGAGCTTAGTAGCAACTCGCCGCCAAGGGCTGTAGCTTGTCACGGCTTTCTTGCTGTTAATTTCCCTTTAATCGTCGAACAGAGGGAATGCACGGGGAAAGGAAAAAGCACACACTGCATTAGGGCAACCTCACTTTGCCTTTTCTTTCCCTTCCTTCTTCAGTTTTCTTATTCTTTGTATTTTAATTAGGGTTTATGTACAAATTTTGCAGTTTATGTATACCTTATTTAATTCAGTATTAAATGGCATGTTATTTGAATGATTGAAGAAGTTTGGGCGTGTTTATATTGTTCGTTATAATTTGTATGTTAATATCAGAAACACGCTGAAGCTTGCCATACTATTTGACTAAATTGCAAAATTAATTAGAAACAATAAGCTTCTGAGCCAGCCAAAGCTTCTGAATAAGCGATACAATATCTTCTCTAACTATTTATCCTTCATACTGCAGAGAAGTGTAATTGGTCGTATTTTAATAGTTAATTTTTATTAGAATTGAGATTTCTGAGCACACGTGTAATCCTCTAAATTATACTTGTGTTGTAAGAAAAATCTTTGTTTATGCCTAGCCATGCCAATTGCGTGCGAATCTTGAACCACAGATACGCCGACTGAATGCAGAAAATCAGTAATTTTTTAATAGTTAAATGATTTACCTTCCACTCCCTGATGTCGGTAGAGGCAATGACGCTGTTGATCCTCTTTTGACGTTATAGCTACTCGAGGTTGAAGATATACTTGATGTCGATTTGATGGCAGCTTTGCTAGAATGGTGCTTCGATTTTATGCACTCTAGTACGAGTTGATCTTTACACCCTTGGCTTTGGTGCACGGAGACTCCACAGTCTATTATAAAAAAAATTAATTAAAATTTCAATTGTATCAAAGAATATGTTATAATATGATACTTACTGTCGCAATGTAAAAGTGGTTTATTTGTCGACTGTTTCATACAAACATCGCATAATAAACCTCCCTGAGATCCTACCATTATTGTCGTCCATAAATGCTGTTGCTGACTAGTTTTTTTACCACTCTTGTCCTGCAATTTTAGTAGAAATTTTCTTTTATATATATTTGAATTTTTTTTTTATTAGCTTGGTGCGTACATCAAATTAATTTCCACACATAACACGATATTAGAATTATCTTATTACCTTTTTCTTACGAAAGAAAATAGAACCCCTTTTTCTTCTAGTTTTCTCTGAATGATGATCATCGTATACGGCTCCACTGAAAATCAATTGTTATAATTTATAACATGAATGTAGTTGGTTAAACTTACAATTAGTAGCTTGGTGTATTTACATTAAATAAATAAATAAGATACACGTAAAGAGAACTCTAAAAAATTATTATGGAATGAATAATTAATACAAACCTTTGCACGTTGTTAGCAAACTAAAAATATAAAATACTTACTCGGTTAGCAGTTCATCGAGAGATATCTGTGCATTTGGCGTGCCTTCTCTATCCTCGTGGAACTCGTGGCTGTGAGGTGTATGGAGATCCTCCGTTTCAGTCTCACTTCCGCTACCTTTTTCATTTCTTTCGCGTCGTCTGTACCATGCAGGATGGTAGGAAATTGTCAAGTACAAACACAAAGTATGCGACTATTGTGCCATAAAGATCAAAGTACAAAGAATACATAGGAAAGCTTCAATTCGATAAATTTCATTTGAATAAAGTGCATATTAAATTTTGAAAATTTCTTAAATGTGCGATCATGCTTAAATACTATAATCTACAAGCATTAAATCTAATTTCAATAATTTTTTATGAACATGCATCAATAATTTCAAAATTGTCCGATGTGACGTAAAGATTGGAAACTTATTATTAACTCTGCAATCAAAAAATATTTCGAATTAACTCACGCTGTGAGCGATGGCGTAGTCCTAGTCACAGACTCTGCCAAATGAGCGTTGACTTGTGGAGTAACAATTGAAGGCGTCGAGATAGATTTTTGAAGGGGTAAACGAGAGCCTGTGATGCCAGGCATTAATCCATTACTCTCTGCTAGTCTCTGGCTACCTTTGAATCTTTTTGTGACTATTTTCTGGTATTCACTCTATAAAGAAAATATTCAATATAAAATATAATACAGAGAGTTTTACTGAAAAGAGAGTAGTTGAAAAAACCGCTATACCGCTTCTGGCGGACCTCAAAGATCTTTTTAAATCGATGTCATTTCAACCTCCTCGATTTATTCAGAAATCGAGCTTGCTACAAAATGATGTTACTATATGTATATTTTTTATTTATTATTCGCGTAGATTTACCTTTGTTAGGCTAGCAGGTCGGAAACAGCCTGTTAAAGAAAATATTTGGTATTTCTTACCTGTACGAGATCAGCTTCGTTAAGGGAATGAGTGCTCGCTTGCGATCTGCACGCCCTGCTGCCAACTCCGACAGGTCTAGCGCAAGATTTTCCGTGCAACTCTATCTCCATCTCACTGTCTAAACTACTTAGACTAATACTGCGCTGTCTCTGTAATAACAGTGAAATGTAACATTGCAATAGAAAGAAGTAAAGAATACTAACCATATTTTGAGCTTGTAGGTGATTCTGCCCAGAATATCTACGCCTCCCGCACCTTGTATCTTCCAAATCAGTCCAGCTGCGTCTCCTATCAATACCTTGAGCATTCTGTGAACGTGGAGCCACAGAGGGAAAATGAGTAGGAGAACTATTGGTAGAACAATTAGCAAGGAGGTCTGGATCAGAGCCTGTATCATTGTTACTTGATCGTGGCGCGATTTCTGGTAGGATTAAGGGACACAGAGACGGACAGGACGATGTTAATCTTTGAGGTACATCATTATGGGATGTACGGTGATTGTAGCTCCAATTACTTAGCGTAAGATCCCTCATTCTCTGAATGCAATCATGGATCTCGTGCAGATGCTGCAAATTATCCTCTACAAGGAAGCTAATCATTAGTCGCAGAAGCACAATATTGTATTTAATGAAATATATTTACCCAGAACAGGATAGTTCTTAGCCAGACCAGGTGAATGGGGTGTAACACTGATGATTGGCACCAAAGGGTTAGGCTGAATTTGACTATTAACGCTTAGTGCCTGCTGATGTTCCTCGGTTCCTTCAGACATTGCGATTACCTTCTCTGTATTGTCTTTGGTGTAGGTGCTTATGTTCCCTCGTAGGTTCAGACCAAGATCTCCATTAATGAGAGGTATACGGTCACAGTCAGATGAGCCTAGATAGTCGGTTATTACATCCTCTTCGCTGTCTTCACCACTGTTTGGACACTCATCTATAAATACATTGTAAACTGCATCAAGATAAGGGAAACCGATATCCAATGTACTCGCTAGGACAATTGCGGCAGACGTAAATGGGAATCAGGTCAAATTTTTCTAATTCGAGATTTCATTTCGTTAGGTCGTCGCGGCTGAGTCAAGGTCAGTTAAAGGAAAATTAAAACACACATTTTTATGACACTTTTTAGGGAAATTTTATACGTACACGTATAGATTGGATAGGTTTATTGTCATTCTTGTGATAACAGACTGGATAGGTGGAATTCTGGTGAGTATCTTTAACGAGACAGACACACTGTTGCTTTTCCCCGTAGCCTCCGAACACGAATTGATCCGTTGGCCGCGCGTGCCACCCCCTCCTACATGCACCCCCGATCCTTAACCGACCTTCAACCTTCAATCTAATATCTTTAACAACCCCCCCCTTTTTTTTTTTCTTTTACTTCCGTGTTCAAATTTTTTATTTTTGATAAATTATAAGATTCAAATTGAATTACTTATTTATTTTTAAAATATTCTTTATTAAGTACAAATTAAAATTTTTAAAAAATTACAGCAATTAACGAATAAATAAACTTTAATCCTATTATTTTTCTATCATAATAGAACCTATATGTATCAAATTATTAAAACAATATTATTTATACAAGTTAAGGAATTAATAGTCTTGTAACATTGTTATAATCCTAGTAACATTGATCCTATTATTTTTCTATAATGTAACACTGTAAAATAACAAATTGCTTCCTAGTAAATTACAGAATTGCAGAAAATCAATTTTAATATGAAAATAGAATTTAATTTTCATAAAAAGCATAGTACAATTCTGATAACATTCATCTTATTATTTCTCTAATATAATAGAACATTACAAAACAATAAAAACAACATCCCAACAAATTCTATATACAGAAAATTAATTTTAATATGAAAATAAAATTCAACTGCTATAAGAAACATAATAAAATTCTAATAAAATTTATCCTATATATACAAAAAAAATGAGGATATTAATTCTAAGAAAATACTTATTTTGTCCAACATTTTATTGTATACAATGATATGTATATATAATATATACATTAAAATTAAAATCCCTTATATCTTCATTATGTATTATAAACTTACCAGAAGAAAACGGAGCTAGAATTTCCTGCCGTTTCTCCATCTTCCTTCTCTGGATGAATACTTATTTTTCCTGAAATATTTTAATTAATAAAAAATAACAATAAATAAAAATTTACAATTCCATTGCAGCTTACAAATTGGATAAATCTTACCATATTAAAGTTATGAATAAAATGCATTTAAATAAGAAGAATAATACTTGAAATGAATTATTGAAGAAAATATCAGAATTTTGTAGACTGATAAGGGCGACGTTTACTTTGTTGCTAAAGGAAGCCGTATTGACAGGTAAACGTTTCACTGAATGATTTTATTTATTATAATATTTTTTTATATTAAAATACATACCCTTAACGCAATTATTTTTATTAATCCATTAATGTTACACGAGATCTACTATATGTAGCTCCTACATGGGAAATGGAAATATTGTATCTAGCAATCTGTATCATACATACAATCAAGGCACGTCAACCATTTTGTATTAGTTGAAGTATATAGACAGGGATGTGGTAACTTAAGAATTCATCTGGTGGAATAACAGTATATTTAAAATTTTTTTACTGAAAATGAAAATGAATTCCTTTGTAACTATTCAAATCATAATAATCAATTATTTATATATGTATATGAAGTTTATATATGTATAGCATTGGGCAAAGTAAGTAGGCTTCCCTAAGAAAGATGATGTTCTATGTACATAGGAAAGAAAGAAAAGGATGTAGGAAAGAAATTTTTTAATTTTTAGCTTTGGGTCTTCTCCTATATCACCATTTTTTCTAAAGAAACCTATCATACTCGAAACAGATATTGCAGATATTCAAATACAGTAAATTTTCCTAGTGAATTTGTTTTCTAAGTAAAGTATCCTGGTCATACTGGAAAATCTAGTCAAAGTCACTGGTATAAACAAGAACTTGTCGACAGTTGTCGACCTAGCGCATGATCTTTTGTATGCATGTACATACATACAAGGGTGATCCTCTCGCTAGTAGACTAAAAAAGGAAGTGCCCCCACACCAGTATGAATGGACCTAAGCCCTTTTCTCTATGGGGGTGCATACTGTAGCGGTGTCCGTGAAAAGGTATCGATGACAGAAAAATGACTAGGGCTACTTCATGCTATTATGGCGGCACTTCCTTTGAGTCCACTAGCGAGAGGATCACCCTGTATATATGTATGTATGTCATACATACATATGTAATGCATACAAGAAACATCGGATAAATCTGAAGTTAATCCTTTATGCATACCAGCATCGCAGTACCCTCGACCACGCTCGGCATCCCTCTAGGGAAAACGGCAGTCTAAGCCAATGGAGGAGAAGGTGTCTCTACAACTTGAGTATGATACCACGAGGCTCGAGACAAATAAACAGTCGCTAAATGAATAATGAGCTCGATTCGAAAGTCGGTTGACAAAATAATTAATCATGTATATACATAAATTCTCCGCTATAAAAATCGTTTCTTTGCCATTACTGCTATTACTGTCACCGTAACTCATCGCCGATGATAACTTTCATTTTTATATACTATGTGTAAAGGAAGAGGGAGGAAGGAGCCCATTAATAATTATTAAACATTTCAGTTATTCCACAAATTATAAAATACGTAGAATAATATCGTTGGATCAAAATTATTTTATACATAAAAAGCAATTGTAAACTGTATAGCAACTTTTAGTTGAAATTATACAACGAAATCTCATGGTTGATTACAATGTAAAACGATGTTTAATATTAATGGGAACAAAAAAAAAAAATTTAGTTCACAGATCTGCCTCACTTTTTCCATTCTGTTATTACTTGTCTTAAAAAGTTTTGTACTTACATACTGATGTATTATATATGTATGTATATAAATAAAATTACAAGATTAAAAAAGTTGAATAAATTTACTTAACAATAAATTCAAGTGTACGATAACACCCGAGCACGACTAAACTTATTCTATATTATGTATGTATGTATGTATGTATACCGCAGTTCACCAGAGTCCATAACTGCGAAAAGACCAGTTTTCGTTCTTCGCGCTTCTCCAGTACGCATCTTCGCCCTGATTGGCGATACTCCCAAACGAAGTGGAAAGCGATTAGCAGAGAGCTCGCTGCGTTCCCCCACCATCTTCCAACCTGCGCGTCACAGTTATGGACTCCGGTGAACTGCGGTATATGTATGTACACGAGTAATAACCCTTTCGACACTACAGATATCATCATTCGGCAAAGTCCGGCTACACGGAGCGTACAGATCTGCGGGGTTCTATTCCGAAAGGGTTACATAAACAGTACCTACTGAAAAATAAGGCAGATTCGTATAATTTAACGATCATACTTTTTCTGCCCCGCAGTAAAATGATGAGGAGTAAATTTCACGTTACGTAGAGAAACGCCTCAGTCGTAGTGTACTTTTATAAAATAAATTAGTGGGGCGAAATTCGTTAAAAAAATGAAATATACATATATGTATGTACAGTGATGCGCTGCGTAACAGCGTTTCGATCAACGACGAACGGCATACATGTATAAGACGCAGAATACCATATAATCTAGGTGTGTACATACAGAGTAGAGTAAAGGATCTAGATCTGGATAAGTACTTACACTGCATGATTTTCGTATAACGACGCGTTTCTTACAACGTACCCTTGTCGTTAAGTGGCGCATAACTGTACATATGTATGTATGTATGTGGACATTTTCATGCAACGCGATAACGATGCAACTCGATTTTTAATTAACTCTTTAGCAATTTCGAGTCAATATTTAATTTCATTTCCGCGTTAAAATTATTGTAAAATGATAACAGTTACTTTATCGAAACTGTTCGTATCGTTTACAAGTTTGCACGCTCGTTACAAGACACTCGTAATAGAAACTGTATAAAAATAAAATGTAAATTATTCAGGAACAGTAGCTACATATGCCTAGCAGCAACTGTAGGTAATGGAATGTAGATAAATGATACTCGTATACCATACGATTGTCAGTACGAATTGGTGATCTCGAAACAAGCAATCGTTTGATCATTTTTCATTGCATTTCACGCTCGCTACTCGGTAATACTGCTAGTATACACGAAGTTGCCATAGAACGTATACGATATCGTTTGATTTGAGAAAGCAAACATCGTGAATACTAGAAAACATACTGCATTTGTTTAAATAGAAGTAACATTTTCAAGCTAGCGCGTCGCATAAATGCAAAAAAAAATAAAAAGTTAACTTGCAAGCTTTAGTGTAATTTTTGAAAAAATTACCTATAGCGATGCAAAAAATTCGAGTTTGATCAATCACAGACTACAATAGGTCACTTATAAATATGTACATGGATGTACGCACGCTCACGCTCACGCTCAATGATAATTTCGACTGCAATTTTATTTTTACGCAATAATCTCATTTAAAGAGAGCCAAGGTCACCAACATGGTGTAATAATGAAATTATTGTGTAATCGCACACAATTAACAATGAAAAAATGACGAGGAACTGACTGTTATCATTTTTCTTTTCTTTTTTTTTTTACGTGTATAAAGCTGTACAACGGAATATCGAGTACATGAGAGTATTAAATCGACAACATTATACGAGTAAACGAATCTGCTATAATTATTCTGATTGTGAGAAAGAAGGATAAGACACGTTTTCATGTTTAATCGCAAACAAATTGGGGAGTAAAGATTACGTACGTTACGAACGATTCTTTACTCGTTACCGCTCGAATAGGAAAGCTTGGAAACTCCATAGTTATTACTACGATCAGAGGCAAATGTTTGCGACAAATAACGAGAAAATAACGATTCGAACAAAGAATTACAGTCTGTTGATAAAACATTTCTTTCGATCTATCGTCGATCGTCGATCGTCGATCGTCAATCGCCCGTCAACGAACAACGAACAACAAACGACAAACGACGAACGACGAACGACGAACGACGAACGACGAAGGAACAAATACTGGATCGATGCGTAGAAAATAGAAAGTGATGTCGCTGGTCTATGATAAACAAGGTAAACGAGGTACACGAACTAAAAGACAAGTGCCGTTTGGAGGATTAGCTTGTTATAGATGCTTATCATTTACATTTGCTCTTTCCGTCCAGTAATTTCTTCCAAAGATCAAACTGTTCAACATACTTGACCATATGAATGCTGATACCACGTTGCACGTTGCATGCGCTGTACGATATTTTTTTATTTAAAAATTCGTTGGCATGCGTCCTCTTAATTCCTAGTTTGTCGGCAACGATACCGGTGACAAAAACGTCTTCAAGCTTGAGGTACGTTTGATCGAATGCAGCGTCGTACAATTTGCGAACGATGTCGGTAGACAATAGATAAGCCGGACCAGTGGTGAAATCTGGAAAAACGGTATGTTTGAACTGCGTTTGAGAAACATAATATTTGCTTTTTTTATTTCTAATTGGTTTCCACTTTTTAGCCAATCTACCAAATATCACGTTCTTGTCTTTCGCGTGTTTCATTATGAAAGCCTGTAGACGCGGAACGTTAATAAACATATCGTCGTCGGTTTTTAAAAGAAATTTAACCTTCGGGCAATAACTATCCACCCATTCCAAGGTGGATATCGTTTTAAGCGTCAAGTTGGAGTAAGAATCTAAAAATTTTCCACGTATTATATTGTTGTAAGTCTTTTGTTCTTTCCTTAAAATCATTTCCACTTTCGGGTCTAAAGTTGCACCCAACATAAACAAGATCGCAATGTCGTTCCTCTGACCAAAGTGACCCCACGTTTGTCGTATTGCCATTCGAGCCTCGAGATGAGTCGGCGCTGACATTATTATTATAACAAGATCCATTTCTTTGCCAAAATTTGGGCAGCTTTCCGGAATCGGTACCGTGTGACCAGCTTCGTAAATAGCACGTAAAGAGTACTCGTTAAAAACTGTCGAGGCTTCTTTCGTTTCATTGTTGAAAGCCTTTTCCGCTCGCGCTGCAGGCTTTTCGCTGCTTTGTTTCGAACCAACTATCGATATATTATTAACGAAAGACAGAGCTTGAGAACTACTAGAAGACGGCGACAGCATCGTAACCAGAGAATTTGAAACGTTGCTGGTATTTTGCGAATTATAAGAACCAGCTGCTGCTGCTGCTACTGAAGATTCAACGGAAGCGTTCTTTGACGGGACAACCATACGTGGCTCTGCGCTTGCATTTGCTCGCTGTTTGTACATTTCTCGAAACGGAGAATAACCTAAACAGAAAGAAAGAAAGAAAGAAAGAAAGAAAAATGTTTTTTCTTATCGAATACATAAGTAAATACAATACTTTGTACACATTACATATGTGACACTCTACAAGGAATAGAAAAAAATAACTTACTAATATTCCGAGATACGGTGTATTGAGTTACATCGTAATAAGTAGTACGATAATATGCGTAAAAAGTCAATGCAATTAATCCTAGTATTAGGGTTTGCAACGGCCGATTACGAAGATGTAACAATTGATGCATCGTGAAACTTTTCGCTGCTCGTTTATTATTTCCTTTCGATGCTTTCGAACGAATTCTTCGCTTACGTTGTTGCAATATACATACATATATTTAATATATATATCATGGAACAATTCCAAGAGCGAATTCCTGCGTGACGACGAGTCCTCGCAAACTCCAGCAGAGAAACAAGGTTGCTTTTCACGCGAATCGAAGAATATTTCGCTAAATAAATCATTCCCATACTGCTTCGGTAGAAGCAACAATATTTAATATCCTCGAATATTTCCTTGTTTTATCTAACACTTTCCTGAACATGTTTACGAACAGATGGTTGTTTATCCTTTAAATTCGCTTTATGCGAGTTTTGTGTTTAACAAACAGCCAAAGCATGGCAATTATTCACACGTCTTGCTTTAACTCGGTACGCACTAGTTTCTTACTTATTTTTTACACAACAAGGAAACATGTACTTATGTACATGTATGTATACATATAATTATAGAGGCAGCAAACTAGCGTAACACGTAACCGTAGCATCAAACGAAATGATCGCCATCGTTGCTGCGTTGCTGCCTGCCGCATCAACGATGATCAACGATGATCAACGACACCACGGCACCAAGACACCACGCAAGGATTATTTCTATGCTGCTATGCTGCGAGAATATCGATACACGTTGTATCGATGGCGTCGATGTTATCCTCGATTGTCTGCCATCACGATTCGTCGCGATCACTTTTTATTACGAGAAATTTCGATCTCACATAACGTTACGGCGACATCTATCGACTATCGAGAGTATCGAGTCGTATCCAGTTTGACCAACTTTGCCTCATGCGATGACTACCGACTATGTTCACATCAGAAGATATTTCTTGTTTCGAATTACTTACATAAGTATTTGATCTTGTAATTTACGCTTACAATTAGTTGCTTATAACTGATGTTTTACATTTTTAAAGACAATTTATTAATCTATCGAGGATAATCTGTCAAACTTTAAATTGATTAAGCCGAATTAATCAGCGATGGTAAAAAGTCAAATGAAATGTCTAACGCTAACAATAAATAAGAAGGCATGGTAAAATATCTGTAAAAAAGAATAGAGTTTAGTCAAGAATAAAAAAAAATGATGCTTTTGTTTTTAAAGACTTACAGGTAAGCCAGGTTTGTATGTATGTATGTATGTATGTATGTATGTACATTTATCCAATCGTCAAAATTCGATTATGTATATCGAACGATCGAATGATCGATTTAAATATCTTCGAGACAAATGAAATTGAAAACTGATGCAGGATGAAAATGACGGTGCTGCAACAAAAGCGAACAAATTATTTGAAATGATCGGGAAGCAGAAAGGAGGACGGTAAGGGAGAAGAGAAGAGATAGGGAAGAAGAAAGAAAGCATAAAAGCATGAAAGCATGAAAGCATGAAAGCATGAAAGTATGAAACTGGGCGGGTAGAACGGGCAAAAGTATTTCGTTTGAGAGTTTGCGATTATAGCCATTGGGAAGTAGGAACAATTGATCGATAACCTATTTTTCTGTAGTTGGCAGAGAGCCAGAATTTCAGAGAAATACGCTGACTAAATAGGAAGGCGAATGGCGTAACCTCGTCCTAGGTCACGAATGTTTCCAATGTTGTTGGGTAATTTCAACATATTACAACAAGATTCTTGATAAAAAGCATAGCGAGGGGAGTTTATTGTATCCAAAACGGACGTTTTTCTTTACAGAAGAAAAGTAAAGTGTCCAGTAAAGTTGATTGAAAATGCGTAGATATGTAAAATGAGAGAAAATTATTCGAATAAATTGGTCGGTCGTTAGCGTTTTTAACATGACGATATTAGTAGGAAGTAGTAGGAAGATGTAGGAGACGGAGTCGGTCTGAGTTGGAATCAGAGAACCGTTTTGATCGCTAGTGACAGCAACACCGACCAACCACAATGCTACCGCTACCGCGCGCAATCGATCGATCTTCCCCCCTATCTATATATGTACATCCCATCTCTTCGTACCATATCTCTACTTTTCTTTTCACACCCCTTATTCTTTATGTGCATTCTTATCTTTCCTATTATCTACGTTAATTTGATTTTCATTCAGAACATACATCTCTGTTTTTGCACGCTTTTCGAAACCTTTTTGTGTCGTTACACCCTGACGTGTACTTTATCCGTTCTGTTTACGGTAGTTGTTTCTTAAATTTTATTATTTTTGTTCGTTGTGTTCCTTATCCTCATCGGTTACCTCCCTTATTCTCTTTCTATAGTTTTCTATGCCGGTACTTACTTACTTACTTACATACGTGAGTACCCGCGTCGGCGTCGGCGTCGGCGTCGGCGTCGGCGTCGGCGTCCGAGTCGGCGCTATCGCTTACATGGTTAGTCAGTTGTCGAGCGGAGTCGGACGAGAACGTTGGTTGATTGCGATAATTGGAAGTTGAATCCGTCCACTCTCTGTTTCAGTTTGTTTGAAAATCGAAAAAATTGAAAGAATCGAAAGAATCGAAAGAATTTCCCTGAATCAAGTGCTAGGGAGTGAAATACAAAGGGTACCGAAGTTTCTTCCCTTTTATCGACGCGATCGCATTGTGTTTTTTTCTAGTGCCCCTGAAGAAGTGCGTTTCAACGTGATAATATGAACGCAAGATGATTTGCCGATATTCAGGGTCATTGTGGCCACGCATTGCTTGAGAGAAAAGAAAAGGTTGGTTTTCTCTGCTTCGCAATAACGATCGGGAAAAGGTATAGCACGTGCGCATGCACGGAGAAAAGCGAGAGAGCGAACTAGATACTGTTTACGAGGGAAAGAGTGAGCGAACGAGTAAACGATCGAGTGAGAAAGAAGAAAAGAAAGAGAACGGGAAAGGGAAAGGGAAAGGGAAAGGGAAAGGGACCGGAAAAAGGAAAAAGAGGAAGAGAACGATAATAGTAGAAAATTCGCTCCAATAAGTAAGTAAATTCTTATCGTTAGTTGAAATGTTCTCGTGCGATGACACACCCATCAAATCGGTAAAACATCGCATTCAGCCAAATATGTAGCCGAAAACTGTTTTCGATATCTCAACAATTTTGTCGATATAGCAAGTTATTTAATTTCACGGGAAAACAATCGACAACCCTCGGAAGATTTTCGACGCCAGATACATCTAAACCAAGAAATAATTAAAGTTTTTTCATCATTTCCTCGATGGTTGGTGAATAAAAGCTGAGGAAAAGAATAAGGTGTAATTACACGTGCTCTGATGTCGCGGCAAAGGTAGCGCAGCATGGACGGAATCCAGCTTTGATGTTACCTTGATTGTCTCTAATTATATTTCACACTGCTCGTTATTTTTTCTTCTTCGACTCGATCTTTCGATCACGCTTTCCCCAACAATTCGCAAAACAATGATCAATCGGAGATAAATATAAAAGAGACGGAAGCGGAGAATCTAATCTTTGTCGCTCGATTAGAATAATCGTGACAAGTTGGCTGTAACGTTTGTAGGTCGAGTTAACTCGAAACTAAAAGGTACAACATATTTTTATACTTCCGTTTGTCATCGCGTAAAAGAAGAGATATTGTTACACTTAACACAAATTCGCAATACTCTTTTACGCTTACCTATATTTTTCTACCTGTACACGCCGTGTAATTATAAAGTGTAAAGAATCGATACGAAAAGAAATTAATTTGGTTTGTCGAAGGAGATGAAAGGATGTAATAGTATGGTGTTTGCAGGAGGAACGACGAGTTATCGAGGTTGTGCCAGAAATATTTACATATCGGTATACGGGTGGTTGAGATTCGGCGGTGGGCTGGTTCCAAGCGATGTTTTCTTTCTGGTCAATTTAGCTTGTAAGACCGTCGTAACATAAATACATAATCGTAAGATCGTTCGTTGTTTCTTACGACATTCGGTCCCGCGGATTGACCGCGCGAGCTGACGCGCAAGTCAATCCTCGATCGAAGAAGAAGGAGAAGTAGATTTGCGAAAGAGCAACGAGGAGGATAGGAGCGAAGAGAGAGGAACAGTGGCAATCGATATTCGTCGCGGTTGCACCGGCAAACCCCTGTTTGTTTTTCTTTTACAGCCGCAGTCCGACCGCTGTCTACCTATTCCTTTGCGATTCGAATCGCAACCAACCATGCACACGATATTATACGTTCGGCTTGACTACTCTCTATGAACGAGCCAGAGTGACAGGGTAAAGATAATTTAAGGGTGAGGGAAGTAAGCGAGGCAAACTAGGAGGCGCGCAGCGGTTTAAACAGAGATTTAACGTTTATACTTAGGTGTCTCGAGCTGGAAGGAATAAGAGAAGAAGAAAGTAAGGAAGTAAGGAAGGAAGAAAGAAGAGCGGTCAGGAGCAAAGTTCCCTGAACGGTCAGAAAGGTGATTTCTGACGGAGCAGAATGATCGACCCGAGTTCGTCGGAGGCGGAAAGCGAGGAGGATCAAAGTCCTCAACACGCCGGAGGTGGCGGCGGAGGTGGCGGGAGTGGTGGAGGTGGACGTTCGTACGGTTCCCGCCGACAGATCGGACCCGCAGGAAATCTCGGTGGCGCGAGCGGTCCTGTCTCGGGAAGCGCGAATTCCGTTGCCTCGGGATTGACCTCTTCGCCCGGAGGCTTGAGCCATGGCACGGTCTCTACGCCACGAGCAGGTGCTGCAACCACCGCCGGTCAGGATGCCGGTTTCGATGCGTCAGCTGTTGCCGCTGCAAGGAACTCTCTATCGCCGTCTATGTCTGCCGCGCAGGACGCGGCCAATTACGCTCAGAGACCCACCAGCCCTTCGCCGTCGGTCGCCAGCGAGAAAACCGAAGTGGACATTCAGGTAAATAAGCCAAGCGAACACGTTCATTCGATGCGAATTATTCAACTTTTCCGAATCGTAGGACAAACAAGAGCGCGAGGAAGAGGAAAGAAAGACCAGGATACAGCTGTACGTGTTTGTTTCGAGATGTATCTCTTATCCGTTCAACGCCAAACAACCTTTAGATCTACCGAAGCGGCAGCTAAAAGTGACCAAACAGCAACTCGAGACGATCAGCTCGCGTTTCCAGGTGATTCTCCGTTCTTTTCCGTCCGTTACCACCGTTCCGTTCTTCCGTACATTCTTGATACGATTGATACGATTGATACGGTTGATACGGTTCAGCCGATAGCGGATACAGGAGAGACGCGAAGGTGGAGGCGATCAAAGAAACCTTTCGACAGAGACACGTCGCGTCGCGTTTCCGAAGCCGTACTTATTGTTAGTCCTATTGTTAGGAATTCGCCTCACCCTAATAACCTTCGCCTTCGCCTTCGCCTTCACCTTTGTCTATGTTTTTCATTTTCATTTCACCTGAAGAGAGTCGAAACAATATGGGGTAAGAGTGAAAATGGTGTTAAGTGTCGTTCGTTATTATTTACAGAGTTTTCTGAAGGGAGAAACACAGATAATTGCCGACGAAGCATTCCGCAACGCGATTCAGAATTACTACGACGTCTTCTTGACGTCGGATCGCGTTGTTCAGATGGTTCAAAGCGGTGCTTGCTCGCAACTCGACTTCCGCGAGGTATTCAAGAAGAACGTTGAGTTACGTGTTCGACGCCTCCCGGAAATCGACGGACTGAGCAAAGAGACTGTGCTTACGTCCTGGTTGGCCAAATTCGATTGTATCATGAAAGGTACGGGCGACGAGGAGACCAAGAGGCCTTCCAGGATGCAACAACAGTCTTTGATTTCGGAGATGATATTGTCAAAGGAGCAGCTGTACGACATGTTTCAGCAAATACTCGGCATCAAAAAGTTTGAGCATCAGCTTCTGTTCAACGCCCTCCTGTTGGACTCAGCCGACGAACAGGCTGCCGCCATCAGGAGGGAGCTGGACGGTCGCCTTACGAAAGTGAACGAAATGGAAAAGGTAAATGGAAAACGTTCGACCTTATCACGTTCGTCGCTCCTCTTTATCTTTATCTTTATTTTGTTATTCGTAGAACCGCAAGCTCATGCCGAAATTCCTCCTAAAAGAAATGGAGTCGCTCTACATCGAGGAACTCAAGTCGTCTATCAATCTGCTGATGGCTAATTTGGAGTCGTTACCGGTCTCGAAAGGTTCGATAGACAGCAAATACGGCCTGCAGAAGCTGAAGCGCTACAATCATCGTCGAGAGCGCTCCCGCTGCCGCGGCCAGGGTTCTCTCGTTAAATTGGAGAGCGATTCCGCCGACTCTGAACCGCAGCTGAGCAAAGTGGACGTCGGTCTCACTTTCCAGCTGGCGGTGGTCGTGATGGAGGTAAAGGGCTTGAAGAGCCTACCACCCAACAAGATAGTTTATTGTACGATGGAGGTTGAGGGAAACAAAAAGTTGCAGACTGATCATGCGGAAGCTTCGAAACCCACGTCAGTATTAGTCTAGCCTTTTCTAGTCTTTTCTAATCGCATCGTAAATCGTAATTGATTTGAAACAGGTGGGAAACTCAGGGTGATTTTACGACCATGCACCCCTTACCAGTGGTCAAGGTTCGTTTGTATACCGAGAACTCGGCGATGTTGGCGCTCGAGGACAAAGAGTTGGGCAAAGTCATCCTACGACCAACTCCGTTTTCTTCGAAACAACCGGAATGGTACAAAATGATCGTCCCGAAAAATTGTCCCGATCAGGATCTTCGAATCAAGATCGGTTGCCGAATGGATAAGCCGTTCAACATGAAGCATTGCGGTTATCTGTACGCGATGGGCAAGTCCGTTTGGAAAAAGTGGAAAAAGCGGTATCACGTGTTGGTCCAAGTGTCCCAATACACGTTCGCGATGTGCTCCTACAAAGAAAAGAGAAGCGAGCCCTCGGAAATGATGCAATTGGACGGTTATACAGTTGACTACATCGAACCCGTTTCCGCGAATCTGATGGTCGGCATGGATCTAGACGATGGAAGGTAAATTCAGTCGCGCCTTTTCCGAGTCAAGTATCATTACCTCTCCAAGTAACGTTTTGTACCGTTCCGTTTCTTTTCTTTTCTTTTCTTTTCGTTTCTGTTCTGTTCTATTCTGTTCGTAGGTTTTACTTCAACGCTGTTCGCGAAGGAGATAGCATCGTGTTTGCATCGGACGATGAAAACGAGTGTCAAACTTGGGTGATGGTTATGTACAGAGCGACCGGTCAGTCGCACAAACCGACCCCACCGGTTTCCGTCGCGGACAAAAATTCGGCCATCAGTAAAATACAAGGCGACGCGGATCGTGCAAAGAAACACGGAATGGAAGATTACATCAGCGCCGATCCGTGCAAATTCGATCATCACGCTTTTTTCAAATTTCTACAAAATATGGTGCTAGATTATCGACTCAACGATCCCTACTGCTCTCTCGGCTGGTTCTCGCCTGGTCAGGTGTTTGTACTCGACGAATATTGCGCCAGGTAATAATCCCTACTCTTCCTTTAATTTTTTTTCAAGATTTCTTTGCAAGAGTAAGTTTTTACCTCCTCCTTCTCTCGTTGAATCTTTTGCACAGGTACGGCGTACGCGGTTGCTTTCGACATCTCTGTTATCTAAACGATTTGTTGGACCGAATTGATAGAGGACTGATGATAGATCCAACTTTGCTACACTACAGCTTCGCCTTTTGTGCCACCCACGTGTACGGTAACCGAACCGACAGGGTAGGTTCTATAACGCACGAGGAGAAGGAAAAGTTTCAAGAGATCAAAGAAAGGCTTAGACAGATTCTCGAGAAACAAATTACCAACTTTCGGTAAGTAGAGAAATTTTTTCTTTCCCTCGCGTCGTCGTTTTTTTCTTTGCTCTGTGTCCAGCAGCAGCAGCAGCAGCGAACAGGATATCGAGCGGCATCCTTTTTCGTCTTTTTCGTCTTTTTCGTCTTTTTCGTCTTTTTCGTCTTTTTCGTCTTTTCCTCATTTCCTCTTTTCCTCTTTTCCTCTTTTGACCAAATTCGAGTTTAGGACAACGACTCGCTGATACAATAATAAGAGGAATTTAATTGGATAACGGCACGATCACGAAACAGGTACAGTTTTCCGTTCGGCCGGCCGGAGGGTGCGTTAAAGGCTACCTTATCCCTGTTGGAACGAGTGATGATGAAGGAAGGTGTCAGTCCGGTGACCCAAGAAGAGGTGAAGGCTTTGATCAAAAGTTGCCTAGAAACTGCTGCTCTCGTTAATTACACGAAACTCTCGGCCGAAGCTAAGATCGAAGACGATCTCAGCGGCGAAGTCTGCGTCCCACCCAGCAAGAAGCTCGAAGATCTTATACATCTCGCCGAAATGTGCGTGGATTTGCTTCAACAAAACGGAGAGCATTACTCGGAGGTATTAGTTGGGTTTCTATAACTGAATTAAATCTTTTCGGATTCTCGAGGTTCGAGCATTTATAAAAAGGAAATATTCGAACCTTCTTACTTCTCCTTCTTTTTTATACCTTCGTACTTTCTTCCTACGTTTCGAAGACGAAAAAAAGGAGAATCGCTTGGTTTTGAATAGACGCACCGCGTACTCGAGAATCCCCTTTGCTCAGGGCAATGTTACGCGATTTCCCGCTTGCCCTGAGTTTAACGAAACCCGTGCCCGTCCTCGTATATGTGTGATGTCCAATATTTTCACGATCCGCTCCTACTACACTGTACCGCAGGCGTTCGCCTGGTTTAGCGACCTCATGGTGGAGCACGCCGAGATCTTCTGGTCCTTGTTCGCTGTCGACATGGACAAGGTGCTCGCAGAACAACCACCGGACACCTGGGACAGTTTTCCGTTGTTTAAAATCATGAACGACTACTTGCGAGAAGACGGTAACTTTCTCTACTCGATTTTCATTTCGATTTCGATTTCGATTTCGACTCCTCGATTCCTTATTCTTTTTTCGTACAGACAATTTGAAGAACGGCAGATTTCATCAGCATCTTCGCGACACTTTTGCACCGTTGGTCGTGCGTTACGTCGACCTGATGGAAACGTCGATCGCTCAATCGATTCACAAAGGATTTGAGAAGGAACGTTGGGAGATCAAAGGAAATGGATGCGCCACTTCCGAAGAACTTTTTTGGAAGTTGGACGCTCTCCAGTCGTTTATCCGCGATTTGCATTGGCCTGACCAAGAATTTCGCCAACATCTCGAGCAAAGGTTGACTTTGATGGCCTGCGACATGATCGAATCTTGCATTCAACGAACGGATACCGCGTTTCAGCAGTGGCTGAAGAAAGGTGTAACTTTCATATCAACCGATTACATCATCCCATCGGAAATGTGCGCAATGGTGAACGTTATTCTCGATGCGAAAAACCAAAGCTTCGAACTTTGTACGATCGATGCTGTTGACGTGGTAAGCCTGTTTACCTTTTACCCAAAACCCTTAATTATTTATCATTTATCGCTTATCGCTTTCCATCAGCTAACGTGATCTCGTTTGCTGCTTATAGCATCAGTATCATGCGAAAATTGACGATTTGATAGAAAAAGCATCAGCCGCAATGACCCAAGGGATGATCAACAAGCTGGTTACGGTCTTGGAGACCACCCTGTCCAAGCTGTCTCGTTACGACGAAGGATCCTTTATAGGTTCCATTCTCAGCCTTACGGTAATTTATTTCTCCCCGTCTACCACTTAATTTAATACATGGCGGCCTTTTAGCAGATTTCTAACGAAAATCTTTTCAGAAGGTATCGGGCAGCGGAAAAGAAATGGGACAAGCCTACGTAAATTTCACGAGGAACTGCATTGATCAGATTCGTGGTAAAGTGTTGGACGAACTGTGGATTTTAACATTTTTCGAGGTAAACTCACGATTACCTAAATTCCAGGTCCAGGCATTTCGTTTTCGTTTTCGTTTTCGTTTTCGTCTAGACGGTTCCTTCTCTTGAAAATCTCGAAACCTTGTCTTTTCAGCAATGGTATACGGCACAAATTCAAATGCTTTGCAATTGGCTTTCCGAAAGGCTCGATCACAGCTTACACCTGTACCAGTGTACTTGTCTTGCCCACATCGTGAAGAAAATTTATTCCGACTTTGAGCTGCACGGTGTCATAGAAGAGAAACTGAATTCGATGACATATCAGACTATATCTAAGAGAATGCAAACGGAAGAAGCGACTTGTGCCTTAACGAGCGTTCAGAACGAAGAGTAAGTAGCCAGCCGTGAATCGTGAATTCCGTTTCGCCTTTTCCGTATTGCTCGCCTTTCCATTTTACAGGGGACTTTCGGAGAACGGCAACGATGACGAGGTGGAGCGACCAAAGACCAAGGTAACAATCGTGGAAACGATGCCTGGCGAAGACGCTAACTACGTCTCCAATATTAGCAACGTTACTTCGAACGTTGTTGGAAAAGTTGGAAGTATGTTCGGTAAGGGCATCGGTGGCCTTTCTACGAAATTTGGCGGAGCCAGCTGGTTCTAATTATTATTATTACTTCCTATTTACTTTATTACTGCTATTATTATTATCATTATTATTATTATTATTATTATTATTATTATTATTGCCATTATTTATGTTATGTCTGTTACCATTTCTCTTTATCGTCATATTTTTCTTCATTCTTTTTCTTCTTGTAATTACTTATATTTATTATTATCATTATCGTCATCATTATCATCATCAACATCATTATCATTACTGTTGTCATTATTATTGCTATTACCACTACTATTTTCGTGTTCGTTACTTTTAGTATTTTGCGAGTGTACGTCACAGCCGGCGATTAAGTTTCTTTGTCTATATACATACATACGTATATATGTACATACAAAACAAAAAGAGAGAGTTACGACAACAGGATTGTCCGCAGTACGTTTTAGGAACATATTTAAATTACGATTGTTTGAAGAAAAATCGTCGTTCGGTACGATGGATCGAAAGAATAATCCCTACCGTTTCGACCCAAAAATGTATTTTTATTTCTAAGTGGATTTCTAAGTTTATTTCTTGTTTTACTACGTTTAACCGTTCGTTCGTCCGTCCGTCCGTCCGTCCGTCCGTCCGTTCGTTGAAAATTGAAAATAGTTGAAAGATTCGAAACGATTAATTATTATTATTAGATAGTCTGGCATTTAATAGCAAGTATTGTCGGACCTACACGTTGTACACATTTCTACGACACTACTATTCTTCTCTTTATCTTTCTAGATCAATGTTAATACATTACACCATTCGATATAATATAATGTAAATATGTAGATCTTGTTTCGATGTTTTAAAACAAAGGTTTATCAACGAAAACGCGTGCCTATTTCATCTCATCTCGTCTCATCCCGTTTCGTATAATCAATTTCAAACGATTGAATCGCTTTTTTCCTTCTATTCTTTCGCGTTAATTATTGGTAGGTAATTTTTTAGAAGAACCGTCCAACAGTTGACATTAGACTCTGTTTCAATAACGAGACAGTGTCGATTCACCAGAGAAGAGTAATTCGACTTAATCATCTCGTATCTTTTTTTTACAGCGCTAATGAAACATATTTTATTTATTATTTATACGTATTTTTCCTAATTTCTCCTACTTCGAACGAACGAACGAACGAACGAACGAACGAACGAACGAACGAACGAACGATATATATATATATAATATAAGAGATATCTCGCGATCTGTCTTCCGATCGACGTGTATTTTGACATATCGGTGTGCGCGAAACAAATACGCGTTTCAACGTTTTGTTTCTGCCCGGCACACTAGATAAAAAACGCTTGTCGTTGATTGCAATATCTGCATTTAAATATACCTTTGATCGGGGAGAATGCGTGCTGCATTCGCAAACAGTTATCGATAGCCGTTTCTTTGTACATATTTTAGCAAATTCGTCGATAAACGAAGGAAAGGAGATTTTTATATAATGTAAATTATCGCGTTTAAACGCATTTAATCGTAGAATATGCGATTCTACGCGTGTCGATGAATGGCAAAAAAATGTCTTCTCTTCGATTCGACGAGACTCGAGGAGGCTCGTGTAAAAGAAAAAAAGAAAAAACATGTTTCTTAGATTACTCTTGGCAGGAGTTGTTTACGCGTAACTTGTATTACTATCAATTAGATGTATTTAAAATTGAAGAATTGAAGAAACGCGTGTCAGTTACACTTTGTTATTTCGTATCAGAGATGCCTTTCGTACTCTTTACACAAAAAACAAAACATATATTCATTGTTACACGTTTAGCGGTATTGGCATGGGACGTGGGACATGGGACATGGGACAGATTAAAGCGCTCGACAAATTAATATAAGCCGTGATTAGAATCGATTTACGGAGAGAAATCTTCTTAGAATATTTTGCTTCTCTTCGTTTCGATGATTCGTCGTCGCGCGTGTCGTGATCGATGTCCCTGAATAAATGCCAAAAGTGGTTAATCGAGGCCTTGATGAAAAAAAAAAAAAAAAAAAAAAAAAAACACACACACCAGAAAAAAAGAAAAAAAACTTAACTTTATGATTTTCGACGGCAAACGCTAAACGTAAGGGGCACTTTTTCAACTCAAACGGACACGTTAGAGAAGAAAAAATGGGAAGAAAAAAACAAGCAGTTATGTAAATCGTTGTAGCGTACTTGCAGCCGATGCTAACGGTACTACACACTTATTATGATTATTATCATTCTTACTATTGACTATTCTCTTGTAATCTACGACTAATTAGACTAGAACGATTAAGAAAGGGTCTCCTTTTACTCCGACGATAATACTCGTGCCCTTTCTCTCTCTGTCTCTCTGTCTCTCTAACTCTAGCCCAAGTCTCAGCAACTTTTTCCTATTATTCTTGATGCCCTTTAATTATTTTATATTTCAAACTTTCACCTTTTTCCATTTTGTTGGTTATCACTCAGAATCAGTAATCGGCATCCTTTCCTCTTCCTTTCTTTTCTTTTCCATAGCCGCAACGCGGCGTATACGCGCACACGAGTATGTATGTACACAGTAAAGAAGCAGATTTAGATAGAAATATGGATACATACACGGATACGGATACGGTGGAAAAGAAACAGATACCTTAGCGACACTTAGCCTGATATTTTCAATCCTCTATTCGTTCCTTCGTCTCACTATTTCATTTCGATTGTGTTTTACTATTGTTTTAGTTAAAAATCATTGCAGAGTCTTTTACTACTCTAGCCAGTGTTCTACTCGATTAAACTTTTATGCAGTTGTTGTTCTCTCGTTAATAAAATATCCTCCGACAAAAAGAAAAAGTTACGGTAGAAATTTCATTTCCTTCTTGAGATATCGGCGCACGGAACGTCATGCATATTGTCATTCCTTCATGTAAGTTTCATCTAGCACCCTTTTGTCCGTTTACTGGCTATTATCTCTCTGTGCGTGTATACTCGGAACGAGATCGTAAACCAGTTAAAAGGCAAGTTGTCTTCGCGTAGAACGCTCTCGTGTGAATGTTAATAACGTATGCATTTTCTGTAAAGGCATTTTTCATGCACGCACGCAACACGCATTTTCACATAGCATCGTCATTGTACCAAGAGCGAATACTTTTTGTAAATAAACAATATGCTAATGTTGATACTTTGTATCCTTGCTCCAAGGATTTTTAATCCAGCTTCGTTCGTTAGATCGTATTACGTATGTATTTTCGATTTTCTTCTGACGCGCGCTTTTTTTTCCTATATTAACCGATCACGAGTCCAAACCATTAATTTCATTCCCCATTACTCATTCAATTTCACGTCACTTTATTTCCTAACGTCGTTATTATTTTTTCTTTCCACATCGTGCATCCTCTGCTATGTAAGCCATACGTAAGTACATATACGCACTTACCTACTATCTCTAGTTAGCGAAACCTTTTTATTCTAAATTTTTAATTAATTCAATTTTATGGTAAATGCAGTGGTAAAAGAACAACAATTATCTTTTCTTTTCAATAATTTTCTTCGCTTTTTATCGTTAAACTGCATATACCGCGCTCTTATTCTATCAATCTGAATTAACCGCCAATCTATTTACTTACATCGTTCGTGATTAGTAAATTGGCTAGATCGTAAGTTTAAACGCGATTCGTTACTTAAAGATATATCGTTGTTATCGTTGTTAACGTATTAGCACTAGATTTTCTGAAAATTTTATAAAAAATTATTTTCTGCACAACGGAAAGCGGCGAGTGAAAATTATGATAACGTTTGAAAAGCGAGAGTTCGAAAGTGTAGCGCTGCGAGTTGTTCTTCGACTGGTTGCGTGAGGTCGCCGCGTAGAGGAATATCATTACCATAGTAAACGAATTTCATAAGAGCTCGCCTACTGACCTTGCTTTCCTTAGTACCGTTCCGCGTTTCGATTCGTGGTTAAGATAAAATCACGAACCAGAAGATCTAGCGATACACGTGAATAAGAAGTAGAAGCAATTCGATCGACTGGAACGCTACCGACACTCCAGGATAATTAATCGAGCAATTCACGGCCTACAAATGTTTTCGGTAAATATTTATATGTTCGAAAAAAAAAGAGCGCGAGCTCGAATTTATCATTTTTATTATATGTGTGTGTATATATATATATATCCTATATTTTAAAGAAGATACTTACGATGTTCATAGCTTAGATAAAAGAAAAAAAAAAATGAACAACTATACACTTTACTACTTGTTTATTGTTTCTAGTCTGTCGTGAGCAAAGTTGTTCGGCGCTCGTTTTCGACATCAAAATGGACTGCCGCACAACAGGTAAGAATTTTATTTCATCGAAATATCTTTAATTTCTACTCTTGCCAGAATATACGAACCTAACCTCTTTCGTTTGACAAGATCGTTTTCGCGTGTACGCTTCCCTTCTTTCAATGATGTTAACTTACTAAAAGACCTAGTTTTTCTTTCTTCTTTCTTCATTCTTCTTTCTTCTTTCTTATTTCTTCTTTCTATACTTATTACATTCAATTTATTTGTTTGTTTCTGCAATGATGTACTCGACGTGGCTGTTTCGCGTTGAAGGGCAACAAAGGTCATTCATTTTCGATTCTAATTATTCAATGTTCGTTTCGACAGATGAAAATCTATGACAACGATAATTTGCGTTGCGCATCGTTTCTAACGATTTCGATCGTTATCGCAACGAAATACAATAACACGTTTTACTTTCTTTCGGCATACACGGTGATCCTGATATATAGATGACTGTACGAGATGCTTTGAACTCGGCCTTGGACGAAGAAATGGAACGAGACGAAAAAGTATTTTTACTTGGCGAAGAAGTGGCACTCTACGATGGAGCGTATAAAGTTAGCAGAGGTCTTTGGAAAAAGTACGGAGACAAACGCGTGATCGATACTCCCATTACCGAGTCAGGATTTGCTGGTATCGCCGTTGGAGCTGCTATGGTAAAGAACTACTATGGTTCTTTCCTCGTAGCGTCTTTCAATTTTTTTACTCCTTACTCGAACTCGAATTGGAGCTCCCTCTGATCGAAATCGTATCATTTCAGGCTGGACTACGTCCGATTTGCGAGTTTATGACATTTAATTTCGCCATGCAAGCGATCGATCAGATAATCAATTCCGCTGCGAAAACATTTTACATGTCTGCTGGCAGAGTAAACGTACCTGTCGTGTTTCGTGGACCAAATGGAGCTGCAGCAGGTGTAGCGGCACAACACTCGCAATGCTTCGGTGCCTGGTACAGCCACTGCCCTGGTCTGAAAGTGGTATCTCCTTATAACAGCGAAGATGCCAAAGGACTGCTGAAAGCTGCCATTCGAGATCCCGACCCAGTCGTTGTATTAGAAAATGAAATTTTATACGGTCTTCAGTATCCCATGTCCGACGAGGCTTTATCGAAAGATTTTCTTCTTCCAATTGGTAAAGCGAAAATCGAACGTGTCGGTAAACACGTAACATTAGTAGCACATTCGAAAGCAGTCGAACAAGCTCTCGAAGCAGCAAACGAACTCGCGGGAAAAGGAATAGAGGCAGAAGTGATCAATCTCAGATCTTTACGACCGCTAGATATAGACACCATTGTACAATCAGTGGTGAAAACGAATCACGTTTTAACCGTTGAACAAGGTTGGCCACAATGCGGTATCGGAGCAGAGATTAGCGCTAGAATTTCCGAAAGTAAGTCTACTTATACCGAAACTCGTTCACTCGCGCATCAATCTGTTTTCACGTTACTTTTCTTTTCAGGCGAAGCGTTCTATCATCTGGATGCACCGGTAGTTCGTATCACAGGCGTTGATACTCCTATGCCTTATACTAAAACGTTAGAAACTATGGCTCTACCGCAAATGAATGATATTGTATTCGCGGTAAACAAAGTGCTAGGTTTATCCCAGTAGTGGTAACCAACCATTTGTATAGATCGCTAGGTAAAATTACAATTGCCCCTCGAATCCTTGTACCCTCCTCTTCAGTCGTATGGCCTCCCATAGGTACCTCTTTAATTACAAAATAAGTACAAAGATTTAACGATCATAGGATAAGTAGTAGAGAATTGTTTCAGCGATAGTGAACACGTTCGCGACTCGTGGTAATCAACAAGTATACCATGATTCGTACAACATACATCTATGCAAATGAAGAAAAAGAAAAAAAAAGAAAAAAAAAGAAAAGAAAAAACGAAACAAAACAAAACAAAAAACAATGTGTTCGTTCGAATTTTTCAATTAGTGCGTGTGTGTATGCGTCTATGTGTGGAAGTGACCGCGCTATCTCGAAAGAAATAACAGTACGAGCATTGAAATGAATAGTATCAATAACCAACAACTCTTACTTTTGATACAAAGTCAATCGAGAGTACAGATTTACTGCTACATGTATATATGTATACGTACAAACCAGTTTGAAAATAATTCGAAAATTCTACGTTCAGCTATGATATGCAACTAACAATAAATTGTAAAATTGTAAATTATATCAATTTCGAAAACAAGCTAATTAATAAATATGCTGCATTTGTTTATTAATTATTTATTATGGGAATTGAATAAATTGCAGTATACATATAATACAAATGGTCGGATTATTTATTTATAATTGTATCTTCTTTTTTATTTATGTTTCAACTGCTATCAACGTTTGTTGCGTTCAATTTCTGTATACCATCATCTTCTTGCATTAATAGTCACGTATGATACATACGCAATAAGCAACAAGTTACAACATTCATATAACGTTCAAAGGCATCTCTCAACTCGGTATCTCTGAAAATGAAAATCTATATACTTTTATCTTCTTTTACGCTAATTTGCATTTATTCCATACCTAAGTACATCCATGTCTAGCGCGCACTGAGTATAAACCGATAAGAAATTTCGAAGATCGGTATGGGTCCAGTTTACTTGACGCCATGGTTCGATGCATCTTTCGACTAACTCTAGAAAGAAAAACCGTAAATCTCTAGATCGATGAAGGTTACATCCAATTCCCAATATAGCTCTCGTGTATGAACGAAAATTCGAATCTATTTCCTGATACGAACGCTCAAGAAGCATCGGTTTAAGTTTGATGCATACTAAACTGTTTGAAACAACCATAATGTATAAGTTTGAATAATATACATACCTACCTACATAATATGTGTATATGTAAGTGAAATTTTATGCAATTTTATTTAACCAACAGACAACTTACTGTTTATGGTGTTTATCGTTTTCCAACAATATCCTACATTCTGCTAATTCCAATAAGAACTCTCTATCCAAATCGGTGTCAAAATATTCTGATCCGATACAGCGATACGTCCATGACGACATCATACTGTTGGCACAATGGTAGATATCAGGAAACGTTAGAAACTGCAGTTTCCTTTTATTCATCTCGAATCGAAGACAGGCAATGAATACCACCGCAGCGTATCGCCTAAGCGATCATATATCATAAATGTTAACAGAAATTTCGATCTATTCCATAACCGTGTCTACTATACTAGCGAGTCTCTTATAGCGTTACTTGGAAAGATCTTCGGAAAGTAAAAAGTGTTGCTCTATATTGGCAGCCAGAGATCCTGGCAAATCTTCCACCACTTTGAACACTCTCTTCACGTTGTCGTATTGTCTGCGACAACTCTTTAGCGTGATACCCGTCTTTTCTGACACTTCATCCAGGTCTTTTCTACTTTTCGATGTTAGCTTTTTCCCTAATAATTCTCTGATCACAACATCGTCGAATTCATAGTACCTAGAAATCAATCGGTGTCGATCAGAAAATCTTTTATTAGAAAAGAAACTGTATTTTGATGGTAAACAAACAAGTGTCTGATTACATTTCTATCAGCATTTGACTAGTTTGAGGTTCTATTTGAAAGGCAAGTTGTTCGCTAGCCAATTTCGTAGGCGTATGAAGCAGCTTTTCCAGAAGAGCATACGTACGATAATGATCTAGAATGTCGGAAGCAACCAATTCGATCGAGGCACTCGTTTCATGACATATTCCTCGTTGATGTAAAATGCTAACCGCTTCGCTCGCTAATTTTATAAAAAGAACGGTTAGGGTTAGGTCAATTTACAGATTTACAGATTCTGCTACAATAAACTTACAAGAATGACCATCAACCCAAAGCTGATATATTTCAGGATCGACAAGGGTATAATTACTGATGAACACGTCCACTTCAGACAACATTGTTGTCACAGTCTTGACGACAATACGAAACTGTACGAAACGATCAAACGATACGCTAGCTCAGCGTTGCTGCTTGATTACACTTTATTTCTATGTCCATCAATATCTTGCAACTTGAAATACCTAACGACAATACCGACAATACCGACGTCGCCCATTTTTCTCGGCTGTTCAGTTGCGCACTCTACAATTTAGAGCCATCATTGTACGAACTACATAACTTGACTACTTACAACATATGTAAGTAAGTACTTAAGTACTTATGTGTCAAGGCCGAATTCCGAATTCCGAATTCCACGCCGGTAAAACAGCCCACAATCTTCATCGAAGATTAGGCCGAACCGAATAGAAACTGATTTAAGCGCCACCTCAGTTATTTCATCCAACTAACGGCATGCAATACTACGTCACTTTTCGCATACACCCATGCATAAGTAAGTAAGTAAGTAAGTAAGTAAGTAATTTATGTATAAAAAAAAAGTGTTTGATTTGAAAAAATATATTTGTTATTTCATAGGGTAATAGGTAAAGCAAGAAAGCGCAGAATGTTTCTCGGAGGATCTACTACCTGTGCTCTTTTCTTCTGTGCCATTTCTTGGAGAAACCACATTCATAGAAGAAACGTAAGTAATATGTAGCCCAGCAAGAGAGAAATTATAAATCTGGTCGACTGATCCGTTCGAATGTATAAAAAGGTAGATACTTAGGTACGATGAAGGTGAATTTGATCGAATAATAAATAAATTTGATCGACGAGCACGATTACATTTCTGGTAGATTACATTCATGTTAAATGTAAAACGGTTGCCAGGTTAAAGGAGCACGGTTCGACGGCAACCGTATATACATACACGTAAGTACTTACTTATGTACGTAGATAGAAGATGAATACTGTTTCGCTCGTTCGCACGGCCGCGGCCGCCTGTGCAAACTGTATTATGCATACGTGTATGCTCGTACACTCGCGTCTCTCTACATTTACCGAAATGTCTTTGATACTTGAAATGTCTTTAACGATAATATCGTAATTCAACTAGCGAACAAGGTGTTGAAAGCATTCGAAAAAGATACGATCGTTGTTTAAAAAAAAAACGAATCACATACAACCACAGGCTTCTACCACCATGTTTGGCAATGTTTTTTGCGTAATCGTATTGTTAGAATCGACGTAGAGCAGCTGAATCGGTGATAATTGGGTGGGCGAACAACACGGAACGATTTCGCCTTTACGATGCATCGTGTTACCGTTTCTAGCCAACAATTTCTGAAATCAAAAAAAAAAAAAAAACACAAAGAACGGAGGAAGGTGTCATCCTTCATCTTCTCTCTTCTCTCTCCTCTCTTAATGGATAAAGGATTGTTAACGGTCGTTAACGAAAAGACGAAAAGACGAAAAGACGAAAACACATAAGAGAGAAGGTAGCATGCTCACTCTGATTACGTTGCTGTAGGGTGATCCGGTGATGGTCAAAGATGCTGCGGAGGAACAAGAGCCTCGACAAAAGTATGCGTGATAGCCGCTCGGATGAAGAATCCAGTCGTTCCAACCGATATCTTCGAAATTGATGTACAGTTCGTCTCTGCAGCATTCTTTCATTTCCGGCAGGCAATTTGAGTTTCTCTTAGGTCTGTTTTTCTGCGGCAATGGCGACGTGTGTATCACCAGAAAAGGTTTCAAAGTCTGCTGAATAGAAACTGGTGCGGTGTCTCGGTCAATAGAGCAGGTGCTACAGGCTATCTGAATCGCTTGGTTCAACCGAAGTTCCTCCACCCACTTCTTCAGCGTAAAGCTCACGTCGGCTTTTACCCATCCCTCTGAAACATTGAAACAACGACTCGGTTTGGTTGTTGGTTATTTTCGTTGTAACGTGTATCAGCAACTTTCTTTCAACTTTGTTCGCGTTACAATCCTCTCACCCCTATCTCGTCCCGCAATTTTACTTTTTTATCGATCAGTAGTAATCAATTCGAAATCGTCGTCGCGCTGCTCGTATGTTGCTCTACTCGATACGAGAACGCTTTTCTATCATCTATCAGCAGAACGTTGCGTTTTTCCCAACATACCCTCTCTCGGTCTAAAGTCCTTACCGCCAGTCAACAAATATAAATACATATATGGTACATACTTGGACGTGTACTTACAATTAGACAAAGAAAAGAAAGAAAAGAAAGAAAAGCTGTTGAAAGTTGTTTCGCCTTACTTACCTCCGATATCTGTTTCGAAAATCGCTACGATCGTGTTCTTTTCGAAACTTCTGTCCAGATCCCAGTGATCAAGTTCGGAAAGCACGAATGTTTGATTCAGATCGTCGTTCTCGTCGTGTTCTTTGTAAAACCATAATTGTGCCGAAGTCACGTCTACAAACTGCATTTCGTTTGGCAAGTAAAAGGTGAAACAAGCGGCAGGATTGAAGCCCGTCAAGTGGTTCGATTTCTGTCGACATTTTTTCGAATCGGCAATTCCTGAAACATTTATCACGAATTCATTTATCAAGACTTGTTTGGATGTTCCTTGTTCCATTCAAGCGGGCTTGATATAGTTAATTTTTACAAGCGTATTTGTAATCGTTCATCTAGAGAAAGGAGAATTAGAAAAGAAAGTAAAGGAAAGGAAAGGGATCGTAAACTAACCTTCGTTTGGAAAAACGACAATTTGATCGGTTTTTCCGTAGAAACTGTCAACCGATCTTTCCGGTTCGAGTGGTGTACCGGGTCGAAGTTCGAGCACACGACCATTTATCAAAGGCTTCGGCAAGGTCGAGAGCGACATGGATATCTCGGGTGGCTTCGAGAGTCGTAGCTTCTTGAGAATTTGCTGTTTCACGTACTCGACCCTTAACTCCGTTAAAATCGGATCGTTGACCAATAGGGTAATTTTGTTTTGCGTCGAACACCCAACGCAATTCTCTTCTTCGAACTTTGAAGAGGGGGATATGGAAGTAGAAGTGGAAGCGGTAGTGGTGGCGGTGATAGGAAATAAGGAATTCGAGGAGGTGGTGGCAGTAGTAGTGGCAGATCGGGAGTAAAAACTCCACCAAACGGAAGACAAGGGGTTTGCGACCTTGGGTAAAATAGCCTCGACCCGGTTACCCAGCAAAAGAAGGGAAAGAAGCAGAAGCTGGTCAACGAGTCGCATCGTTGCGAAATTCTTTTTCGATTTCCCACTCGTGATCCTCCCGATTCCTCTCTCTGTCTCTCTTCTTTTCGCTCTTATTTCTTTCCTCTACTCTTCTCTTTTTATCTTTCACTGATTCCTCCTTTCAGACGGCTTCGGGGATAGACGCGGATCGTTGAGCAGCCGCTCGTTTCCCATCGAGCCACGCTTGCTCATTGATTGATTGATTGATTGATTGATTGATCGATCGATCGAACGAGGTAAATTCGCCGAGGATCGAGATCGATCGCGCTAGCGCGGATTACTCTCGTCCATACCTTTCGATACCTTTCGTTCGTTCGTTCGCATTTTTCTTGTCGCTCTCTTTTTCTTCACGATACGATGCGATGTCCTCCCCGGTGATACGAAATCAAAAGGGATTTCTTCACCTTCCCTTCCCTTCGTCCCGACAATGTCCTCTTCGCATTAAACTTGTTCCCGATACTTTTTATAATAATTACGACCGCGATACTTTTTGCCTATCCGAGCGACTATCCAACCAACTCATCCACGAAGACTGAAGACACATCGTTCAGATGGTTTAGTCACGCATCGGTTCTCGGTATAGTCTGAACTTTGCTCTATAAGCGGGGGGATACAGCGGATTGGACGAAGACGAATCGTACTGATATCGTTTGATGGAAACACGCGCCACGAACATGCTTTTCTTTCTCGTCTTTTTCACCTACATTCTCGACCGTTCGCTCCTCTATTCCTAACATATACGTTTCATCGTCCAGTTCGCCGTAATTGGTCACCGTTTATTCCCAGCCTGTTTGAAAATTTAGTTTCAACTTCGTGTCACGCAGTGACTACGCGTACGCATCTCCTCCCGATAAACGAATTGCTCGGTGTTTTCTTGAATAGCCAAAAGATTTTTGTATAGTATCATCGATACCACCACTGCTCGTTTCCTTATTTGCGCCATCGTACATTTTAAGGCAGAACTGGTCTCTTCGTTTAACCATCCACTCCTTTTTTCCACTCTTCTTTCCGTGTATTCCATGAGATACCGTTTAAAATAAGGAACAGGGAGAAAATGAAACGCGGCACAGCATTGGTAGATATTCTAAAATCAATTTTAATCGTTACAATTTTGTCTCCGTTCAAAGTCGAACATAAGTAAGTAGGTAAGTCGAGCGTAAGCATAAAATTACGAAACGAAACGAAACGAAATGAAATAAAACACGTGTAGAGTTACTGATTACACTTTTGCATATGCCGCATAATTAGCTATGCCGCAACGATTTTTATTTTTCGCCAGACGCATGTAACCGTTTTCACCCCATCCGTCACCCCACCAATTTTTTAAAATCCATTCGGTCCGAGTATACCCCACGATTAGCATTGCGTGATTTACCATGTCCGAGCTACATACTTCGTCGTCGTAAACTCCATTGCTGCGAAAGATTAAATATTAGGTACACGTACATTTTGCAAAATTAAATGAAAAAAGAAAAAAAATAAGAAAATAGAGAAATGGAAAGAAATTCTATTTTCGGGACAGCTAAGCTGTTGGGTACCTACTTTAAACGAGAAAACGAAGAAAGAAAGAAATTTGTGTGATCTGGGCTCAACCTTCGCGGTATTTTTTTCACTTCCGAAACGCGAGTTCAGCGACTTTAATTTGGTTCGTTGCCGTTTCAGGGTCATCGCATAAACGATGCATCAAAGGTTATCGCGTAACTGGACCAATTTCTTCGAGTATAAACCATAAAAAGAAGAATACACGATTTTTCGTATTTTCATCTTTCGCGTAAACACGATCAACCACGAGTCGATCCCGTGTCAAAACGTTTCCCTTTTCTCTTCTTTTCTTTTCTTTTCTTCGCTTCCGCCATGTATTGCCTTTCTCTACACACACTCGCAGACTCACCCCTTTCGGGCGCTTAAAGAAATAAATAAAGAGAAAGTGGCACGTGGTATGTAGGAAAATTCAATCTCTCAACTCACGGTCAAACTATTTATTGGACTTATACGAAGTACATACAGAAGGAAAATAGAAGGAAATATACTCACTGATAGAGTTGAAAGGTCTTCGGACTGGCGTTTACCGAAGCAGCTATCGGACCTATAGTAGCTACGGCGGCTTCCAAAGCTTTCTCGTCGCGCGCCGGTAAGACAGCCCACGAGGTGATGTTGACCACGCTCAAGTCCTCTTGAAAACGGCATCGACCTTGCTGTTTCAAACGCGGGTCAATCCTTTCAATTTTCTATTATATTATTCTATGTATATTGCATATACGGTATCGAGCATTTTCATTTCCGAGAAAAAAGATTCTATTCAACTGTTCGATTTATTTGCGTAACGTTTGTTGACGCTGGCCAGTTCTCCGTGTATACGTTTTGCAGCAACATTTTTTCATTACATCAGCCATAAACGTGTACTCGAAGATAAGCATTCGAAGATAAGCGTTACGAAATACACGAGTAAAGAGGGAGAGCACTAATGGAAATGGGAAATGGGAAATGGGAAATGGGAAATGGAAAATCGGAAATCGGAATGCAAAGCAGCTTTGCTGCTACATGATCGCGTCAGAGACGAGCTTCAAAAACGTTACACGACCGGAAAATCAATGAAAATCGAGCAAAACCGCATACTTTTCCTTTATACGGATAATGAGCTTGACTCATTAATCCTTTTGCCTTCTCCAAATATCTCAATGTATTTCTCAGGGATCCACCAGAACAGCCTAAATTTCCCGTAGATGTGCTACAGTCGATCAACTGTTGTTCGCTCAATGGGATCAGAATGCCGGTTTTCTTAAAAATTTGTCCTTGAATGCTACCAGCTATCGAATAGGCGTAGCAACTTCCGCAGTCCCTTTGATTTTCCGGTCGGGTAAGAAAGCCTATATCGCGCCAGTCGAATTGCAATGGGACGCGTCGAGGATCGTGCAGTACCGCTCCCACCATGTCTTTCGTCGACACCCGACGCTTACGACTAGGCATCAGTTTCACCTATTAACAAGATCAAACACAATCCATGAAAATAATCGGTTCGATAATTATGTTTCCCTACGTTTCTCTACGAACCATCTCTCGGATATATTGTCTGGTAGCGAGATCGGCCATGTGATTGTCTCTCAAAGTGTAACTGTGATGACCCGCTGCGGCCATCATGTTGTGTTTGTAGATCGTTACTAGATTCTCCTCCCAAGTCGTCCTTCGGTCGTTCTCTTCGCTTCCGGAGTAACTTTTATTGTAACGAGCCTATTGAAAAGTCATTGAAAAGTCATTGAAAAGTCATTGAAAAACATATCATGTTGTATCTAACGTTTACCGTACCTTGTAAGAGTTCCAGTATTCGTCCAGTTTCGCTGATATTTCTGGCGGGAAGCGTTGCTCCTTGCCAAACACTCGACGACTGCCACCAATACTCCATATCGTTATTAAAACAGTGGCAAATTTAGAAAATCTAATACACATTGTGGATGAAATCGAATCGAGTCGACGTCGATTAGAACAACGAATAGCCTTCGTTTCAGACCTTAACGATTCATCGACTGATTCGAATAGTCGTTACTTCGATTCCATTTGGTTAAGTTACCGCTGAAAATCGTCCATCGTTAACATTTTTCACGCTGTTTGTCAGCAATTTTACGAATTTCGTAAACTTTCAACGTTTTCTGTATTCCTCGAGCTTTGCGTAACATACAATTACGGCACTCTTGTACGATACGTATACCTGCCGACAAATATAAGTTTCTACAGTTTCTCTTTCAGTTTATTATAATTACAGCTGATAATTCCCCATAAGCGATAATGTTACTTGGTTTTAGTTTCGTTTAGATATGTTTTACCCTTGAAGGCTAATTGACGTACGAAACGTCTTTTCACGAAACGACGAAAAATAAAGCCAACAGTTTCGTGAAATATAGGAATAGGAATATTTAGATAGCCGCGTGAAATGAAGTTACATGAAAAGGGTTAAAGCGTTAGTCGCGAGATGGCAGCATCAGTACATAAGGAATCGCGGCAGACTCGAAAAGAAGAGAGTTTGCGTATTTTTGCTTTTCGTACTGTCGTGCTTTCGTGTTTGAATGATCTTAATGATCACGTACGTGGTGGTGAAATTTTGTTTCGGTTGTTCACTCGATCATCGGTCTAACGATCGTCTTCTGTTTACCAGCTTTCTTGGACGTGACGATGGTGATAACGAGCAGAAGATGACTGATGTTTTTTATCCTCCCCATGAACTACAGGTCGGGCATCGGGCATTTAACAGCAAACAGCGAACTGTAGACAAGTTAACCGGCAAGCAGCGCGGTTGATCGAGAATCTCGAGAGAGAAATGAGGAGAGATAAAAAAAGAGTAAGAGAGAGTGAGCAGGCGAGCGAGCGATTTCCCCGCTGGCTGTAAGCTAAACCCAAGCAGCCGGTTTGTATTGTAGTTGTTGCTGGACTGGCGATCGTCTCGTCTCGTCTCGTCTCGTCTTGTCTGTTCCGTCTGTCGCGTCGTCGCGTCGGTTCGACGATTATTGCTCGACACGCGTTCGTCTCGTCTCGGCTCGTGTCAGTGGGGAGGCGCCACGCTAGAAAGCAGAACTCGAGATCTGGGATCGTCGTTTCGGTGTCTCGATGTCTCGGTAATCGCGGTCGTTCGTCGCGGTCCGGAAAAGAATCCAAGGTCCGATTTGTTGGCGACAAGTGGCGTCGCGACGGCCCAGTCCGCGCTGCGTCGCGCTGCACCTTTTCTACGGTATCGCAAACGGCAGAATGGACGAATCCGGGATCGACATGGGTTTCGATCTAGCAGCTCTGACAGCTGATCTGGAGCATCGGGAGGCAAGTTTACGCGACTATCGATGCTTCAACAAAGCAAACGGAGTTCCAGCAATCGGTCAATCGGATAATGTAAACGAGATCGAGACCGAGAACGAAAACGGAAATGGGAACGGAACCGGAACCGGAACTGGAACTGAAACCGACCAACACGACTGGGAACAGGCTCTTTCATTTTTGTCGTCGCCGTTGCAAGACATCATGTACTACGAGTTGAAGAGCCGAACACCGAATACCGCCAGGTACGTGATTGGCTGCGTTGAAAAACACTTTGACGCAACTCGGAACGATTTTCAACGATATCTGCATACGAACGACTTTACCATATAATCGAGCATCTTCGTGCACACTCTGTCGACGACGGGTGTAGATCTAGGTGTAGTTGTAAGTAAATAAGTACAAGTAAGTAAGTAAGCAAGTTGTACATAGTACGTTCCTCGTTTGACCTCTTCTTGGCACATTCTTGTCACCGTTCGGTTCGAGTCGGCTCTGCTCGATTCTCCTCGATTCTCCTCGATTCCGCTCGGCTCGACTCGGCTCGTCTTCGGTTCTACCTTCCAATTCGCGTCGAATCCCTCTCACTCTCGCTTTCGCTCTCGCTCTCCCTCGATCTCGATCTCGATCTCGATCTCGATCTTAATTCAAGCAAAATTAATCTGAAATGAAAACACAGCCGAGTGGAAGGTTCGACATTTTCCACGAAATCCGAAAAAGAGCAGATCCGCTCTTTTCGAATTATCTCTTTGATATGTATACCGTTTTGCTGTACGTACCTTTGCGCTGATCGAACCTTTGTTACGACTCGAAAAGTCGCGAGCAGCGAACGAGAAGAGCCAACGTAATTGGCGCGAATAGGCGAATGCGCAAAAGTTGCACGAATGTTGCGCGCGTGCAATGTCAAAAACGGCTGGGATAGAAATGCATCCAGGTTTAGAAGCCGAAACGTCGCGTCGCGTCGCGTCGGTTTTCGTCTCTGACAGGCTGCTCGGCGTCGATGATGTTTGCGACAAAAAGAATTCGCGATATTTGCCTTTAGTGTCACCGCGTTACGGCTAAAAATTTCCATCTTTTCCGGAGAGGATATGCAACGGATATTGAAAAAAGTGTGGCGAATCGTTGAATTGGAGGATTTGATATCGCTGCTGAATCGACTAAACGGTCTGACTCGTTTTTTAAACGATTCGACGGCTATCATTGAGACGTTGTTGCCTGAAACGACAACAAGATCGTTTCGTCGGGTCGTAATCAAAAGTAAAAGTGGAAACGGCTTCGGTGCCGGTGACAGTGAGTGAATTGACGTCGGTCTCGGTCTCGGCATCGGCATCGGCACCGGGTTCGGCGTCAATGCCATTGCCGACCACACAGTTATCCTCGTCGTTCGGTTCGCTTCCGTTATCGCGACTTTATGGTCAAGCGAAGAACTTGTTGTCGTACGCGTGCCCAGCGCGTACGAAGATTGGATGGAGCGGGAGCGGGAGCGGGAGCAGAGGCGGAGGTATCGCTGGAGCAGCTTCGACCACCGTTCCGGATCGTCGAGAGGAAGAGAAAGAGAAAGAGCAACGAGAGCAACGCGTCCGCGTACACATCGGTATCGACGACGATCTCCGCACGATCCTCGAAATGGATCCGTCGATCGTCGATGGAATGGCTGCCATGGCGCCCTTACCCTTGTCCAATGGTTCTCGCAGCAATGACCACGTTGCGTTCGCACGCCCGTTACGCCCCATTCGCCCGCAAGGCTGGTACAGAACTGTTAGAACGGTTCGAAGTTTGCCCGATGCTTTTACCCAGTTCCCTAATTTCACCCTCTGATTCCTTCCCTTCCCGTCGCGTCGCGCGTCTTCTCGTTCGTCCGATTCTCAATCTCGATCGAACGCGTCCGTACATTTTCTTTTACCGCCCTGCCTTAGCTCCTCTTCTCGACCGTAAACATTACGTCTAAATATAAGTACGGCCTTGGTTGTTGCGCGCAAAAAGATCTTTCGTAAATCTCGCGAGGAATTTTCTCGTTGCTGTCTCGCGGTTTACCAGCTATCGAAACGTCTTGCCCTCAACTATTTTTCCAAAAGGAAACTTTTCCCCGATTTTTAGAACATAATTAGAATGGAAGTGGATGGAACGGGATAAAAAGACGATAAAGTGGAAAAAGTAGGGATAGGTGGAAGAAGCGCGTCGGTTTTGTATCGAAGGCTAGCTTACGTAATTCGCGAAGATCGTATAGGAAGGCGTGTATGTACATAGGTACATATTATATTGTACATACATACATATAATACATACACGAAATGGACGAGGCTGAACATAGAAGAAATAAACGAAAGAAGGAAGTAAGAAAGTAAGGAAGGAAGATAGGATCTGAATCGGAACGCGATTCAGAGGATAAGAATCGAATCTCGATCGAAATTGCACAATCTCTCTATTTTAGTTTTCTTATGGCCATTAATTGGCCCTCTTCCCAATTCGGTAATACCAATTTTGCGTGTCTCGTTAACGCTTATCGCCGTTCAACGAACGCCCTCCGCGATCCTAGTAGAATTTCGAAACCTTTACGTTTGTCCGTTTGTCCGTTTGCGAAAACAAGAGAAGAAACGTTACGCGGAAGCAACCGTCGGATAAGGCGAAAGGAATCGAAAATTTCCAGACCGAAAAAATAGCAATGCGGTGGTTAAAGTTAAAAATAAATTGAAACGCGTATCGATCGAGTGGTGTGAAATAAAGAAAGGAGGAAAAAATGGGAAAAATTTCGGTGATTTTCGATGATTTTCGATTATTTTCGATTATTTTCGATTATTTTCGATTATTTTATTTTTCAGTCCACCGACGTTCAAGACCGCAACGCCCACTTCTCGCACCCAATTGAAGCTCCAGCTGATGCGAGAACAGCTGCAGGAGCAGGAGAGGCGAGAGGCAGAATTTCGTCAGAGTTTGCAGCAACAGAGACCAGCAGCTGCCCCTCCAAGACCTGTACCTGCCGCATCCTTGTCGACCATCGGGGTGGATGTGCCGCCGCAAGTCTTGCAAGTACATTCTTTTCTTTTACCTATCTTTTTACTCTCTATTCCTTTGATTCTCCTCTCTTCTGGCACTTGGTTGAGAAGAAGCCTGCGTAAGCGATAACTGATCGCGAGACGCGCGAGTGCGATAAAAAATGCTGACCCATCGAAACGAAACTAACATTAGATAGGCGTTTTCAAAGGAACGAGGTACTGGAAGAAAATTTCTTCAAAGTGAAATTCCTTATCCTTGGTTAAAAGTACATATTACATATTATGTAGAAATGTACGCTAAGCCTATCTGTTAGTTTTTCCAAGTTTTGACAACGTGCTACATATATAGGTATCTACTTGCTGTGCAACGCGTTTATTGTTTATAGGTACGTACGCTCCTGGAAAACCCGACTCGTTACCACGTTGTACAAAAGCAAAAGAACCAAGTGCGGCAGTATCTTCACGAATCGTTTCGCGGTGGTAGCGAAGATATCGAAAACGAAAACGAAAACGAAAACGAAAACGAAAACGTTTTTCGTGGAAACTCTGTCCAAGTTACGCCACCATCCGTGCCAATGGTCGTTCAGAGTGCACCACCGGGGCCAACGGTGCATCATCCGAAGCCGCAGCATCCTCATTTGGCCTCCTATCCACACGCTCCGACCGCGACGATTTTGTCGCACGGTAATCCGGTCGCGGCCAGTCCAGACCCGACGACCGGTGCTATGTCACCAGGACTTTCCAGCGTCGCAACTAGCAACTCTGAGGTATCTATCTTTCTTTTTTACTTTATTTTAAATTTATTTTATTTTAACTTAACTTTATTCGAACTATCTCTGATATAATTCACTGTATCAAAGTATTTTCACCGGTGATCGTTGCGCGACCGACTACATACATAAGTATACATACCTACATATCGGTTACGGTTAGACAATTCGAAATCGTAATTGCGAGCGCACTTGGTAGTCAAATGGTAAAGCGAATCGATCGCTTTCTTTCTCCTTACGATTAGTATTCGCGTCGCGTTGCTTTGCAAAGTCCCCAAAGAAGGGACAATATCGTTTCGTAGTCCAACCAATTTTCGATAGCCTCTTTTCACGCGAGCTAATTGACTTTCGATCTTTGGGGTAAAATTACCGTTCGCGACGTTCGCACCAGGCGCACCTGTTAACCAGTAACCGTGAAACTCAGTCAACTTGCTTACTCGTACGTACGAGCAATCGTAACAAGACTGGAATTTTCAATGGATTAACTTATCCGTTTTACGCTCGTGAAATAAATGAAAAGTAGTATGTACCTACTACTGTACATACGTCTGGTTGACTAACAGGTCAACCTGTTGCTGCGAAAACTTGAACGACGATGTGAAATGACGCAACCAGACCCGACGTCGAACAGAGAAGAGACGAAACGAAATGATAACAGAAAAAGAAGAAGAGAAAGAGAAAGAGAAAGAGCAGAAAGTCGAACGAGTACATATGTATTTACATACACAAGTTCGTCGGTAGAGATAGTAGAGTGCGCGGTTGTTAAATAACGAGAATGATCGGAGAAGGGCGGAGGTGGAGAAGCGGGAGAAGTAGGAGCCGATAGCGGCAGAACGACAGAACGGTAGAACGGCAGAATGGCAGAACGGCAGAACGGCAGGGCGGCAGGCGTGGGGCATTGTGTGGAGTTTGTGGCGCGTGGCGCGTGGCGCGGGTTCGAGCAGTCTGTATGTAGTACCGAAACGAACCGATCAGCGGTGGAGGTTCGGTCGAACGCGGGAGTAAACTTGCCCGAAGCGTCGTTCGTGTCGTTCGTGTCGTCGTTCGTGTCGTCGTTCGTGTCGTCGTTCGTGTCGTTAGTTGGGCGTTCCTTTGCTCGTCAAGCACGGCTTTTCCGCGTCTATTTGCTCGCTTTATCAATTCATCGTGACTAGGAGACGCGCGACGTTTTACACCGAACGAACAGAGTCGAACGAATTGAAACGAATTGGAAGCAATTGGAAGATATTGGAAGGGGAGGTAGAAGGGTGTGTGAAAGAAAAGAAAACTTTTTCAAAGGAAAGATCGTCGAATGGATCCGAAATTTATTTATTTCACGAAATATCATAAGATCGCGGATACGGTACGGTACGGCGCGGCGCGGCGGCAACACCCACTTTGAACACATTTGCCGCCGGCCTACCGTTTTTAAGATCTAAGACACTCGTCTATCGATAAAAACTTGGAAGCCGTAGGAATAAAACGAGAGAGAGAGAGAGAGAGAGTACGCACGCGCAAAGCAGACTTTTCGATAGTGGTTTTAACTTTATCGGTTTTTTCAATTCGTGACGATATAATACCGATCGCTTCGACGCGTCGCGTCGCGTCGTGTACTTTTCACCACTAATTTCGAGTTATCTCGGAATAAATTTCGTGTGTTCGCCAGTTTGCCGGTCCTTCCTTCGATTCTAACGCTTCCTCCGTTTAACTCGCAGCGCTTTCCCTCCGCGCCTCGCCAAGATCGAGAGATACGTTATTGGGTAACCGCAACCTTGAGGTGTGCTTAATCGTAGGTAGTCGCGGCAGAGGAGGTGCGGTAGTACAAAGAGAAAACGCAAGGTTGCCAGGAACTCGCGTGTCATCGACGAATTGCAGTAGCCGAAAAAATGCATTCGTTTCTCTATTCCAAGTTCGAAGTGATCACGCTCACTTTTTTAACGCTCTCCTCGTCGTTATCCTGACGAGAATCGCATCGCCTCGATACTCGACCATCTTCTTCGTTTCTTTTCGATTTCTTCTCGATTTCTTCTCGATTTATTCGCTAGCTCTACCGTCGTCTTCCCGATACTCTATTCGATACGGTTCTTCACTGTTCTTTCCCCGAGTCGAACAGCCGAGGATCGTTTGCGCAACGTTGCTAAAATCGCGAGTTACACGACTCGTTCGCTCGCACCTCGAGCCTCGAGGGCCAACAAAGTCGAACGACAAACAAAAGACGGCAACTTTGCCACGCCACGCCACGCTGCGCCGCCGTGCCGCCGCGCCGCCGCGATTCAACAGAAAGATTCGCGCGTTTTTCGCCACGGTCTTTCGACTGGAATCAGGTGGGAAGCTGTTGATCAGCTTTCACGACCACTTTGGACGCAATTGAAATATCGTACGTTATCTTCATCAGTCAACGAGAAAAGTTCACCCCTTGTTTTCCGATCGTTTCCGTCTCTGCACGATCCTCGTTTCTGCATCGTTCTACACGCGAACGCTTGCATGCGTGCGCTCTCGATCGCTAACCAATCCCATCGAGACTACGCGGCTGACACGCACAGCCCTTCTTCTTGTTTCGCCACAGGCTGCCATTTGTCAGCAACAAGATGCCAGTATTCAATATAATCGCTCGAAGGTGTAAGGTGAGTTTCAGTCTGCTCCTTTACCCATCACCACCACCAAGCTTAATTCTTTTATGTCCTTTTATGTACTCGTATGTACTTGACAAAGATGTACGAGAAATCCAATCGACGACGTCGATCTATCGCTCGAACGAACCTTGCTCCACGCGATTCTCTTATCACCTTCTTTGTTTCTCGAACGCGGAACGTTTGCGCGACTATAACCTACCACCACGCTTCTACCTGTGAACACGATAAAGAGATGCCTGCATTATACCTACGCGAATGCTGACGCGTTCTCCTAGGAACCGGATATTCTAACGAACAGCATTCCTTGTTTACAGAACCATTTACTCGCGTAATCGCATCCGATCACGAACAACTAGCAAGCAACCATCTATCTACCACGAATCTGTCACGAGGCTACGCGTTCTTCCGTCACTGAAAATTCCAGCGAGGCCGCGTGTCGATGTCTCGCCGTTTCCAATTTGCTGATCGATGCACGCTACTTACTACTTACCGTTCCTTCCAATCATCAGATGATCGCGATAACTTTTTATCTCGCCACAAGAACCAACGGCGATGACGGCGATGACGATTCGAACGTTAAGAAATCTATACGGAAGCATTTCGTAAGGAATACACTGCACCGAGCTACATTGCAATTCCTCGATCGTTTCTCAATAGGTAGTCAATTAATTAATTTCCCATCGAAACTTTTCTATTTTCGATGGTAATTTTATTAGCTGCCAATATCGGCCAGCTAATTAGATATTCTCCCGACATGTCTCCTCCTTCTCTAAGTAGTGTTTTGAAATTTAAGTAAGACCAATTTGACTACGCGCAACCATTCATTTCGCAAGCACCGATCACATCAGCAACACCACGCGTCGAAACGCGATTTCCTCTCCTCTCATTTTCGCGCGCTGCTGTCATTCGTGACAACAAGTTCTACCTATCGACGTCTCGTCAACGATTGCCGTGAAACAACCCAGATGATCGAGCAAGAGGAACGGATCTCGGTCGCGTTTAATCCATCGAATTGACTACGAAGCTTCAAGTAAAAGCACGATCGGAACGTTGCAAAATCGATTTCGGAGTCGATAAACGCGAACGCGAACGCGAACGCGAACCGATTGCCTTTCAGCGATAAATCACTAATACTCGTTTAACTGTGCGTTTCACCTTTCGCTTCTCCTTCTTCTTTTGCTACTTCCTTCGCTTTCTTTCTTACACCTACAATCTACTTTTCTTAATTCTATCGCGTCGTCGTTGTCCGTGCACGACTCGCTATCGATGCGCCTTCTTCCATGGACAGACGTCGGTTATTATTGTTATGTAATTTTTACGTAAGTTATCCATAAGCCGTAAGCCGTAACCCATAAGAGCTACGTTGCGCTGCATAAACATGCGCGATTTGAAATTTCAAGCGTTAACGCGCGATCTTGCCTGAATTTTCTCCTCTGCTTCCTTTGCGTCCGCCGCGCTGCAACCTTTATCTATTCTCCTTCTCCTACATATTTATTCGCGTAACCATTTCATCTTCGCTAGTCCTCTCATTTCCAATGCTTTTTTTCTATCCTAAATCGACGACCCGGTCGATTCGTTCGGTCGAGAGCGCAGCGAACGCAGCTTCGGTAATGTCGCTGACGATGAGATTAACGGCAAGAGATTAACGTTACGTTATGTGCTCGTGATGTAATCGTGATCGGAAAAAAAGAAAAAAAATAGAAAAATGGTTATCGCATTAAATCGGTCTGATTACAGGCGGAGGACCTGCTGGACGATATTTTATCGTTCGAAGCTGGATCCTTGGGTGATAATCTTAAGGATAGTCAAACTGGAAGTCTGAGCAACATTCCGGAACTGCAAATCAAACCGGAACCTTTATTGCTTACCGAGGCCGAGATACACGCCCTTGCCAAAGACAGACAAAAAAAAGATAATCATAATATGAGTAAGTTATCGGTCCTACATTTGTCTCTCGCGTGACATTTGTCTTTTGCTCGGCAAACTAGGAAATTCAAATAATAAAAACATTCGCATCAAGCATCGATCAAGAAAGAAAAAAAATACGAACGAGAATACCTGGTAATTGTAATAGGTATTTTGTTAACTTGCAATTATGAATTTCAGTCGAGAGACGACGGCGATTCAACATCAATGACAGAATCAAAGAGCTTGGTACCCTCTTACCTAAAACGAACGATCCGTAAGTACACTTGATAGATTTCTAGTTTTAAGAGTATACATGATATACCTACTAGGTATCGAATACCTGTTTCAAACAACGTTTCAGCTGATCCTTGAGTTATTTTCTCTATCTACTCTAACCGAAGAGAAATCGATAGAAGAAAACCGTACAAGAGAAGTTACGAGGAGCCGGATTTCTTTCTTGAAACTCGTTCAATTTCAAGATCGCGATGTTCGATGTTACATAACGTTCGTGAAAAAGGAGCAAGGAGGCGCGTACTCTCGTATCGTTTGAGTGGTAAAGAACAAACGAGACAAGCGGCGAGATATCGCGTTGCCGATAACGAAACGAATCTCGGTCTAACGACAACGGTAAACACACCGACACGACGATACGACGATACGACGATACGACGACACGACGACTCGACCTCCTATCCACATATGTACCTCATTCCGTTTCTATTCTCATGTATGCATAAAATGTGTTAAATTGTTCGAGTAAACGAACGATTAACAAACACGGGAATATGCGAACACGAACGCGAACGCGAACGCGACCCTCGAAGAACAGAGAAGAGGGGAATAGGTAAAATATTGTACGTAACAATGACTCGTTGTTGCAGGTATTACGAAATCGTTCGAGACGTCAGACCGAATAAGGGCACGATCCTAAAATCCTCGGTCGAGTACATAAAGCTGTTAAAAAACGAGTTGACCAGGATGAAACAAAACGAATTGAGGCACAAACAATTGGAGCATCAGAATCGTCGACTTTTGTTACGAGTTCAGGAGTTGGAACTACAAGCGAAAGCTCACGGGTTACCGGTTTCCGATTTTAATTGGGCTTCCAGCTCGGCCAATATGCAGCTTCTTCCCAGGAACAAGTTCGAGCAACGCAAGGTATCCTTTTCTATCGTTTGCTAGCCGCGAAACGCTCGGTTTTCCTGGTATCGTACGCGAGCGTGTTCGACATCGGTAGCGTTAAATATTTTCAAGGTTACGCCGATACGCTGCGCTGATCGTTTCGCGATCCTTGATCCGAATAAACGTTCTCGGGACTGGTTTCATAATCCGCATCTGTTCTTACGAGACTACCAGCTACGAAATCGCTCGTTTATTCGTGCCCTGAAACATAGAGACATGTGTGTGTGTGTGCGCGCGCGCGCTCTCCACCTCCACTGATCGACGGGTCGCGACGCTATCTATCTTTGTTTCACGCCTTCCATCCCACACACCCACAATGTGTACCCCCCACTCTTTATCCCAATTGTATCATTCATTCTCCGTTTCTCGTACGCGTATCAGATACAGCAGAGCGTTATCTCACGGAATTAAGGACACGATCGAGAGCGATCGCACGGAAATTTTTCAAAGCTACGGAGCTCGCGTTAATCTGAATTTAAAAATTCTACTCTTTTCTACGTGTTATATAATACGCGTATGTACGTATGTAGGGTATTTCAGGTTGAGTACAGGTTTCGAAAAGTAAGCCGCTGTTGCACGTTGCACGTTGCACGTTGCACGTTGCATGATAGATAAGGAAGAATGCATAAAATAGACGTCGGGACGGTATGAATTACCGTCGACGAATTAAAGTCTATTTCGACGAAACGCAAAGCCTAATCGTAATTAGGCTGCAAAATTGAAACGTTTATAACGTCACAGTATAGATCACACTGCGTGCTTACCATCTACTTTACTTAAGAAATTCATTTATACCTATCATTCTTCTTGTCACCTTTTTCTCTTTCTCCTACGCGTTTCCGCTTCCTTTATCGCTCCCTTATCGTGTTTCATTCTGACCGATCGACGATTTAAATGAAAAGACTTTCTCCGTAGTAGATGGAGCAGGAGAGTGAAAAAGATGAGTTTGACCTTGGAATGGAATGATGGTAACGAGGCGTGGCGTTGTTTGATCAACAGATGCCGGAGTTGGTGGCAGAAGAAGGAGCGAGTTTGAGTATGTCGCAGCTTGAGGATCTGATGGAAGACGATGCGACCGGTCCGATTCATAGTCGCGACCCGATGCTCTCTTCTCCGCATCTACCACCGTTGAGTCCAGCACCGACCGGATGTCAGCACGGTCTACCGGACGAAGACACTCTCGGTAGTTTGGCATCGACTACACCAAACTCTTCCTCCGACATGGATATTGTCGCGTAGCAAACCCTGAACTGTAACAGGAATCGCAAAACTGTTCGTCCCTTAGTATTTCGAATGCGAGTGCGAGTGCGAGTACGAGTGCGAGTGCGAATGCGAGTGCAAACTCGGACGCGAACGTGTTTCAACGTTAACGTAGCGAGTTGATATCGTGTGATAATTGGATATATGAGAATTCTCGCGAGAATGGGTTATCATTTTAACGGTTTATCATTTCGACAAAATGAATTTCTTATTCTTCTACTGTTCTTCAACGGCTGGCCGTTACGCGCGTGCAATTGTCTGTGCCCTCGAGGAAAACCACGCTTTGGACAACGTTTTCCTATTGCGTTCGATTTGAAAATTTCTTTCTTTCTTTTTTTCTTTCGTTCGTTTCTCCGTCCGTCCGTCCGTCCGTCCGTCCGTCCGTCAGCGTCAAGGCAATAACGAGGAGATTTTAGTATTCAACGTTCGTTGCTCCGATTCCTCGTAAAAGGAATTCGACTGACGCGGAGCCGAACCATCTCCGGATCGATATCGTCGACACGATTATCGAGAAATACAAAGGCGCGTAAAACGACAGGCGAGAGAATACTCGCGCGGGTCGCGAATTTTTCTCTACTCATGGAATGGAAGAAAATAAGACGAAACGAAACGAAACGAAACGGAACGGAACGGAACGGAACGGAACGCATCAAAATCGAATTATAGCTATTTTTTCGACGCGCCAAAAGAGGTGTGCGCGATAAATGCTTAAGCTGAAGCATAACGGTAGAACACGCTCAATCATCGTTGTTCAAAAGTGCTCGATTTTGTCAGGAACGAGGCCAACGTCGAAAGTAGTTTGTGTCGCAACGTTTCAATCTAGAATCTAGACACTGTCGCTTACAAACTTCTTCACTCCCCCTTCTTACCAGGCTTCTTTTTCTTGGTCGCATTATTTTCTCTCCCTGTGGTGCTTTTCCTTAACGTAACGTAAGACGTTAAACTATGCGCGAGATCACAGATCGAAAAGAAGCACGAAAACGAGGAGGAAAGGGAGAAGTAAAACGAGAGCGAGGACAAGGAATACCTAGTAGATAAACAAGAGTCCCTTTTCGAAACGTTCTGCAACCTTTCCGGATGCGCAATTTTCTACAATCTTCTACAATCTTCTACAATCTACCAAAAGCTTGCGACGAAACTTGATTTTTTTCGAGTATTTTGCGTTGGAAACGGCGGCCGTTTCTCTCGCCGTTTCTCTCGCCTTGTGATCGTTTTACTGATAAGTATACAAACAATCAAACATCGCGTTTTACTTTGTTCGCGCGCATTATTCGATCATTGTTATCCACGGAATCCGCGCGAGAATCACGCGATGTATCTCCACGGTGCCCGCGAGAAACTACAGAGTATATAAAGAAACGTTACGAAAAAACCAGATCGTTTTACTTGTGCTCCTTATTTTGAAATTTTCAATCACGCATACATATTTCTGTCTCTTGTTGAAAGAGTTATGCGATAAAATCTTCACTGATACTGATAGAGAAATCGTAAATACAGGAAACTGGACAGAGTAAAAAGAGTGGGTGAATTTGAAACGCGGCCAAGTGATTGTGAGCTTGACAGTGGCCTAGTATTTACTCTTGAAGGAATGTCAACGGAAACCGGAAAAGCAACTCACGGATCGATCACAGGGAAACGAATCGTTCAAGTTTACGTTGACCGTTCACCGGATTGCGTGACACTTTTTTCACTTTTCACTTTTCACTTTTCCCTTTTTCTTTCAACTCTTCATTTTTAACTTGTGCTATCCCCCTTTTTTTCCAGCTTGTGTCAGTAGTGTAGACTAGTTGGACGCGATAGTACGTTATACGTTCTCCGAAACGATACAAATCATTTAAACCAAACTCCTTTTGTTCCTTTTTCCAGTTACATACTCTTCCCTTTCCTTGGCTACCTCTCATCACACACGTTTCCTTCTTCCTTTTCTCCATATTTACGCCAGTTTCGAATAATTGGACGGACACGCCCAAGCGTAAAACTTGCCGTTCCTTCCGAATTTGTCAAATAATTTAGCACACGATAAAGGCGTGTCATGTACCGTATCGCGGTCAACTCAACCCTGTTCCGTCCAGTTGAATCTTCCTACCTCCTGTTTCGGTCTACCGCACCCTAACCCGTTCGCCGGAGGCGCGATGGGACGCAACGCGACGCGACGCGTCGCAGTACGGCGCAGCGCGGCACCGTACGACACATACGTTACTACATACCAGCTACCAACCTACAGCGCAACCCTTTCTACCGTACTCCGTACGTACGGCTGCTTAAACATCAGTTTTGCAAGTGGCTGGGCGCTATTCACCACATTTTCTTTTTTCCTTTTCCTTTTCCTTTTCAATTATCGATTGTTCGTGTTATTATAGGTGTATGTTCTTTATTTCATATTCTTCTTCTTCTTCTTCTTCTTCTTCTTCTTCTTTTTCTTACCGTTCGTGGTTGTAGAACGAGACTCGTCTTCGAGGGACAAAGACCTACCGGTCTGTCAGTGTTTCTTCGTTTCGAGTTAAAGGTTTCTTTCTTATCGGTCCATACGTTACTTTCTGACAAATCACAGTTTACGAGAAAAGGGAGAAAAGTAAGGACAGAAGGGAGAGGAAAATAGAGACGCAACTTTAACGCTATGGGTGTGTCGTTTCTCGAAAGACACGAGAAAGTTGTAAGAAATAAAGTTGGAGGTGTTTGGCGTGGTTCGTCGAATCGATTCGAGGATCGATACCATTCGAGAGTTGCCGTGTCTACGAAGTCGATTGAATCGCAAGCATTCGGTGTTCCTGCTCCTCGTATATTTTCTCAAACGTGCTCGATACTTTGGATCGTATACGCGATTCATCTAACTGGAGTATTCGCGATCTTCGACAAAAGTAAGTACCTATTATATATGTATTTTTACCAAGCTTGCACTTTGCTTGCACCTATGGAAGAAAAAGTGTTAAAAAAATTTTTTAAGCGATTTCTTTCCACGTAAATTTCTAACATTGCTTTTCGCTCAACGGGACTGTTTCGATCGGAGTGAATAACGGAAAAAATAAGTAAAGTATAGGGTAAGTGGTGCAAACGGAATGGCGGTAGCGAAAAATTGCTTTCGCGGTGCGGCCCACCTTTGGTTCGTATCGAAAAGTTAAAAGTGCTACACCGAAACGCTGGCAACTTGTCTCGATAAAAAGATGAAAAGATGAAAAGATGAAAAGATAAAAAGGTACGCGATAGGGTTGCGATCCAGCGATTTTTCGTTGGCATTGGCTGAAATTCTTTTGACTGAATCGTTGGAAATTTTCTTACACCGCGTCATACCGCACCACTTTATCTCGTGTAATACTTTAGACGGCAATTATGCCAACTTCATTGGCATTCGAAGCTCTGCTGTAAATAGTTGGAAGATGGTGGATAATAAATAATTAGCGCTGCTGACGCTGATTGTCAGAAAGTAAGAGAATACATAATTTTGTTTCAGCCAGTGACATTAAAGTGAAGATTAAGGTGCCAAATGAGGCGAAAATGGGATCGTCGGTCGAGCTCGAGTGCGAATGGCACCTTTATGGACCGAGTGGACTTTATTCGGTTAAATGGTACAAAGACGATCACGAATTCTTTCGATACATACCGGAAGATAATCCGAGAATACAAACGTTTCCGCAACCTGGTATCAAGATCGATGTAAGTCTTCTTCTACTTCATCTCTTTCCTGTCGATGGCTAGAGCGAAAAAGTATCGATGCAGCTGGAGACTGTTGTGGCGGTCGGTAGGGAACGGTCGCGGCCGCGAGATTTCGCCAAAGACACGTTTTCGTATAACATCTAACCCTTATAGAATGGCTGGAATAATGAGAAATCGATCAGATTAAATGATCTGGAGGCGAGAAGTTCGGGCCAGTACAAATGCGAGGTGTCCACGGAAGCTCCATCGTTCGCCACCATCTACCAAACAGCTAACTTGACCGTTATAGGTATTTCCGCCCCTCCTTACTTCTTACTTCTTACTTCTTATTTCTATTTTTCTCCTATTCTTTGATCGCTATTCTTCGATCGATAGCTCATCGATCGCACGCAATCTTACCTCTTACCTACCAGTTGGAAATACCGTGCGATAACGATCATGTTTTTCAGCGTTGCCCGAAAGAGGTCCAGAAATTACAGGCTTATCCTCGTACTATACAATCGGGGACAATGTAACGGCAAACTGTACCGTCTGGCCGTCCATACCAAAGGCTGTTGTTATTCGTTGGCTGGTCAACGGAAAACCGGTAGAATAAAAATTCTCTCTGTCGTAACTTGTAGGTGTATATTAAGGCATCGTTTTATCTGTAGATCGCGAACGAGAAGACGATTCGGTATTCAAGTATCAGGAAGAAAAAGAAAAAGAAAAAGCAAAAGGAAATGGAAACGTCGAACGCTGTTGGACTGCAAGTGAAATTCAAATTGGAGCCATCGCATTTTCACGACACGGGGGAAAAGTCGGCGATCGCGATAAAATGTATCGCGGAAATCGGTTCGAATCTGGTGGAAACGGAAAGCCGGGTACCGGTGGTGTACGGCGGCGCCTACGCGAATGCACGTAGCAAAGGACGTAGATCGCATCGCGTATACCCCGGTCAACGCGTTTCGCTTCTACTACTTTGCTACTTTTCCTCTCGTTTACGAATGAACGAACAAATTTAATGTACGAATAAAAACGAACAACCGAAAAGAAAACAACCAAGACGTTATCCGTCCAACTAATTCGCGTCTCATTCTCATTCCTTTCCAGCAAATATGGCCAGCATCGTAACCTTTTGTTTTTACATTTAAACAGCTGTGATGATATTGTTAATATAAAACGTATCGAAATACTATACATAATGCTCGTTTAAGCGAATTCGAATGAATTGGAACGAATCGCTAATCGCAGAGTAGGTTTTCTACGGCACAAAAGTTAAGAACGTTTAATGTTTCGAAAAAGCTTTATTTCCAACCTTCGATCATCGCGTCGTGCAAACGACGATACTCTCGACGATCGACCAACTGAAACATATGAAATCTATCGACAGAGAAGAAACTAGACTGTATCAATTATCACGGAACAAGAGAAACGGAAAATTATAGAGAGCGATAGAATAGTAGGTACATATAATAAAAGAAATAGAATTGAATAGAATAGGACAGGATAGTCTAGAGTAGAATGAAAGAATCCGAAGAAGTAGAATACAATTGTATTCCCGTGGTGGTTCTCGTTGCGTGACAGTGAAATCGCAGTTTCTATTCGAGCAAACGCGTTATGTAGGTACTTGGTAACCAGTCGAAAGAAAGATAAAAATGTACGGCAAAATACACGCGCCTTATTATTATTTGAACAAGATCGTTTCAAGATAAAACATTTCGATAGATCGCACTCTTACGTCAATGTTTCAGAATTCCATACCGAGTTCATGCGTCTGACACGTATCCATGCGCATTTTCGCGCATTCCTGCCGCTGAATTATTGCGTGCTATTGGAAAATAAAGGAGCGATTCATCTTCGATAACTCGTCGTATCGCTAAACCTATCGTTCGATTCAACGATCATTTTTAGATCGAAGCGAAGACTGACAATCAGAGTAAAATGCAACGCAGCAATCCTCTCGTTTAAAGTTTAAACGCATCGTCATTCGTGTGACCGCGAATACGATCAAGACGAATCAACGTTCGATCCTTTGCTCTTTCAATTCGAGGTGTTTGCGTGCAATGAATTTGCACATCTCAATGCGTGTATGTAGATGTAGATATTGTACATATCCGTCTCGGTGTTGGTTCGTTCGTTAAACTAGCAAGCACAATGACATCAAAAAAATCAGTTGTTTCGACATTGGACAATGATTTTTTCAATCGGTATTGCTAAATCAAATCTCTGCTCACCGACTTTGTTCTTTGTCTCGACAATCTGTTAGTGAAAAAAAAGATTTCCTACATCTAAAAGAGAAGGAAAGAGCGATTATCATGATATCAGGCAGAGATGACGGTATTGCGCTGGCTTTGGTTGATCGTTAACGAGGATCACGCAGATCGGGGAAGGGTAGCGAGTTTAGCCAGTTAATTGTCATAGAAACGATAAAAATAAGGAAACGTGAGAGAGACTCGGCAAGAACACGTGTACAGAACGTGGAACGGCGGGAAAGAGGCAGACTCGCATCAATATCTGAAACCAATCGAGAATCGGACTTTCGTCTCACCTCTCGAGGCTCGAGATCGAATCGAGCACGCTATTGGTCGATCGCGTCGCTTTCCTCTTTGCGCTATCGCGTCACCGTCTCACCCTCTCGCCGAGGCTTTGCCCGCTTTTCACGTATTTGCCTGGGATTACGCGCAAACAAATGGAATTTCATCTGACGCGACGCGATCAAACATCATGCAACATAAATAGTTTCGATTTTTTATGCAACTGATTCGATTTTATGCGACCATTATCTCTACTTACAATCTTCAGGTTCAATGTTTCACGTTTGAAAAATTGGAATGATGATTCCAAATAGGAAAAAAGAAAAATAGGAAAGACGAAAAAGAAGAAAAGTGATAAGAGAATAGAGAATTGGCGGCTCGCAAGATGCTTTGAGAGCCGCGTTCGCATTAATCTGTCGCGGATATAAGACGTAATGGCACGGAGCTGCTCAATTACGCTTGGATTAACAGTGCACGAGGGCTTCCCCTTCCCCCGGACCACTTATCTCCTCGAGAATCCATACTCTCAGTGTCCCTTGCACGCTCTCCACCTCGTGCACAATCTACCAGGGCCTTTGAAACGCTATATAAAGTGACAAACTTGCACAGTGACGCTGTATCGTTGTTAATACGGCACCACGATCCGGTCCAGTTGGGTAATCAATCAGTAGCGGATTTTTTATCAAATCGAAAAACGATACGATCTCGCGTCTTGGACTATCCGCGTGTCTGTTCACCTGTTCGCGGCACGCTCTCAGCCTTTTCACCTTTGTGCCTAGAATACAAGTTTCTTCGTAGTCTCTTTTTTCACATATCGCACGCATAAACAGAAACTCTCCCTCGCGTCAGTCTGCCTAAACGTGGTTCAAGTTTTTGCTCATCCGTGGCCGATCCGAGTGATAATAATCGACAATCGTACCTAAGATAAGGTAATTTTCAACAGTATCGTTTCTTCTTCGATTCGATACTACCGTTTGCCGCGGTAACCTCGTTCGAGCTGATTCGACAGAGTACTCCGTCGACTGTGACCCGAATACGTTCGAGGTCCCTTGTTCGCGTTACTAGTACTCACCGTTTTCGTTTTCGTTTTCGTATTCGTTTTCGTTTCTTGTTTAATTTTAACTTGCTTCAAGAAAGAACGTAAACGCGAACACAAACTCCAGCAGGCAGGAACAATCGTTCTCCCTCGAACGAAAGAACGCTTCCGATTCTTCGGTTACCGACTATATTATTCAATCGACCAACATACGATACGAATGAAAGAAAATCTAAATTGTTGTAATCGACGAATTCAGTGGTTACCGCGGCACACAATTCACAATCAGCTTATAATAGCCAAGACCGTTCGCTTCGCGTATGTACACGTGGGTAATCATTTTCAGTCATTGACCAGGAAATTCAACTGGTGTTAGATACCTTGAGAAATTGTAGAATTTTCGCGTGTCGTGTGTCGTGTGACACACGCTCGAGATCGGCCACTATCTATCGTCACACGAAAGCAGAACCGTATTCTCAGCATTCGATGAACAAACACTCCCGCTTCCCGTTTACCGTTTACCGGTTCCCCGGACCCGCGTTACTCGTCCTCCCTCGAATCGCTTCCGTTTCATCATTCACGCAACGCGTGAATCTCCGAACGCTATCGGTAGCAGGCTTATTAGGTAGCTCGCGAACGAAAGACGATAGAACGAGTGTCGAGATATCGATATCCGACTTGTTGCAGCTCTCTCGGCTCCGTCCCCCTTGCCATCGATATGAAACAACCAACGGTACTGATTTGCGCACTACTCGGACTTTTCGCTACCTCCGATGCTCTGCCACGAGATTCGAACAATTACGAAGGTTTGTCCACTATTGCCTACTATATAAAAACAAATTTTTCTATTTCCTTTAAATACGGAACAATCTAGTTTTTGCGTTTTCGATGATAATAATTGACAAAGAAATATCGCAATCATGTTTAGATATGTCCTTTTGGTTGAAATCTGGACAAGAGGATCTTCGGAGAAACCTAGCTTACAGGAACAATGAAAATCGTGCGAAGAACGTAATCGTGTTCATCGGGGATGGCATGGGAATTTCGACGATCACAGCCGGCCGTATATTCAAAGGCCAAATGAAGGGCGCTACTGGCGAAGAATACAAATTGGCTTTCGAGCAATTTCCCAATACCGGGTTTGCCAAGGTGCCGAAATAACCGCATTTTTATCTTTGAAAACTTTTCAACCTCCGTTCAATTTGCTGGCGGTCGAACGAATTTGCTGAACGCGAACGGATCCTCATTAATCTTTTCTCATTAATCTCTGCTCGTTGGTGTTCGCAGACTTACAACACTGACAAGCAAGTGCCCGATTCCGCCGGAACGGCGACCGCGATATTTTCCGGCGTTAAATGCCGTTATAGGGTGATCGGTCTGGATGCCAAGGCATCCTACAATCATTGCGACAAACGCCTCGATCAAGAGAGTAAGCTTACAACGGTCGCCGATTGGGCTCAGCAAAGCGGTATGAGCACCGGTAAGTACTTTTCTCATCGATAGATTATTATCAAATCGAGAAGAAACGATATCGCTACGATTTCGAGTACTTGATCATTACAGCTGAGTACACAACGAAATACGAAATACGAAATACGAAATACGAAGCGAAAGGATCGATCAAGTGCTCTGATAAAAATCCACGCAGATTCGAATGATTGACGGTTACCCGCTATACAGTTATACACTGACTGTTAAACGTTTATCGAATAGACCTTGTCGAAACAGAGAGGAGGAGGTCATCAATCGACCTTCTGCTTTATCTAGGGCGTAACGTGTAACGCGTAACGCGTAACGCGTAACGCAGCAGCATTTGCTTCCCTGGATCGTTAGCCGAATGATGATCGCTTACGACGCCCCGTTTCGACGCGAAAAACAGAATACATTTACAAAAGCTAATCACGGCAGAGAGTTATCGTTGAATCTTGCGATTACAGGATTCGTAACTACCACTCGAATCACGCACGCAACACCAGCCGGATTGTACGCTCATACGAATAATCGTGATTGGGAGTGCGATACCTCGATACCGAAACGATACAAAGGTTGCGTCAAGGACATAGCCAGACAATTGATCGAGGATGCACCTGGAAATAAATTTCAGGTAACATCGTCTTATTGTACTTTAGTTTACGCTATCTTGCTTTTCTTGCTTTTCTTCCTTTCTTCGTAAGTCGTTCTACATACATACTTGGTGCATCGCATCGTGTGAATAGGTGATGATGGGTGGTGGAGCACAACACATGGGTCTACCGCTAGAGCCGGTCGATCCCGACACCTGTGTCAGAGAAGACGGACTAAACTTGGCAGAGGTATGGACGAAGAACAATCCCGAGGGAAATCTGGTAACAAATGCCGAACAACTCATGTCCTTAGATGTCGCAAACGTTTCGAAAATTCTTGGAATCTTTGCTGCCAGTCACCTTCCGTATCACGCGGTCAAGCCAGTAGAGGTACCGAGCCTAGCCAATATGACCACACAAGCTATCAAGTTGCTTAGCAAAAACAAAAACGGTTTTTTCTTAATGGTAAGTCGAAACGTCATTTATCGAGCACTTTCAATCTTGCTCCTATCCCTCGTTAACAGTACACGTATTCAGTTGTACGTACGTTCGTTCGTCCGTTCGTTCGTCCGTTCGTTCCTTCATTCATTCATTCATTCATTCGTTCGTTCATTCATTCATTCATTCATTCATTCATTCATTCGTTCGTTCATTCATTCATTCATTCGTTCGTTCGTTCATTCATTCGTTCATTCATTCTTTGTTTCATTGTTCATTCTTTCCTACCTTCGAAACGGGTGCATTCCCTTCTAGCTGATTTAAAATTTCCCAAGCTTATCTGCGTGTTGTTGAAAACACAGGTGGAGAGTGGCAAGATAGACCTTGCCCATCACCGTAACTATGCGAAACTAGCGTTACGAGAAGTGTCTGAGCTCGAAGAAGCGGTATTGACCGCGTTGCAACAAGTGAAATTGGAAGAAACACTGGTGATTGTAACCGCCGATCACTCGCACGCCTTCACCATCAATGGTTATCCGAACAGAGGAAACGACATCCTTGGTTTCGCCAATGATCCAAACAAAACGGACGTGTCGGCCTACGAAACGCTCAACTACGCCAATGGTCCAGGATTCTTCCATCACAGACGAAATGACAGTACGAACGTTAACGAAACGTGGAGACCGGTCGATCAAGACGAGACGCGCAACGAACCGTTCTACATGCAAATGGCTGCCATATATATGAAGGACGAAACGCACGGAGGTGAAGACGTCGGAGTATACGCGATAGGTATCTCTTATTTTACTTTCCTCAAGAAAGAGAGAGGGAATATTTTCAATTAATCATCTCTATTATTTCAGGTCCGTACTCTCACCTGTTTCGCGGTACCTTCGAGCAAAACTACATTGCTCACGTGATAGCATATGCTGCTTGCTTCAAAGACTGGCCCTCTCACTGTGATAACACCTACAATCGTTACTTTTACAAACTGACCAATTCGGTGGATCGAGCCACAATCTCACCTTTTTTTCTCTCTTTTCTATCGTTCGCCTTTATTCTGATCCTGGCCAGAAATTAGCCGTCTAGCTATCTTTTTTTCTTAACTCCGTTATTTTACGTTTTGATCCTCTCTCGATCTAGAAAAATATGCACACACTACACACGTCAGGCAACCGCGACGGTATCAATTTTATTCTTTCTTCTTCTTTCCACACATTATTTTCCACGGTTTAGGTTCAGCGTATATTCAGCCTAATATTTCACGTTACTCTTCTCCTATGTTGACACTCTTTACCTGTATCTCGTCACCTGTTGTATCTGCGAACCCACCATTACAGGCGCTCGAATCTACATCCTTTGTACATAGTATATATTATACACATGTATATATGTAAGTATACATACACGTAAATATAATTAAAAGTACACGTTAAAAGCAACAGAATATTTTGACTCACGCCAACAACGACACTGGCTAACAATAAGATAAGATAAAATAAAAATTATCTAGACGATATTGAATGATGGAATTTTACTAATTTTGCGCGTGTCGGAGACTGCGCGTTCATTCCGTGCTAGCTCTCTCGACGAAATATGTATGTAGCTTCTACACCTACCATATATTGTAGATATGTATCTATGTATTTTCTGGCACGTCGTTCCGACGCAAATATCTTTAAAATAAGAATACAAAAAGCTCGGTACGAATCGAGGCTTTATTAAATTAACTAAGTAAATCCAATGAAGCGTTAATCCAACAGCGTTAAAAAGGAGTGAAAAAATTATTCAGGTAATAATTTTCCTCGAACGATAGAGATGTAATAATTCTTGTAAATAAGGGGATTCGAGTGATCGGTGACAAAGTTTCGGTCCGGTTTGATCGAAGCGAACGGGTTTTGTCGTGGTTCTAAAAGAACATCGACGTCAGCTATCGATTTTATTCGAGCTATTTCCCAAAACATCTCATCGACGGTGTACGAGGTGATCGCAACCGCGCTCGTTCGTCGAGAGAATTCTCGTATCGTCTGAAACCAGCTGTCTTGTCCCGCGAATCCAGTTTTACGATAAAGACCAGGATTGAAAGCGCAAATCAAATCAGGTTCGGTGACAGGATGATGCCCTTCCGACGTTGATTTCGAAATTAGCTCGTGATAAAGCATTCCTGGTCGGAAATTAACCAGCACCGATCTACCGGCAGACTTACACTGACGGCAAAGGTTTACCTTTGATAAAATCTGCACCGGTACGCCGCTCGGTAAGCGTAATTCCGGTCCGACCAGCACTACGCGCACCCTCTTCAAGTTCGGTAGAAAATGAAGAAACAACTTTTCCCACGCGTGCAAGTTTATCCCCTCGAATTGAAACTCCGCTCCGAGTATGTGTATCGTAAAATCGCTTTTACTTTGCCAGTTTCTACAAGAAATTTGCATCGCGTAAAGAGCTGTCAACGGAATCGTGCAGACCTGCGACAACACCGAATACGTGTAACAATCCATCTCGCGGTAATACAAACAATTGCCGTAAATGCGATGCATCAATTCGTGAAAAGTAAGATCCCGAGATTTCGCGAGAACCATTTGTCGACGCACGTTCGGAATCATTGGATTGACGCAACCGTGTTTCCATTGCAGTAACAAACATCGTTGCAACGTTTCAAACTCTTTACACCATTTCTCGTGATCTGTCGCGTGATCCACGCAATAGCATTCCATACCACAGTTCGGGCAACAGATTAGGTCCTCGCGAAAACGACGACAAAGCCGGCAAATCATCGGGTACAATACAATCTCTTTCTCCCAAAGTTTCAACGGTCTGCGAATTTTTGACTGAAGAACAGCTAGTAACTGTACTCGATAAGCACGATACTGTTCCGCGTCTAGTCGGATCTTTGATTCCTCAGATTCTAGCGTCGATACAATGGACGAACGTATCTCCGCCAGGGCTTCGCACAGCTCACCATGCTCAGCTAACCCTTTCGATCGATGCGCCGCCGAACAATAAGATACCATTCGACAACCTTCGCAAAACATTCGACGTTTTTGCAAGCAAACCGCGCACAGACTCGAAACGAATACGAATCGTGGCCTGACGTTTAATTCTACGCTTTCCTCGTCATCGTCATCGTCCTCGTCCTCGTCCTCGTCCTCGTCCGACTTTCTTGAAAAACAAGTTGAAACCAAAGGATATGTCAATCGAGCATAAACGTCGATCGGAACGTCTCCGACTATTTCTCCGTTTTCTTTTTCTTCTTCATCTTTCCGTTCTAGAATCCTTGATTCACTCTTTGACGTTCTTGACTCTCTACTTCGAACCTTTCTGCGACCCATCTTTAATTCGTCGTTGGCCGTTGGCTGTTACCCAGTTTAAATTTACACTATCGTTAATAAAGGGAACGCTTGCAACTTTTCTTTTTTCTCTACAGTCTAGACGATCATTTTTTTAGACATAATTTCTCCGAAAATTTCTCCAACAACGAATGCCTAAAAATAACAAAGGTAAAGGTAAAAAATAAAAAGGGGGTGAGAAGAAAGAAAAGAGAAGAATAGACGAGTATATAGTATATTACCTACAGGGATGAGAATGGTATTCCTTACCTTATCAGAAATAGATATTCCAAGCGAAATGATGCGGCAGGCGAATTAGAAAACGATAAAATTCAATAAATAAACCAGTTCAATTGACGCGATACTACATACATCGATGCTTCGTCAAAGTTTGCCAATCCGTTGTGGCGAACGAAGCCCGTCTGCGGGCACTATGCCCACTGCCCAGACAAAGGTATTTCAAGCACGGTCTCTCGATTGCACGCCCCGATATTCCCAGGTCAACGCGGCTCTAAATCGACCGGGCTTTCATCTTCGTCAAACGAGCTTTCGCTTATCGGTACTAGTACATATACCTAATATTGTAGTACAGAAATATAAGTATATACATATTTCTTCTTTCGACAACATTTTCATCCTACGCTTACTTTACCATTTTATTCGTTGAAAAATTCTACATAATTACCATCTTAATATATAGAAGAAATTCCATATAGATATTCCATGTAGATTTACAATTTTTTATCATTATCGGAAACAATAGACACCGTGAAAAGAGGAAATTTCAGCTTTTTACATTTACACGATACATTGATAAAATTCGATCAGCAATATATCTACATATATTATTTTACTAATATACAAATCCTATACAACACTTAAATAGAACCAAATAGAATTAGATCTATATGTATGTAAGTACTTATGTAAGTGTGATTGGATTTTTTGCACCTTTCAATGTTTCGTATTACTTTTTTTAAATTCATCTTTCTCTTTTTTCCGTGAATAAGAACGCCCCCATACGGTTGCGAGGCGAACGACTTTGCCGACATCGCATCGACACTGTCGATGTGTCTTATCCTTTGGTTGTGTGTGCTCGATTCGCACAGTTTTAAGGTTATAACGTTGCGTTTCAACCAGTTTAAAGTTTAAACCAAAACGTATCAGTGCAGTGATTTGGCGATGCTGTATTTCGTTACTTTATTCTTCATACCTTGTTTAAGAAAACAACCTTGCTAAAAAAAACAGCAAGAATATTTACAATCGATATCAAATGTCGTACGTAAGAGAAAAACATTTTGTCGTATAAATTATGGTGAAGTTTGCTGGTCATTTACGAATACGGCTTGGCTTTTAATAACCTATAACATTCTTGCTAATATACCACTGAATTCTCTTTCAAGCATTTCGCCAACCCCTCCCCTGTAACTTGTTAACAATTTTCCATTGATTGCACATGATTTTAATATCTGATAATAAAATTCTTTTAACTTGTACATATGTATATATATACATATATACATATATACATATAAAGTATATAAGTATGTATTTATACGATACAAAATTCCGTTTTTATGCCAATTTCATTATTTTTTAGTTTTAATTCAACTATACATTCATATTGTACATAGCTCGTGTTACGAATCGTATTGATATCGAAAGAATGAATCTAATCGATAGTTGTTAATGCATAATTGGTGATCAATAAGTACGCGCGTAATCTCGTATTGTACGACGAAATGGAATGAAATTGTTGTAAAAGATGAAAGAGATCGAGAAACGATCAGAATGATTATTCCCAACTCCATTTCGGTTCGTTTCGTTGTTAATCCGGATTCAAACAAAAAAGTAATATCAGTAGTCGTCTTTTTCTTTACAGTTCTATTTCGGCGGTACAGCTGGATAAGCGATTTAACGAGAATGAACCATGCTAATACAGGAATGAAGGTTTATGCAAATAACGTATCAAATATACGACAGAGAAAATTTGAATCAACAAGTAAAGTGAACTTGAGCAAAATGGTGGGATTAGAAAGCGAGGAATTGATCCAGTCAAACATTTTCGATGCTGCTATGGAATTAGAAATGAAATCAGACGAAGAAACAGAGAGTGATGGAGAAGAACATACTCGACGACTTATACCATCATCGTCGATGGAACATCGCTGCGTTACTACCACTATCACCACCACCACCACCACCACTAACAACAACGATGACAAAGAAATGGTGGTTGTTCGAAATAATTGTCAATTGAAACGGCTCGAAGAGGAAAATCTTTGGTCCACCTCTATACAAATGTTTGTGCCTTTTTTATTGGCCGGCTTTGGTATGGTGGCGGCTAGTTTGTTGTTGGATGTTGTACAGGTCCGTAGAAATGCTAAATGTCGCGGCGCGGCGCGATACATAAGTATTTATTTACTTACTTACTTACTTGCATATACGTATAGTATGTAAAGAAAGCGTTGCGAAGGCGTTGAAAATTTGACTGATGATAGACTGACTTTTTTTCGCAGCATTGGCCCGTCTATCAAGTAGTGTCCGAAGTGTATATATTGGTGCCTGCATTGTTGGGTTTAAAAGGAAACTTGGAAATGACGTTGGCCTCTCGTTTTTCCACTCACGCGAATCTCGGATATACCGACACAAAGAAGCAGCGTTGGACTTTGATAGTTGGAAATCTTACTTTGATCCAATGTCAAGCAACGGTAGTGGGCCTATTAGCTTCTATAGCAGCGGTCGTGCTCGGTTGGATACCAGAAGCACAATTTGATATTCATCATGCTCTTTTACTATGCGCCAGTGCCTTATCTACTGCCTCCATAGCGAGTTTTTTATTGAGCTTAGTCATGATCGCCGTGATACTTTTGTCAAAAGAGATGAATATCGATCCGGATAACATAGCTACGCCGATCGCAGCTTCTCTCGGCGACTTGACCACTTTGGCCCTTCTTTCAGGAATCGCGTCTCTTCTTTATAAAAGTATGGGTAAGTGTGATATCTACATATACGTATAATAATAAATGTGTGCGTCTTATGGCAAGATCCTTTCAGATTATGCCGCATGGATAGCTCCCACCTTGATAATATTTCATATCGTCGTCACACCTGTTTGGGGCTACGTAGCAGCGAAAAATCCCTTTACCAGAGAAATATTAGACTATGGCTGGGTACCTGTGATATGCGCAATGTTAATTAGCAGGTTACTCTTGTTTTTCTTTCAAAGTTGGTCTAATATTTCAATAAAGTTGAATATTTAACAAATTTATATTACTTTCAGCGTAGGAGGTTTGATACTAGATTATACGATATCTAGTTACAAAGGTATAGCTGTATTTCAGTTGGTGATAAATGGTGTTGGTGGTAATTTGGTCGCTGTTCAGGCCAGTAGGATATCAACATCTTTGCATAAAGATCGTCGATCCGGTATTGAAACACCTACCGTTCGTTTTAGCCCGTTCCACGTGTTTTGTAGCAAAGGTACGTCGAGCAAGTACTGTAAAATCTCATTGTTACGTAAAGGAACTTAATGGGGCTTAATCTACCTATGTATGTACATACATCGAAACAACATCATTGAACGAAACTTGAACATAGATGGACACGCAAGAACCGCACGAGTTCTGTTAGCAATGGTGATACCTGGTCATCTGATATTTGGTTACACTATCAGTTACCTTCAAGCAGGACATACATCTTTCACGCCTATATTCATCGTCGTCTACTTGACCGCGGCTTTGTTACAGGTATATATTTGAACAAGAGTATTTTTACGGAATTACATAATCGTCAAATACTAGTTTCTTCGTTCGATTATTCTAGGTAATTTTATTACTGTACATTGCCCGATTGATGGTAGTCTGGATGTGGAGAAAAGGAATGGATCCAGATAGTTCGGCGATACCATATCTAACGGCAGCCGGTGATTTAATTGGGACGGCATTACTTGGGATCGCGTTTCACATACTATACGCCATCGGTGATAGAGATTCGGACGTAGGAGATTGACCGTTTTGGACCATTATTTACATTTACATTAAAACCGCTCGTGCAAAATATTGACTGAACGTGGTGACCACAGAACAGTAAGCATAACAAATGTTTATTAACGTATCTTTTCGTTTTCTTAACAAATGAATCGTGAAAGATTATTCTTTATTTTCCTATATCCGTGTATTTATCATCGCACAATTCGTATTTACTTTGATAAGGAAAATAGCAAAATCTATGAGAGCGAATAACGGTATAAATTAAAAATGTGCGAATGAACGAGTACGATTGATAGAAGGAGTGGGAGGATGTCAGAGAGGGAGAGAGAATGAACTTATCGCTTACTACTATTATTATTATTATTATTATTATTATTATAATTATTATTATTATTATTATTATTATTATTATTATTATTATTATTACGTAGGCGCAATAGATTTAGAAAAACGCATGTATAATATACTAATATATAGAAATACATACGCACCAAGTTGTCCGTTTCAGCCGGAAGAAGAATATGAAAAATATACGAGCGAATGATATCGCATTTAATTTTGAAAGGTCAAATATTTTTTATCGGGAATGTATTTACTAGTTAAAATAAATTCAAGTTGCAACTTTTGCTACACTTCTATCATTCGGTTTCGATACGTAACATTTCTTTAATTCCCGAATCACTTGTTTACCGTTAATTTCTTAAAAACATCAAACAAATAGACGAAGAAGATGCGGTAACTGATGTTTCAAAGATCGAACGATTTCGTTCTCTTTTTTTCTTTCCACTTTTTCCAGAGCGTTGATACCTATTTGAATATCGTAACTACATACATTGTTTTGAAATATTTGGAAAAAGTAGTACATACTCGCATCTCATACAATATTTTCGTACGCGATAAAAAAGAAAGCAGTAGAGAATGACGTATTTTCATTTTCAGGTTTTGATACGGTGCGCGCACATTTCGATGTATCACATACAACATAGGATTGTAGGATGATTCGTTTGAAAAGTTTGCTAAATAACGAGAAAAACGATTGAAATTCGCGGATAAAAAGTTAATCAAGTTGAAACGATGTAAAAATGGTAAAAGCGATAAGAGCGAGTTCAGCGAGCAAGAGAGGAAGAAGGGAAAAAAGCAGAAAGGAAGCACATTGTAGGTAGGTCAGACGGTAGAGAATATGAATCGAGTTAAAAGTTGGCTGTAGTGGTGTTTCTTTCGTACGATGTACGTACGTATCGCGTACGGTCAAGTAACGAGTAGGGCTTAAAGGTTCGTAAAGGTAATCGCGTAAGCGAGACAGATTCGAGCTTGTGCGTTCAATGTTCCTACGTAACGATACGTGCACGTGCACGTGCAATTGTATAGAGGATACATATACATATACATAATACATATGTATAGAGGAGTGCGCATATATGTACAGATAGGTAACGCGCGCGCTCGCAATCGCACACATATACAGGTACGTTAACTCGACGACGGACGATTCGTATACATACATACGTACGAAAGGAAGAAGCGTGATGGTTGAGAAGCACATCATCCCGTCTCCGTCAATGAAATAGTTAGATCTGTCAGTGCCAACTATCGCATCGGGCTCGGCGGAGCCTTTTAGATTTCATCTATCGCGTTCTTCCATCCAGTCGTTTTCTAAAGCTGTTTTCGCGCTGCTCTCCCTATCGTTTACCTACCGGCTATACTTTCTTCCAACTGTTGTCGAGAAAAAAAAGGATCAGAGAGGATCGGAGAAGATGGATTTCCTCGATTAAAGTTGACAGGAAGAATATTGGAAAAACATTCGTTTCGTACAGTGTAATTGCTTGAACGCGTACCGGCGGAAGGGCAAAGATCAAAGAAATAGAAATTCCACGAGACGATGCACGTCCTCGGATTTCTGTGTCTGTATTTATCGTACTCCGTCCGTATCGTAGTAAAAGACTTTTTCACGTTCCCCAAGAGGGTTCGCGCGTTCTTCGTTCTTCGTTCTTCGCTGTTACGTCGGCAACGAAAAGAACGAGAATAATTGGCACGAGTAGCGAAATAGTAGAATAGAATTGTACGTGGTCTGGCCAAAGCTTCGAGTTTTGAACGAAACGAGAAAAGAAAATAATCCGCGACGGTGCATGAACGAACACGCACGCGTCCCAAAGCGTGTATACCTTTTTTCGATACGTAGAAACTCTTAATTTTGAGAAATTTCTCTTCTCTCACTCTCTCTCTCTCTCTTTCTCTTTCTCTATCTATCTCTGTTTCGCTTCTTCTTTTCCACCTTCACTCTACGTATACGTATTTCTCCGTTGTTTACCGTTTCACATCGCGTTACGATCACGTGTAAATATAAAACCTTTTATCTCGTATGGACCGTCGCGTCGGTCGCAAGACAGGAGGGTAGTACATAGCTACTTGGAGAATACGATGGGAACAGATCGGTTCGTTCGTCCATGGTAAACGAAGGGGATGCGTTCGAAAGCGCGGTTCGCGGCTCACGGGAACCAAGTATCACAAACGTATGTTAAGTTATTGCTCCTCATGGTCGAACTTAAACACGTGGAGTAATTTATCAATTTGTGAATATGTTACGGAAGTGCTTCGTACTCGCGCGTCGCTAACGTTAAACGGCAATATTTGCAAATGTCAATGCATGAATGTTGCAGGACACGTTTGATTATTATTGATTGTGCGCTATCTTCACTTTTTGTTTTTACATTACAACACAGCAGCAGCAGCAGCAGCAACAGCAGCAATAACAGCAACAGCAACTACAATATCAAGAAAAGGAAAGAGGCTCGTATAAACGCACACATTTGTTAAAACGTCACAGAATCTTTTTATTTGTCTTTACCCCCGTTTTTTTTTCTTTCTTTTTGTTTTTAAGGATATTAGAATTATTCGTTAAAACAGTGAGTGAGCAGGCAAGCGAGCGCGATGAAAATTACCTCTTTTCTATCGTTTACGTTTTGCTCCCTCTACGCCCTGTTTTATCGGGTAAAATTTTGATCAGAAGTCGTTTTTATAGAATTATGTAGAATTTTCGAGCGACGTTTACACATATAAACTTGGGAGTATGTAAATTGAAGAATGGTATGGAGTTTGCGGGTAATTGAAATTTTCAAGTTCAAACGACTTTGCTTTTCGCACGTATACGCGATTGCAAGATCAGTTACGTTAAACGAACATCGGTTGTGTCTAACGAGAGCAGTTCTGTTATCGGCTCGCAAAATTCGTTTAGTTATCGTCATAATTCCATGCGTTCAATTCGTAAAGCATAATCAATTCGTTTCGAATACCTACATATTTATGTAGTTATTCCTACCCCTAATCCCTGATGCTTGTTAGATAACTTGTAAATGTTTTAGGAAGAAAAAGAAAAACGAGTAGAAGGTAGTTAGAAAAGTGATTTTTTCGTGCGAAATGTATTGTTTCGTAGTAGTAATAACTATGAGAAACGGTGAGATAAGCATAATCCAAGGTATATCGATACGTAATGTAGAACGACCGATCAAACGGACAACGTCCTGCTTTTCAACCCGACGCGCGACGCGCGACGACGCGACGCGACGATCAACGATATCGCGATTAAACGGCGCGTTTAATTCGATCGTGATCGATTAACGTGAAAGACGATTAGAGGGAACGAAAGAGGATCGATGCTAAGAAATTAGAGTTTTCAAAGAATTTAGAGTAACGATATTTCTAGGAATAACTCGATCTAACGAAGTAAGAGAAGAGAGAGCACCGAATAGGTAGACCGGGGCGGCTTTATTCACTCACGAAGAGAATGAGGATCGATAAATTCGCGCTTGCTCCGTTTAGCCTATGTTCCCAGCAAAAGTCCTGAGTGAGTTTTAAGGAGACAAACGTGATGCACGACGATCGAGATCAGTCGCGATGTAACCATAGCGTGAAACGGCCTCGCATCAGGCCACCTGCCTTACACCGCCAAATGCGTGACGACGGTTGATTTTCTTTTTTGCCAGAGTCAACACTAGCTGTTTTGATTACATCGAAAATCAGTTTCCTCCGGTCTATGAATCTGGATAAGATTCGATCGATCGTCGTGAATTTGCTTAGAAAGGTATTTTTGCTTACACAGGTACGATATATTTTAATCAAGATTTTTTATGATAGGTAAAAAGCTTTTTTAGTGATACTTGCTCTCGCGATCGAACATCTCGATTTCAACATCGAATACAGAGAAATTTGTTATTCGACAAAACACGTTTCTTACGTAGAGACACAGAAGAAACGTTAATCAACGAGTAGCGCGTGCGCGTATTCGTCCGCGTCCCCATGCGCGCGCGTTCTCGCCTGTCTAATTAATAATTGTAAGTATCCGTCTTCGTCTACTTACTTACTTACTTAGATCAGTGACAAGAGACAGAAAAGACGTTTAATCTTGCAAGAAATATTTCTGAAGAAATTTTAAACACCTTTTATCTCGAATGTTTGCTTTATCCGCGCGACGATCGTAATCGTCACCGACTGTAGAAAATTGTTTGCCGTCGAAGCACGAGTTTCTTTGAAACTTTACAACAATCGTGTATCAAAGCTATAAAAAAGAAAGCAACGAGGATTCTTCTCTCGATCGTTCGAGAACCTTTAACGTAAACCATTAAACGTTGAAAGAAATTAGTATGGAAATTGTTTGAAAATTGAATTATCGTTACCGGTGTAACGGTCGAAAGGTAAAGGAAAAAGTGTGGGTGGAAAGTAAGTAGGTTAATTCCACGGGAAGATTGATGTTGTCTCTACAAAACGATAATTAGCGTCAGTGACGAGAAAGGCGAAAATTAACAAGTGACAAGAATGAAAGAAACGCAGTACAGGTAATGGAAAAGGGAAAAAGGGTAAAAGGGGAAAAGGGAGAGAAACGAAACGCGTTAGAAGGTAAAATGATGACACGCGGTCGAGAATATCGGTGGAATGTCGATAGTTTTCGGGAGGAAAATTCGATGCGATTAGAACGATTCCGTAAGAAACGACACGGGCTGGAGATATCGTTCCTGGTTGGTTACGTAATTTGTTCGATTCTTGTCCTGAAATACAGACGCAACCAGCGAACATTTAGACAAGCGTTATCATTCTCAAAGGAGAATGGCTATATATCCGTGGCAGCAAGTCGCAAGAGGTCCTCAGTAGAAGATGATAGAGGACCAGACGCATCAACATCCGGTACGACTACCACCCGACAAGCATGCCCGTATCGATGTTACAGGAGGGAAATTTGAAAAGTACGTTCGTTCAACTGGTATTAATCTGATTATTAATAACTGATGATAACTTGAAATGTGATCACGGGAAAGGAGAAAATTTCTCTTATCCTTCGAATTTAGTCGTTTATCTAAGAATTTTTCATCCATAGGAAATTTTCTGTTGACAGTGATCAATGCAAAGAACCTCTGCTTTCGGAAAGGCAAATTTGCCACAGGATAACGGGAACGGAGGAGGTTCGTTCGCGTGCTTGTGCCTCGGAATCGACGACACTGGGAAACGCTACGACGAGCACGAGCACGAGCACGAGTTCGATCACAGGCACGAATAATATGGTCACGGTCACGGCTACGGTAGGGACAGGAACGAATGGGAACGCGAACGCGAACGCGAACGCATGGATAGACACCGTTGTCGGGGTTAACATCGGTAGCGTCGCTACCACCACGCCGGACAACAACACCATCATCAACAATAATAAATCTCTGGATGACGATTGCATTCAAGTACCGATCTTTGACGAAGGAACGACCGACAGTGGCCGTCTACCAGACGTCGTGGCCGAAAGTAAAATTTATGGCGTGACCGAGAACGAACCTATCGAATCGTACCTGGCAATTACCATTCAAGTTTTCATACCGTTTCTTATCGCTGGCCTTGGCATGGTGGGAGCTGGATTGGTTCTGGATTTGGTTCAAGTACGAATATCCGTTGCTTCTTTCAGCGAGACCCCGCTTTACACTCTAATATTACGGCGAAGCCGCTCGATCCGTTTCGCGTTTTTCCATAAATCTCAATTTCAATTTCAATTTCAATGCCTCCTTTTTTTTTTCACAGCATTGGGTCGTGTTCGAAAAAGTGAGCGAACTTATCATTCTGGTACCGGCATTGTTGGGTCTAAAAGGCAATTTGGAAATGACTCTCGCATCGCGCCTCTCCACTCAAGCGAATCTTGGACATATGGACACGCCGAAAGAGCAATGGTACATGATCGTTGGAAACCTCGTCCTGATTCAAGTGAGTCGGATTTACGCTTTCTATACGTAACGAGTAAATTCTTCTTTTCTTCAAAAGTTTGTCAACTATCTAAGTTGATTGAAAAAGTAGATAGAGGGGAAGAAAGTTTTTTATTCGTTGTTTATCTATCGCGGTCGCTAAAATTATTTCAAACGAAGCGTTTATACCGACAAGGTGTACGCGACTCGTGGACGCCTTATCATTGGCGCCACGATTTTATTTGATTACGAGTACAATACGTCAACGGTAAACGACCTTCGAGAATAAGCTTCGCATTTGTCACTCGATTTGCAATCCGATCGAAGAAGCAGAATATCTTTTGTTAGTCGATAAATTTATAAAAAGTTTTTCAATCGAAGAATGACAAGAATTTGAATGCGATTCAATGCGATTCAATCTGACAATGAATGAGATCCGCCGATCTCGACGTTTGCGTAAAGAAGACCAGTTCGTGTTGGCAGTGCCAAGCGATAGTGGTTGGATTTCTGGGCTCGGTAGTGGCGATCGCAATGGGGGCATTTCGAAACAGCACCATCTCGTTGGACCACGCTTACCTGTTGTGCGCAAGCAGTTTGGTTACTGCCTCTTTGGCCTCGTTCGTCCTCGGATTGATCACCGCAGGAGTGATCGTTTTCTCGCGACACTGCCACATAAATCCGGACAACGTTGCCACTCCGATAGCCGCGAGCCTCGGTGATATCACTTCCTTGGCTTTGCTCTCTTGGATATCAACTATTCTCTACGAGTCGATAAACAAGCAAGATTGGGTCGCGCCTCTCGTGATCGCCTGCTACCTCTTGGTCACACCACTCTGGGTATGGATCGCCAAAAAGAACAAGTATACCAACGATGTTCTTTATTCCGGCTGGACTCCTGTCATGATCGCGATGTTGATCAGTAGGTGAGTAACCTAATCGTAATCTAACTCGGATTTTCTTACTGCTGCTATATTCTCCTTTCCATCATTCATGCCGTGCAGTTGCGGCGGTCTGATATTAGAGTTCATGGTGTCACGGTTCGAGAACTTGACCGTTTTCCAACCAGTTATCAACGGCGTGGGTGGAAATCTGGTTGCCGTGCAAGCGAGTAGAATATCGACGGCTCTACACAAACAAGCGGAACTGGGAACACTTCTGATACCGCCGGGTCACACGCATCCCGTCATCTTTATCACGCCTATCGCTAATTTTTTCGGCAAAGGTAAATTTACCTATCTTGTCTCTTTTTCTTTGTCCAATTAATTGAAACTAATACGATTATCGTTTCTTTTTTTTCTTTTTTTCTTTTTTTCTTTCTGGTTTGTTTGTTTTCTGCGTTTGTGTCACAGGTTTGCACGCGAGAACGACCAGAGTTCTAATGGCGATGGTTATACCGGGTCACATCATTTTTATTTATCTGATCAATTACATGAAGGACGGCAACGCCTCGTTGACACCTCTATTCGTTTTCGTTTACCTCTGCGCCGCTATGCTCCAAGTTGCTGCCCTTCTCTACATCGCCTACATTATGATACATTGGATGTGGAAACGAAAAATCGACCCCGACAACTCGGCGATTCCGTACTTGACGGCAATGGGAGACCTGCTAGGCATCAGTTTGCTAGCGATCGCTTTTCAATTTCTCTATTTAGTTGGCGATCAGGATTCCGATCAAACCATCACCCCCTAAAACGCTCACTTTGAACTCGATCGAATTTTCTGGTCGGATGCAAATTCTTTTCCATCTCGATTCTTTATGTAGAACGCGATACGATCGAGAACCGTTCAGGAATCCTCATCGATAGGATCGTTTCCTAATGTCAGCTGCTTTTCATTTCACCTTATCTTCTTTTCTTTCTTTCTTTCTTTCTTTCTTTTTTCAAAGATAATGAAACTGCATTTAATCATCAACGCAGTTGTTGATAGTCTTTCGTTCGAAAAATGTTAGACAACCGTAGGTCGAGAAAGAATTAATTACACGTCACCGAGTCAACACCGATTCTTAACGAGGCTGTGCTTTAACGAAAGTATTGTTATATCGTTGTATCGCATTTTATGAGAATCAGATAGAACGACGATAATGTCCTCCTGTTCTTTGAAACGTTTAATTTGACTTGACTCGACTCGACTCGACTCCACTCGAATCAAATCAAACTGAATTATCTATCCTCCTCCTTTTTACTACCTCCGCTCGACTCGATTGCATTTCAGTTTTATTTTCCAAATTGTTCGAATACGTTTGCAACCGATCACGAGATTCGAGGACGATTTGCTAATCTTAAAATCGGTTTTTAAGGGAAACAAACAAAACGATAAATGAAAAAAAAGAAATCAAAGTACCGCTTCGTCTTGATCGAATTGTTACTTTTCCGGAAAGTTTTGGTACACAACAGACAAACGTAAGTAGCGGAATTTGATAAAATTCGGATATCGGTCGTTCTGCACTATACGCTGTGTGCCGTGTACATACATACACGTCCTTGAATAATCGCGATAAGACGAGACGAGACGAGACGAGACGAGACGCGACGCGACGCGACGCGACGAAACGAAACGAAACGAAACGTTTCGTCTGCTTTTCTACCCTGCATCCCGTGTGGTTTTACTAAAGTCTTCCACCGATGCCGTTTCAAACTCTACCTAACTTGTACAACTTACGTGAACAAACGGGTATAGATTTATGGACTTTGAACAGCGAAACAATCGAGTAAGGGATGATAAGGGATGTTTTCCTTTTCTTTACCCTTTCTTTTTTTTGTCATTCCGGCTTCTCTTCTACTCGTCTGAATAAACACGCACGGAAGGAAAAAAGTAAAGGAGTAAAAATTACGGAGTAAAGGAGTAACGACAAATGGACATTTTTCGACTCTGTTTTTCTCTGTCATTCGACGTTGTCCAGAATTCCTACAAACTGTTACGTACCGCTTGCACATTGTTCGTATTTTTGATACTTCGCAAGCTGAATCGATCGAAAAGAATACTCAAGAATGCAGAATAATTTATGGATGCGTCACACGATCTATACATACATACATACATACATGTATATATGTATAACTCAGGCTGATGCTAATTCGTCGTATCATTGTACGATCAATAGCTTCGCTTCTAGACATGGCAATCGATTAAATGCAAACTCGTTCGCGCAATCGATTGTAGTTAAAACGAAATCGGTACCGCGCGTTCCATGTCCCACAACGAGAGTCAGCTACGCGCGATGATACGGCCTTTACCATAGTCAATTTTCTTTCTTGTTCCTTCCTCTATTCACCATACACAAACTTTATCTGTTTAAATGCGCCTATCAACGCTACACACAGCTAACGTTTTGGTAACATTGTAAAAACTGTTAGGAAAGAAACTATATATATATATATATATATACCAAAGATTAGACTATAAATATATCTTGACAATAATGTTTGTTTCAAGAAGGTAAATGAGCTATTTTTTACCCGACTTGATTGACAAATGTGTGACGAAACGTTTGCACCTTTACATTTAAGTACATACATACGCTGAACACGTGTCGCTCGAGGTAATTTGTACAAAGACGTTTGGCATTGTTTGATTGGGGTATACCTTTCAACTACTTGTAAGCTTCGTAAAGAAACGTGTCAACAAGAATCATACAAACATGGAATATACTAAAGGAAGAACAGGCGGAAAATCGAATGCGATACGTTCGAAAGGAAAACGTTTGATTATTTTTCATACGGTGCTACTACTACTACTACTACTACTGATAATGATAATAATAATAATAATAATAGAAAATGAAGCTAAAACTAAATGATAAATAAAAGAAAAGAATTTACGCGATAGTAAGATTCGCTCGTTCCGTTCGCCTCGAGTACGTGATATGATCATTTATCGTTGTAAAACGATAAAATAAACGGATCAACGTACATTTCAAATGGAAAGGCGATGTAGTTTTATATAATAAAACTAAACGAAACAAAAGGTCAAAGATATATTTTTGTCCTTTTTCTTTCGTCAGATGTTCCTTTAAAAGTTTCAATCACGCGAACGACTACGATCCAAGCCGAATTAAAAACTTCAACACGTAGAAAATATTTGAGTCTGTTTATTGCAAGAGTTTGAACGTCCAAAAATAAGTTTACATCTTGTACAATTTGAAAGACAACCAAAGAAACAGATGCATTGCGGGCGATAATATCTTTCTCCTTCTTCTCGATTCCGTCATCAGCCTACTCCTCGTGGTAGTCGTCATCGCGCTTGACTCGCCCCTTTCTTCAATGCATTACGAACGTTCATCATAGACATAATTTGAATCACTCTAAACATTGCAAGCGCTGTAATAACAAAATTTTATAAAAGTACGAATCTACTAAGAAACGAACGACCGAACTATCATAGAATCGCGAGTGTAATTTGAACGTGGAACAACGGTTTTTCATGACATGATTCGATTCTATAATTAACACGTGTATCATGTACTTTTTATACGTAAAGTAAAATATATGGTACAAGATTATCATTGTATCGCAAGCTGTAAAATCATAAGCAGTAGGTGATTCAGTCCAACAGAACGATTATACGTGTTCAATATCGTTTTATTGCAACTTTGCTTCTTCTTTAACTTTCCAAAGAATCAACTCCATGCAGGCCATAGCGTCCTCTTTGCTGTCATGTCCACCGACTGCAATATCATTATAAAATCGGTCAATAGCATGCATCGTTTCACGATACGCGCTTTATTCAAAGAAGAAAAATATTACAATTAACGATTGTTAATTATTCTCAACGAACCATCATTTTGAATGAGTTTTCTCAAATATTCGGAACAAAGGTTCTTCAATGCTCTCTTCTGTGGATATCCGTTCTTATGCGGAAACATGACGCTTGTGTCGACCACGGTCTCGTGTAATAACCTTAAAGCTTTGAAATCACTCTCCAGACTGTGACCTACTAATATCGTTTTCTCCGAAAACATTGTTAGTATCGTTGCTTGGACATCTAATAACGTAGTCGCCACATCCTTCATGCTTTCTTCCGTTATCCCAGAAAACCTGTACAATTAACGATGCCATCGAGGCATGTAAGCAAATACATGCACATAAAATAAACATAATACAATATACAGGAAATACCTGTATATTCTCTTTACCTTGTATTATAATCGATTATAGGATTTTGCGGTTTGACCAACGTTTCGTAGACTACATTGCAATCTTCGTCAATGATCGTTATTCTAGTCAATTCCAATCCCTGTGTCGTATAACACATTTCACAATCGAGCGCGTACACTCCTTGTTCCTCGATCGTTGTACCTTCACGAGTACAAAAGAAAAGAAATGAAATGAAATGAAATGAAATGAAATGAAATGAAATGAAATGAAAAAGGAGAAGCTGACGGTACCGTACCTTTTGGCAAGGTTTTTACATAACCGCGAAGATTTTCGTAATCGGTATAATCCCAAACGTGTGTTTTTGCATCGCAACAACCAGTCGCGGAACCATATTGTTGACAACAACTGTATTTACCCTCTCCTCTGATCGTGAATTTTCTACCCCAATGATATATACAGTTCTGCGATTGCAATGCAAATCCTTGTTTATCGATCATATAAGTTTGACCGCAACGGCAACAAACTCTTTCGTTAGGCACTTTCGACAAGACACTCTGATTTCGAGAATTGATTACATAAACTTTGGCACGGCCCTAAAATTATTAAATAATTTAAATAATTACTAAATTTCTTTCATCGTTCGTTCTTCCTTTCTCTTTTACCTTTTGACCATCCGGATGTGGCCGAGGAAATCCGTTATCTCGAAGTTGCTGTTCCGTCATTATCCATTTCTTCAACATACCGTATAACGCTACTCCCCTAAACTCCGTAACGGATTTCTTTGTCTTGAGAACACTCCAAGAACCCTTTGCTTTTCCAGCAAGTACCGCTTCATGGGATACTATGATGTTACCTGATGTTGTCGCCGCATTATTTTCTGCCGACTGATTCTGATCAACTTCTTTCCTCAATCGGTGCGCGGCGAGCATACAAGAATTTTTATAAACGGCTAACGCTTTACATCTTTCGTGACAAGCGTGTTCTTCTTTAACCGCACGCTGTGCTGCATCCTCGGCATTCGTGTAAATTAACACGCACACGTCGTGCATCATATTCACGTAATACTGACGAACGTTTAAGGGAAATTTTTGAGTAGCCACTTGCAATGGTTCAGGCCGTATTAATTGAGGAACCTAAAATACAAGGAAAAGAAATCTTGACTTGGCAATTCTTTTTTTTTCTTCAAATTCATTGAAAAACACTTGTTTACTAACCACTTGTGGAACATGCGCGATTCGTACACCACTCTTGGCAGTTTGCGCTGCTGTTTTTTGTGACTCTGTCAATTTTGAAGACACCGGCGTTGCTACTATTGCCGATACCGCCGCCGCCGCTGCCGCTACTACCGCATTTTCTCTCACTTTCTTTTTCTCTATCGCTAGAGACTTTGCGTACGGCACATGAGCAATTCTCACGCGACCTGTCAATTAATATTATCAAAGAAAATCAATGTTATTCGAAAAAACGATTACACGATTAACATTACCATTTCCTCCGTTCAATTTGAGTTCGCTGTTACACGTGGTGGTTGCTGCCGTTTCTACGCAATTACGACGTACATCCTTGATAACGTTATTACTACTACTACAGCCGCCGCCGCCACCAGAACTACCTCCCTCGGCTACAGTAGAAATACTTTTTTCTACTACAGCATCTCGCATCAAACGCCACCTTTCGTACATCTTCTGTTGTGGATGTATCACTTTTTTCCCTTGCTGATTAACACCCGTTTGCCTGGTAACACATGTAGCCGCTGAAGGATGCGCCACTCTTTTCCTACCAATCTCTTCGTTTTCTTCCTTTTCGTGCAACGGTAATTCTTTCGATGACTCCATCGGTTTTGGTCGTTCTGGTACTTGATATTCCTTCCAACAATATGCCAAGTATGAATAAAAGCACAGAAACGAATAAATTCTCAATCGATTTCCTACACTAGTCTACCCTTTTAATCGAACCAATTACAAATTCATCATGCGAAAATACCTGAAATATTTTTAAGCACTCCTCTTGTACATCATGATCTGAATCGGATGTACTAAAAGTTACGTCAATGTCCATGCTCATCATATTATTATCATTGTAATCATTGTTTTCTTCATCGTCATCATCATCGATCGGGTTCCACCCAGTGTTACCTTCCAACGAACTCACCGATCTATCGACTGAACTTCTTCCTTCCCTGTGTTTTGCATGCCTACGAAATTTCCCACTTGTCTTATCGTCCGATTTCTTATTCCTTTTCGAACGCTTACTTTCATCGTTTCTCTTCTCGATATGTTCCCGCCTTTTCGACGAATCCGAACAATTCTTGGACTCGCGTTCGTTACATTTCTCCGACTCGTGATAATCTTCTCCTTTATCCCTCTTATTAGTTTTATGTCTACTTCCACCCCTTTCGCTTTCTCTTTCTCTTTCTCTTTCTCTTTCTCTTTCTCTCTCCCTCTCCCTCTCTTTACTTCTATGCTTCTTACGATCCTTGTGACTACTTTTATCCTTATCACTCTTTGTACTCCTTGATTCTTTCTCTTTTTCGCGTTCCACGTGACTCTTAGTTTTGCTTTTACTATGAGTCGCTGAACGTGATGTTTCGTACGAATCACGCTTCGAAACTTTATATCGTTTATGAGATTTATCACAATCCTTTTGATCCTTTTCTTTATTTTTATCCCTGCTTTTAAATTCTTTCGAATTTACGCTGCCAACTTGATCCGTATCTACTTTCGGTACTTTTTTCTCTTCGTGTAGCAACGGTTTTCCACCTTCTTTACTCGTTAATTTCACCTGCTTCGGAACGTTACTGTTTCTCAATACTGTTCCATTACAATTTCTCTCCTCGTCGCATTCATTTTCAACCTTTACCTGCGACCACTCTTCGATCACTGCATCGTGACCTCTCTTACCGTTTAAACAGTCAAATCTCCTAACATTACGATAAAGCTCGTTTTCTTCTACCGATGTACAATTAGCATTTTCAGAATCAATCTTATTTATATTTTCATGGTTATTCTCATCTTCTTCCTCCTCTTCGACGTCGTCGTCCTCGTCACCATCATCATCATCATCATTGTCATCGTCGTCGTCGTCGTCGTCGTCGTCGGAAAATTTCGCTTCCAAGTCCATGCAAGAAGTTTGAAACAACTCTTTAGATTGAATCGCAGAAGTAGATTTGGAGAGAACCAGTGATTCGTCAATCGTACCAAAGCCTCTGTTGAATTGCTCTAACGCAGATTCATTCAATCCCTCGACAGTTTTTAACGGCGTCTTTACCCTCTTTGGAACATATTCCTCTCTTCTTTTCTTACACTTTGGATAATACGATTCTCTCAGCTTAAACAGATATTCGTTCGAACTCTCGTCCTTATAGAAATATGCTGGAGCTGAATCTGACTTGTACGTAGGTATGTAACTTTGTGTAGTATCTCGAATTTCAGAATTGACTATCACTGTAGGTTTGTATTTAATTTCACAATCAGTTTCAATTGATTCACCGGATTCGCAGCTTGTAGCCAACCAAGCTTTTATCCCATCCGGAGAACATTTACGTTTCACTGCCACTCTACTGTCTCTGGTTGGCATGTAAGATACTATTGGTATATGACGTTTCTTTAATTCTGCAATTGGTGTTGGATTGTAAACGCATGGAATTGCTTTACTGACCGACACAGACGTTGACGCGTCTACTCTATTCTCCGTTGTATTAGTTGCTACAGTATCAAAAGTATTGGATGATCCAGGTGTTAAGGTTGGCGTTAGTCCTTCTACGACTTGGGAAACAACATTTTGACAAGAAAATTGATCCGCATTCGTGGCATCTTGATTTGCGAGAACTTTTTTAACAGCTTCCGTTACTAATTTTTGTAAAACATCTGAACCGGACGATACCATCGTACAAGCTTTTGCCTCTTGAACCTGACCCACAGCACCGCTTTCCACCGTCTCGGTTGCTTCCGCGGTAACCCCGACATCTTCTAAAACTCAAAACATCGATATCTCACTATTTCTAGTTTTTAATCGTTGATACATACATTCCCATGATAAACATTAAACAAAGTAGACTAAAACTTTCGTTCTTTGTTAGAAAAAAATACGAAACACACGTTTCATCGGCAAGAATAAACTCGCGTAACAAAGTATATATAACTTACCCCGTTTCGAATGCTTAAAATGACAGTAAGGTCTATCGCAGCTTCCACTTTCGTAAAATGGACAACCGATAGCTTTAAAGTAACCAGTCGAAGGCAACATAACTATTTCATTGTGATTTCTTCTTTCAACCGCTCATTCTTCGAAAAATATTGCATAAAGTCGTGTAAGAACACTAACTTGAACCGTTTCTCTATCAGTTGAATAACATCATTCCGTTTTACATCGAACTGATGTGTATTTAGTCATTATTCCAAACCGATCCGTGAATTTTTGTAAGACGCATCAAACACACGAAACTCGAAATAAATCGAATCCCAAAAACATAGGTTATGTAAATTGGGATCGTACATTTCCCTCTTTGCGATTTGCTGTTCGAATGTATTCATTCTCTTTCTCTCCTACCAGTCATTCCACCCCCGCACTACATATTTCGCTATTTATCCCCGCCACTACCACCTCTGTAATTTACCGTTATTCTTTATTTCCTTTATCTTCTTTCTACTGCCATCTAGCGTAAAAACAATTAATCAGAAAACTCAAGGACAGTCCCTAGAATAATCCCTAGAGACGAGAACACACCTTTCTTCGTTACTGCTAAACAGATTGCAAAGAAATTTCAGGAACGTGTTCAGGAGGCCCTAAAGAATGGTACACTGCTCCTTATTTTACCCAAATCGTCAAAATATTCTCCAACTACCACTTCTCCGGTACTGAAAAGAAAGAGAAGCTCCTCTTATGCATGTATGTATGTACCTATACCGCCGTTCACCAGAGTCCATAACTGCGAAAAGACCAGTTTTCGTTCTTCGCGCTTCTCCAGTGCGCATCTTCGCCCTGATTGGCGATACTCCCAAACGAAGTGGAAAACGATTAGCAGAGAGCTCGCTGCGTTCCCCCACCATCTTCCAACCTGCGCGTCGCAGTTATGGACTCTAGTGAACTGCGGTATACATACATGCATACATCTTTTCTCTTTCTCGTCGTACATACATACAATGGATGCTCGGTCTATACTTACTACATATGTCTATGCGCGGTACCGAACAATATACCCAGTCCCCTTATATTTAGTATACTCTGTGACCTTAGATGTTATTACTTGCTTTCTTTGTTCTTATATTTTTTTTCTCCACTCTGTATATGACCACGAAGTTAAAAGTATAAATAGAGGGATTACCTTAGCTTGCGCGAAACAGGTTTGTTCTCTCGTTGAAAGAATAATACTTGGTCATTTCTTTATTATTTTTCTTCATATGTACATTATACTCGTGTTAAAAAAAAATTCACGCGTCAAAGTCTATCATTATTATTAAAGAATAAGGAATAGCACCGTTCATGTCACCTCGCTGCATTACCCGTGTCTACCCCCTTAAATCAGTTTCTGTTCGGCTTAATTTTCGATGAAGCGTTGACTGTTTTACCGACGCGGAATTCGAAGTTCGGGCTCCACGAAAATTAAGTTTCTGTTTCCCCTGTAACGCTACTTTCCTTCGGGAAGTCTTCTGTGCTCGATACTGTACATAAATATCAAATCTATTCGCTTTCTTTTAATCTCATTGTCAGTTTTCTCATATCGTTCGTACAAACGGTAACACCATGATACTAGTGAAGTATAAAAAGAGAAAAGATCGTATTGTTCTTTCGGCCAATGATGTAGAGTATTGTTGATCGCTACATTTCAGATACCGTACGTGTATGTATGTACTTACGTACATTTTAGATATTTATGAAAAATATATGTGTGTATATATATATATATATATATTTATTTTTTTTTTTTAAATATACTATAACAAAAGGATAGAAAATACAACAAGCGTTTTGACATAGTAGCCAGTATCGAATCGACTACGATATACCAACAACAATTTGCTTATACGTGTATCTGTATACTATATAACATAAGTTAACGTCACTTTTCATTTCATGTAATAGTAATTACCTAGTAACTTATCTCACCGCATTGCAATTTCATATGACTACGGCAGTAAAACATTGATTTACATCACGAATAAAGTCGTACAAATGAACTATTTAACGTTCTTGAACGATTAATTGGCTTTTCTGTGCGTCTTCGTTCTCTATCGTTGCGAATGAAGGTAACTCTGCTTTAGTAGCCAATTGCAGAGCGTGAAACCACCTGAAAGTTTTACAACCTTTGAGAAAGATTAAAAAATTTGAAAAAACTCCACACAACAAATAGGCTATGATTAAGTATACAATATATGTATATATAAATGTGCGAAATAACAAAACATACTTCTCTTTATCTTCGTTCGATGATGCTTGCAAATAATAACTTTTCCTAGAATGATGCATTTTAAGGGCTCTAGATCTGTCTTTTGGACTTAAAGGATCCTCTTCGGGTAGATCGGTACCCTCCGTAACAATGAAACCAGGCATAGGAGTTGCTGTCAACGCCATATTTTCAGACTCAGATTTAAAAGTATATAAAACGAAATCGACGTGTAACGCGAACCATCGGCGCATCCAAGGTTTGCTCGGTTGAGTCTTTAACATGAGATATCCAGATATAACGGAAGATGCGTTTGCTGAAACTTGCAATAAACTTGGCACAGGTCCGGACGGAGATGTCGAAGAGGGTGAATTAACGAGCGGTTGCGTTAAAGCGGCATGACACAGACGACAAACTCTCATATTCTTATTATCTTCGAATAATAATTTTTGATTTGAACATTTACTGCAAACAACCTGTGCAACAATAAGTAAAGATGCTGTCAACGCGAAAGAAACAATTTCTATTTATACAATTTTTATACGAACAAGTAAGAACGAGAAAGAATACTTACTATACCGCAAGCTCGACAGTTATGTTTTCTTTTCATTACAGAAAATATTACTTCGCATATCATACATCTAGACACGTCGTCAGTTTTTATGACAAGCGTTTTAACATTTCCAGTTTTTAAACTTGCCTTTCTTTTCATCATTTCTTGCATAGTGTCGAACAATGCATCGAGCCATGCTGCTTTCTCCTCGGCCGCGTGTGTGTACAGTTCGACGCTTTTATCTTTGTCCCTTATATAGAACGTATTTGCAGTTTCTAAATTGTCACCCTCGATTACTTCCAAATTTTCGATCAGGAATTTAGCTCGCAATCGATACAATGGTCCGGGTATCAATCTTATCGAACAGAGTAACAATAAATCGCTAAACTGGAAATCAGAAGTATGGAAAAAAATAAAAAAAATAAAAAAAAAAAAAAAAAAAGAAAAAAAAAGAAAAGAAGAAAAGAAATGTTTAATGATCAAAGTCGGATAAAGATAATGATAGCATTGGAAATAATTAACTACATCAGCGTATAATAATTAAGTACGCGCATTTAATGTGTATGTACGGATATGTATTGTATATCGCGAACGAACCAATAAATGTATAACGCCATTTAGTTTTACACGTACCAGAAATAACTGTCTTTCCTGATGATCACCGCTTCTTGCTGAAATCTTAACGATACGCCCCTCTTTTACTAGTTCCCGTGTAGCACTGACTAGATCCGTTGTATCGTATATACTTTCTTGTATCTCAAGAAGCTTTTTAAATTTATCAATCTTCTTCATTGCTTCGTTCGTGTGATTTGCAGCAGTAGATACTAATTCCAATGCCTCTACGAGAAAGAAAGCCATGTCTGTTCGTTTGATTCTACGATTATTATCGTCGCCAACTACGGACGTCTATTTAAACGTGCCCCGTTCAATAGACGTTTAAATAGAATCCGATCCTCCCTAGTTGCGCATTACATTATGCGGAAGTAATTCATCGAATCGAACTCGAAAGATCCTTACTTTTAGTATCCTCGTAATCGGCACTTTCTTCCGTGAGATTTCTCAAGTAATCTTTTAGAAGGAGCTCGTATCTCGGTAATCTTTGTATAGGGCTGAGCATATGATGAGGCAAGGATAATTTGGCACATTCATCCAATTTTTGAATCTCGTTGATGATCGCAGCAAATCTGGCGACTTTAGTTTGTAAAGATTGTATCAAGTTCATGGCATAGTCAAAATTTTTTACATATTCCGTGTACATTTTGAGAAACGGTGCAAAATTTTTCATTATATCTCCAATTCGAGGATCCGATTCCCAATTTTCCATTCTCTCTTCGAGTTGCGGCAACAGAAAATCATGATGAAACTTATAAATCGATTTGATATTAGAGAACATGTGTTGAACCGTTTCTGGGGGAAACATTGGGTGCGCCCTATTCTCCTGATCGACTTTAAATTGAAATACTTGATCGATCAATCGCAAAACATTAACGTAATTCTTTTCCGTCGCCAATAATTCTTCGGCAACTTGACGCGCCTTCTTTCTTTTCGAATCTAAACAACTGATACTGTTATTACTTGACTTTAATTTCACCGGCGAATCGTCGTCGGTATGGTCCACGATTAATACCGAATCCGCTTCCAAAGATTTTCCTCCATCCGACTCTTCTTCGCTTTCCGATTCACTTATCGCGTACGACTCCACTTCGTATTGACGAGAATTTCTTTCCGTGGCTAAATATCTACGTACATACATATAATAAACCGCCATTTAGACCACTATCTCTTTAAGTCTCTTTAATCAATGATGATGATTATGGCACCAACCGTTGGCTGCCAACTAACTTACCTACTGTTTCTATATTCTAACACACCGTGTGATACTCGAAGGAACGATACTTCCAACGAATTCTCTTCATTCTCCTCGATACTAACACGCTCCGTCGAACTTTCGGCCGACATAACAAACGGCCGAAACCGTGAGAAACCCCCAAAAGAGGCAATTTTACGAAACGAATGCCCATTGTAATTTCCCTGTTTTTTATCACCTGCTATCGTATCAGAACAATTAGAAGGAATATCCATACAAGCTTCGTCTCGTTGCTCTGTCAATTCATTTACACCAGATTCTTTCTTTGCTACATCACTCTCCAATTCTGTGTAAAAGGTACTATTCGATGTTTGAGTCTTCGAAGTAAACATTTTAACCCTTTTGCTAAGGTCTGTTCTGTCGTTAAACTTTGAAAATGGTTTTGTTATCCAAAATGAAACATCTATCGATTGATCTTGCTGCATCCTAAATGTGAATTCATTAATCGATCATAAAGTATCATCATAATAGTTTACCATTTTTAATGCAAATTTATATATATAAATCAGGTTAAATTAACTACCTGTTTGCAATGTAATTGTTTTGTCCAATAAATACATTATTCGTTATGTTAACCAATAGTAATTCCAATCAGTAGCAATCGAGTTTCAATATCGGGGATTATCTGTTCACTGAAGTATTTGCATCGTTTCACCTTGGTGTATACTGAAATTTATATAATTACTATATTTCGTTTGACCTTTATTTACGATTGAATCAAAAGAGAACTGCTGCACCTTACCAATCACGGTTTATCAACAATAAGTGAACGAAACAAAAGAAATGAATAAAACGCATCTAAAGTTTTCAATTTTAACTGCCTTTGATCTGTTTACAGCTTACTTAGAGCCTAACACAGTATCATACATATTGCAATTAGCCATATTTCATAACGATACAAACCCCACCTATAGTCCCATATATTTACATACGTATGTATACATACATAGTTATAAAACATTTTGCATTCTTACCCATGAGTACCTAACTAACTTGTGCACATTTGTGAAATTTTTCTGAGCGATTCTGTAAACGTTGAAAATGACAAGGTGTTATTTATGTAAATAGATAGGTTAAAGTTAACCAATGATAACGGCGCTTTAGCGAACACGGAGGTATCGTTCAAAAATGCGTCGTCGCAGTCGCGGATTCGGATGAAAATGCTTACCGACCGTCTTCTACTAAACACTTATTTATATATACATATACATTATCGTTTGGGAACAGTATACGGTCAAAAAAGAAGGAGAAAAGTATTTGAAAAATATCGAGATCGTACAAAAATAAATCAAGTATAAACGAAAAGCTATTTAAAATGTGTGGCTGTTGAAACTATACGAACGTACTACAACGATACGAACTTGATAGAAATCTCAAAGAGAAGGTTATAATTACACATCTTTTAGAGAAAAAAAAACCTCGTGGTGCATCGATTCGATGTAATATTTTTCTTCTGTAATACAATTTTCGTACTATATTATTTGATATACATACATCACTTGTGAAGAAATTTCGCGGGTAATATTTCCCAAGATTCTTTGGTATCGAATCGTGAAGACTGCGCGAAACACTGAAAATTGAATTTGCCATACGAGGAAGAAAGATATAAAAGGAAAGCAAAGGAAGAAACAAAAAACATTCAAATTTTATTCGATTTTATTCGATTTTATTATACCGTGTTGTACATACATACATACATACATACATTACCAGACTGTTTCCAATTAATATACAATATACATATGTGATTAATGTCTATTTGGATCGGCAAAGAAAATGGCAAGTTTACTTACGCTCCTTTCGTTTTATACGCCGACTATTTACTCATTATTTCCGCACTTACCGATCCAACCACTATCGTTTCTAACCGCTGTCGTTATACATATACCGTAGTTCATCAGAGTCCATAACTGCGAAAAGACCAGTTTTCGTTCTTCGCGCTTCTCCAGTACGCATCTTCGCTCTGATTGGCGATACTCCCAAACGAAGTGGAAAGCGATTAGCAGAGAGCTCGCTGCGTTCCCCCACCATCTTCCAACCTGCGCGTCGCAGTTATGGACTCTGGTCTGGTGAACTGCGGTATACATACATGATATACATATCCATATGCACCCTACGACGTACGAATATAAAATTGTTACGAATCTATTTCACGCGTTTCATATTATATGATTATTACGAAAAGAATTCTACATGATAAATCAATGGATCTGTTTCACGTATATGTGTTGTGAAAGGTTCGCAGAGAAAAACAAATTTGCCGATGCAAATAACCTATATTATAGTGCAATCACGCGCGAACCTTCGATGCATTGTAAAGGAATCGTTGATGATCCTTATTTTAAGACGGATGTTTATCTGCGGACACGGAATTAACAGAGAAAATAATGACGTTGATCATCGACGATCATCGCGAAACGTTGTTTGTTCGCAGCTCTGGATTTATAACGAAATACTATGTCGACACACGCCGCAGAACTTTCGAATTGTATCGTGACTCGAGGTATCGAAAGCATGCCTGACGAGACACAGCAGGTAGTTGTACAGAAATATAATTCCTTTAATTCTGAATCGCGCGTATCGTCTACTTTTATTCACGTTTAATTTTCCATTTTATCATCATTTTATCATCATTTTATCATCATTTTATCATCATTTTATAGAGCAATCGTACGGATATATTGGAGTGTCTGTCGGTTCTAATTAACGAAAACAACACTGGGAATGACAGAACAGAAGATCTAATGTTGGACAAACAACTGTTGGATGGTGCAACGTTAACAGCTGTAACACTAGCCGATGGAACCGAAGCATTCGTTGCAAATAATTTCAATGAAAATGGTTAGAGATTAATCTGTAAAAGAGGGACGCGTGCACAGTGTTATTTGTATCAATGCCAAAATGGGTGTCATCGTATCATAACATCATGCATGATTTACAGCTTTGCCGCAATGTTGATAAGGTTAATCTAGCATTTCTTTTAGAATTTCCGCATCTGTTATTAACATTATCAATATCTTTGATTCCCAGAGGTTCACTCAAAAGGACAAACGACGTTGGAAATACAAAGCGGAGATACTATATTATTACGAGAGGTATCAGAGTTTACAGAAGATAAACCGTTTCGTTTCGAATTAGATCCGGCAGCTTTGGTTCAAGCTCATAGCGCTACCATAGAAAATGTTGAAAACACTTATCCACGAGTGGAGTTTATCGATGGTACCGCTTACATGGTGACAGGCCACGTTGACGTTAGTAAAGATTTATGGGAAATCGAGAATGGTAAATTGAAGAAAAAGGACTCTAAGATATTATTAAATAAATTGTCCACATCAAGGATCAGGCATCCTTGTCCAAGGGAAGGATGTTCAAAAGTTTACAGTACGCCTCATCATCTGAAGGTAAGCTCATTTTTCTTCTTCTTCTTCTTCTTCTTCTTTTATATTATATTGTAGATTGTAGATAAAAAAGAAAATGGATAGTTTTGGCCTGTGTCTTCAAGTAAAATTTCCTTTTCAATTTTATTCTCTGTAACGTACATACGTGTTATCGAACACACGAATCAATGAAAAATAGTCGGTCAGGCCTGAACTAACAACAATACCAAAAGGTTACGATCATTTTGTTAAGAACAGTCTTGTTAAATCAGGTGCACGAACGATCTCATACTGGTCAACGACCATACAGATGTACGCATCCCAAATGTAAAAAGAATTTCTCGACAGGATATAGTTTGAAAGCACATTTGCGTACGCATACCGGAGAAAAGCCGTACAAGTGTCCAACCGAAGCATGCGATAAGAGTTTTAAGACTTCCGGAGATTTGTTGAAACACGTTCGGACACATACCGGGGAACGTCCTTTTTTGTGCCCATTCGACGGTTGCGGGCGCTCTTTTACCACTAGTAATATTAGAAAGGTAAAAATAAAATAAAATAAAATAAAATAAAGGAAAGAAAATTAGAAAAATAAAATTCTACTGTTGTATAGGTAATTAAGACCTGTTAATTATACGCATCTGTCCCTTGTGTACAACAGGTTCACGTTAGAACGCATACCGGCGAACGACCGTACAAGTGTACCCAACCTAAATGCGGGAAAGCTTTTGCCAGCGCGACAAACTATAAGAATCATATACGAATTCATTCAGGCGAGAAACCTTATGTCTGTTCTATCGAAAATTGTGGAAGGAGATTTACAGAATATTCTAGTCTATATAAACATCATCTTGTCGGTGTCGACTCTGGGATTATGACGATAATGCGTATCAATACCGCGGTGTCAAGCTTTATACGTTCTATTATTTTTTAGGTTCACACACAACAACGACCGTTCGAATGTAAAGTTTGCTTAAGGAGATACAGGCAAAACAGCACCCTTATAATGCATAAAAGAACGGCTCATGCGTTAGTCGACCACGAGGACAACGTCGACAACGTTGACAACGTTGATCCGTTCTGTCAAGAATCTGTTCAAGAGTCTTCTATTCGGAATAACGATAAGCGAAAGACGAACATTGAACGGGAAAGCGGCAATAGTCCGCCGTTAAAGGTGCCCGTCCAACTATCTTTCGTTACAAACACCTTTCAACGACATTATTGTTGAAAAAATTCCCTCTTACCCTTCCGTATGATTAAAGATTACAGAGAAAGACGGACAGATTCATATTTCCAAAGCGGTCGATGATGTAAACGAGAACGAAACGCAAATTCTATTGGTCGGTGATCCTTCGCAAATCGCAGCGTTACATGTTGGTTAATTTCTTTTGTTTTTTCCATTTCCCTTTGATTTATCTACGTGTTCTTTTCTCTATATCTTTCTGTATTTTCCTGTAAATAATCAAATAAAATACAATGTAATAACAGGATCGATCGATACAGTAAGTTTGAACTTTTCTTGTGTGTTTTGTGTTTGCAGAAGATCGAGATGAACAGTGAATTCGACGAGACTGGAATTGATACTTCGTTCGAAGAATTAAACATAAAAATCGAAGACATAGAACTAGGATGGAATTGATATGCTTTTAAAAAACGCATTATAATCAAACACACTAAACGTTCAGAGGGTAGTAGTTGCTTCTTTACGCGCGACCTATTATCGTTGCGCGTTCTTTCTTTCTTTTTTCTTTTTAAATATAATTTTATAACTATATCGGCACAATTTAATTACAGCATTGCAGATTAAGGCTAACTTTAGGTCTATCAAATTATCGAAACTAATTTAAGCAACAATTTGTTTCGCTTGTCGATACAAAGATATCATTCTAATTTATTCACTGTTATGAAAATATGTGTCCTGAAGAAACATTTTATAATTACTATCTAGTAAATAAATTAAACTGTAATTTTCGATCGGTGTTTTTGAAGGTATCGTATCGAATAGTACACTCATTGGATATTTTCGATCTTTTATTTTACATTTTTCTATATTTATTTATTTTATATATATATATATATATATTTTTTTTTTTTTTTTTTTTTTTATATATATCTGTATCGTCATTATTACAATTTAATAAAATTCTTCGAATCTCGATACTGTTTTTGACCGGTGTGTCAGAAAGATAACGTAAACGTACATTTATTTGATGCGAACAAATACTTGTAAATACATGAAGAAAAAAGCATGTAAGAAGTTAAAAATATAAAGAAAGAAAAAAAAGAAATGTTTTCAAATAAGATGTTTTGGATATCTGAAAAACACACGATTCTATGAGATTTCTTAGTTTGACGAAATCAAATGCGAATTCGATGATATTTTTTGTGAAGAAAAGGCAATTTGACGCGTAAATTATCCGTAAGATGCAGTTATTCCCGACGAGCACGAGAACCGAGAGGAACATCGATTGTTATTAGCATCAGTTTACTAACCAAATAACTTTATTAACGTGTCGAGATACAAGCTTTGAAAAATTCAACGAAGGAAAACGTGCTAGTTACGCGCGAACATTGCAATGGTCTTTAGTTATGTGTCGGATTCGATATGTTGTGAAATTATTTTAGTCCCCCTGTACCGAAACTTTCACATTTATTTCATTGTTCTACTTTATTTCTTTTCTTTTCTCTGTATTTTGACTCGTGTCTGTTGTAGTTTTTCTCTTCATAATAAATTATGGTAATTATTCGTTGACTCGAGCAGAAAAGGAAAAGTAATCTCTATTTTCAAATTATTGTAAAGATTTAAGAAAAAGAATTTCTGCTTTTATTTTTTCCGATTAATTTTTTGTCATTTTTTAAGATTGAAACCGTTAACCTTGGTATTTGACGCTGTTGAGAAATATCTTGGAACAAGGGTCGTTATGAAGTTACCTCCGAAAGTAGTACGAATACATAACTGGTCCTCGAAATGATCAGATCTTGTTTCTTATTCTCCCACCAAAAAAAAAACCAACATTTTTAGATGTTATTATACTTACGTACCTGTTGCTGGAACAAGTTCGTGTTTTATAGAATAAAGTTTGCGTACACTATTGTTGGTAGTTAAAAGTGATTTCAGCGGTCATCATTCGATAAATATTTATCATGACGGGATATGTGTTTGATTAATTTTTTTTTTTTTCTGTTGATCAGTAGCAGATAATAATCAGTTTTCTCTGGATTTCTAAAGAATTCTAAGTGGTGTTTCGGCAAGAACACAACGAAGAAACAGTTATTCGTTAGGTATTTGAAAAAAGTTTTAAACATATAATAAAGAAAGGAAGAGAAGGAATGTTAATTTTTGTACATTTCTTTTCTCAACTTTTCCATATATGATGTACATACGGATATGTATACGTTATGAAGTGCACGATAATGTACACTAAGGTCACATATATTATCGGTCGTTATATTATTTTTGAGAAATTCATTGCTCGGCAAAGTAGAGGTAAGTGTGTGGATATCGATGATGATAACGGCAAAAGTGGAAATTTCAAGAACAAAGAGTTAATTGAGTATGTAAACGACGAGAGGGATGAACGAAAATACAATATTGAAGAGACGTTTTAACGTGGCAGTTATCCGGTATTGAAAGGTCTGCGTGTATGCACTGTCGCGATCAGAATTTATTGTTACACATCGCGTTAGGGTACGTAAGTAGATATTTTTCTATCATCCACGGAGCAGAGATAGTGTATCTTGTTTCTTCGCTGCGACCGCGATTAACGCGTAACTTGGCAAACCTAACTTGTTTTTTCTCTTTTTTACTTCTTCTTTCGATAGCCTATTAATCTCCACACAATTATTCGATATCTCTTTAAACGCAATCTCACCGTAGAAGAAAGATAAATCGTTCTACTCCCATATAATCAGCAGCGAAAAGTTCCCAATAGTACTAAAGAAAATTAGACACGTTATCTAAGTTCGAAAGTAGGAGAGGACAATAAACAGGAGGAAAGCTTTCCTTATTCTTCTTTTCCCGAACTGTCTTTCTTTCTTTAATCTCTTAAAATTTTCTTAAGTTTCTTAATTTTCGTAAATTCACATGGTAGCGTTGAACCGAGCAACGAGTTAAATAATTAGCTAATAACAAGAGGTAACTGAAAGGTTACTGAAGTGTCTGAAAGAGGGGTCCACGAACAGAAGTATGTAGTACGATAACGCCGCTAAAGCATTTTTCCTTCCTTTTGATTACTAGTATAGAAGAAAAAAACGAAGGAAAAGAAAAGAAAAGGAGAAAGGATAAAGAAGGAAAAAGAATAAACATCGGGAAAATGAAAAATATCGATAATTAGTAAATAATTCGATGTAAAAAGTGAAGATGATGATGATGATGATGATGATGTTGTTGTTTATTGATATGAGCATCGTAAAAAAAAGCAAATATAATAGATGAAAAGAAAAATAAGCGGATGATGCGCAAGGACAAGACGGGCAAGAACATCATCTATCCTCTGCGCGATAAATCATCCGTGCGTTCGATCGATCTTGTCCTTCGATCTTTTAACTAGGAGGATGTATTGCGTTTTACAAAGTACGTATACCGATACACAAGTTACGTAAAGAGCATTTGTCAAAGGGAACATTTTTGTAGTGAACTGCGCGGTATTTGTGAAAATGGTAGTCGCGCGCTCCAGGGAACGTCCCTAACTTGAAACCGTGTAACAGTGACCATCAAAGCGATCATCATCAGTGTTTTGAAACGCGACATCGCGTTTCGTCACATCCAAGAAAATATTCCTCTTAACGAGCATCGCTACCGCTGCTGCTATTGCCGTTTCTCACAAAAGTATCTTTGTTTTGAAAAGAATCTATTGTTTCATCGTAATTGTCTCATCGGTGATTGGTGGAAAATCGAAAATCGAAAATTGGTTCGCGTCCTTGTTTCATTCATCGTTACATATTTGCATGTTCCTTGTATGCACAGAATCACGGGCAAAGGAATCTTCCTCGTTCGGTATCCGATTACATATTCGTTTCGTCAGTCATTAAGAGCAACAGGTAAGTAAATTTATGTCACATCGTGGCAGTAGATATACGCGTTGTATGAATTTTGAAAAGAATTTACTGTTACCGTTTCGCGCGTAATCGTCATTCGATATCTCTTCTTCTTACAGGATATCTATAGGTGGTCTGTTTTGAAAGAATAAAATAGGAAAAACAGGAAAAGAAGAAGAAGAAGAAGAAGGAGAAAGAGAAAATGAATGGTATAATTATCGATAATAGCTAGTGGTGGCCAACACTTAAAATCGTATCGGATATCTAGAGAGAGAGAGAGAGAGAGAGAGAGAGAGAGAGAGAGAGAGAGAGAGAGATAGGAAAAGAAGTGGTGAGTTTTGAAGGTCGTGAAATCGGAGCCTAAAAAGAGTTATCAGGCGATAATATCTACTTGACCGTTCATAATCCATTTCTAGTATCGCGGTAGCAAGAGAATAACGGGCGGCGACGATTCGCAAATGAACGGGTCCATCGCGAAAAACTAGATGAACCAACACGATAGCCATGATCGATCGGTTTCGATCGGCGAGTCCGAGAAGACGAATGATTTCCGAATTGTTCGAAGCTGCTCATCGCCAAAGTAAAATCTAGAAAACGAAGAAAGTGAACCGATGAAATATTTGACAAAAGTTTGCCTTATATCTTGGTCACAGATCTTTGCCAACAGTCGTCGTTGTTCGAATACTTTGACCAAAAAGAATGTCGAAGAAGCAATGGATGGTCCTGTTGATGCTGTTCTTAACTTATTTGCTATTAGGTGCTTTCATCTTCTACCATATCGAGAGTCGATTAGAGATCGAACGCGTGGAAAAGGCGAAGCGAGAACAGATTGAGATTAACGGTGAGCACAGGTGTACTTGTACCATCTTTCTTACCATTTGAAAAAATATCACCTCATTGTAGTTAGTAACGCATCAGCTTGCCTAACTGCCACTCCTTACGAACGATCGTTTAACAAATTGACCGATTCGCCTCATTGTGTCAGTATATCTATTATATTTGCAATCGCGTCGGTGGACTGAATGAGACGAGCAGAAAGATGAAGGACATAGAATCGGTCGTTGCAAATTCGGAAAGATTCTAAATGTAGAGTAAAAAACGTGTAGGATAACGTTTTCGCGTTTCGATTCGATCGAATCGCGGATGTCGACGCTTCTGTGTTGCTAACTCAAGCAAACGAGCACAACATAAACACGATAAATAATACCGAACGATAAGATAAAATAGGTATGTTCGGGAACAGCATCGTATAGATTCGAGATTACAAGTGTATAGATCGAACCGCGCTGTTCGTATCGAAAATGAAAATAAAATGAAAATTTCTAGTTTACTCTTTCAGTCGAACGTACGCAACTCGAATACGATCGATTAAGTAATAAAAAATTACTTTACGAGGAATTCAGAAGGATTATTTTTAATAAGTTAGTTGTCCTTTCAGCTTTGCTGCAGGAACATTACATGCCCAGCGATACTCACGATTACGATGAAATTTTTGAAAAATTGTCAGTCTATTGCGGAAAATCGGTTTCCAACTATACCGAAGGCAAAACGGATCCTCTTAAATGGGATTTCTACAACAGTTTTTATTTCGCTTACACGGTCGTCAGTACAATTGGTACGTAGGTATATCATCCGTTACCACGATGAAAAGAAGTTGCTCTCCTTTTCTCGAAGCTCTCGAAATAATGAATAAAAATTTACAGGTTACGGAAACTTGGCTCCAACGAACATGCTTAGCCGTATCCTGATGATATTTTACGGTCTAGTCGGCATACCTATCAATGGAATTTTATTAACACAGTTGGGAGAATTCTTTGGCCGTGTATTCGTGAAAGCGCACGAAAAATACAAATCGTACAAACAGAGTCGCAACGATTATTACCCCCGAAAATTAACAACCTTCGAAACGCGTAAAGTGGGACTGGCTATTCAGATATTGGTACACTTATTGCCTGGATTCGTCATGTTCATCTTTTTCCCGGCATTTCTCTTCTCTTATTACGAGGGTTGGAGTTACGACGAATCCGTCTATTATGCATTCGTCACACTGACAACCATCGGTTTTGGAGATTACGTAGCAGGTCAGAGAGCGTTTGCTCACTTTTTTTCTTTGCCTTCCAAGATCGTGCTTTCTATTATTGAATGAAAAATAAGAAATTTTCTAGCCGCGACACGTATGAAAATCGTTAGTATATCCTAGAAAAAAAAAAAGTACCGATAAACTTGTATCGTATTCGACAGGAAAGGACAACACTAAAGGCAGTGGAATTTTCTTTATTCTATACAAAGCTTTCTTGATTTGTTGGATCTCTTTCGGATTAGGATACACCGTTATGATCATGACTTTTATCGCACGAGGAATGCGTAGTAAAAAGATCATTAGGATCGAGCATAAATTGGCAGTAAACTTGAAGCACACGCAAAGCAAAATTTGGAACGAATTAAACAAGGAAATGAATTATTTGCGTCGTGTGTTTAACGAACTTCAGCTATCGAAAGTGAAGGTAAGTAAAATGTAATCGCCAAGAAAATGAACCACCGACAAGGAGGATACATCTATGGAATATAGTTTCGTTTCGTTTCGTTTCGTTTCGTTTCGTTTCGTTTCAGAGGATATACGTCGACGAATGTAATTACGAAGTTCCGTTATCAAAATCTCCTAGAAGTAATAGTTTCCCTGATCTTCGGGATTTATTGTACGGTAAGAAAGATAAGGACGGTATTTGTCAACGACCACGACGACGCGCCAACAGCGAAGTAGTACCAACGGTAAGGATGGAATATTTCGAAATTTTTCGAAATAACATTTTGGTAATATTATACATGTATGTTTGAATACACAGGAAGATGAAATAACGCGCGTCGTCTCGGAGACGGATCTTCAAAGGATCGACAAAAGGGCTACGTTCGCGACTCATGCGATGGTTCAGCCGGCCGAATTGCTTGCGAGATTAGTGAATATTCTTGGTTACATACCTCCCGCCGCGGAAGATCCCATCGGTGTTGCCGATTGCTCTAATCCTAATCAGACAAGTTTCGTTGAAGAGAACAGCGATACTGGTGTTGTTGTTGGTCGTTATAGCAAAATCGAGGATAACAGCGAGAAAGAACTACTGGCGAAAAAGGAATCTATGTACGCGTCAAGTTCCGGTGGACACGGAGGAACCTGGACGATCGGACACGATAAAATTCCACGATTTCTGAAACCTCGTTCGAGAGCAGTCAGCGAAGTTCGACTGAACGAGAGGAGATATCTGTCGGATCAACGAAGCAACGAACGAACTTGGTCCGGTCCAACCGCTGCTAGAAAGATGCAAGAATTGATGAAAACTGCTAATTCTGAAATGCCTAACGAATCGTCCAACAAAGATCGCAGCCAACTTAAAGATGCCAAGTTTTCGAAATTCCGCAGCTTCGCGTTAGCGAAAAATTGGTTCTCCAGTACCAGTACCGAGAAAAAGACTTTGGAGTCTGAACGCGAGATTAACCAGAAAGACATCGCGACTCGTTCGTTGGTATCGGGACGTTACGACGACAAACGGCGAGACTCGAAAAGTTCCGTCGTATCGAATTCGACCAGACATTACTACACTCATACGGGTGCCGGTAACCCCCCAATCGAGTCGGAAGGTAGCAATCTCCTCGAAGAGACCAGCGTGGCAGATTTTTTTAGAGCCCTTACTCTTCTTCATGCGAGTGTCGCTACCAGCGGTAGTTGGACCGCCTCTGCCACCGACAACGACGATCATCTTCGTCGAAATCAACCTCGACGAAAAATGGGTACCGCTTCTTTGACACCGCCGAAACTTCCCAGTCTATTCACTTTGTTTTCGTCTCCTCAGCCAACGACGACAACAACGGCGACGTTGCAAGAGTCAAGCGTAAACGATAACAACAGCGTTTACGATCGTGGTGAATCGAGAAGAAACAGTTTGACCTTCGTCAAGCCTACAGTCACGAAATCAAGAAGGTTTTCTTTGAGACCGGTTGCGACACCCATCAGTCCTCCGACACCTCCGAGAAACACCGGTTCGCCATTCTTATCGGTAAGTAGCTGATGATTTATGAGATACATAGATAAATATTAAATATGTTAAATAAGTACAATTTTTTTTTTCTTTTCTTCTTCTGTTATCGTTCAGGGCTCACGACGAACATCGTACGTAAATAGATCAACGTTTTCCTTCGAATCGCCCAAGGAACCTCTAATTACAACGGAACAAGCACCGGGCCTTTCGTCGCCGATAAAATCATCGTTTAACGGGCGTCGTTTCTCCTTACGACCAATTCCGAATCAACCTGTCATCGGTGTTACCACGGCCAAACCTTTACCCCGTTGGAAAGGTGGAATGTTGCAACGGCAAATCGGACAGATGAATCTTCGACGTCGCGCCAGAGCTTTTAGTCTTAGCGATGTTCAGCCTTATAATCCAAAGGGCACAAGCGACCGAATCCGTAAGAACGTCTTTATGCACCAAGTCTCGAACGATGGTAAACCTGTAGTATCGAGAGTAACGAATATCGAGAGTAACGTACAGCCAACAACCTTGAACACAATTTCGGATAATACAATTGATCCTTCCAACGAATCTACTTCGTTCGCTACCGCTGACAATAAAACAGTTGAAAATAATACGAAGAAAGAACAACTATTCACCGACAATCACGCCTATACCACCTCGTCGTTAGTAGAAGTGAAAGTTGAAAATCCAGAGGTTAAGAATACCGTTGAACGTTTCTTTCCGAAAACCAAAAATGAAAGCGAAAGCGAAAACGAAAGCGAAAAGAAATCCTGATATTCGACGTTTCTTCGAAGCTACGAGGTATCATTTATTAACAAAGAAACAACACTTTTTATTAAAGATGCGAAAGAATGCAATTTTTATTTTCAGCTATTCTATATAATAAATTAAAAAAATCATTTAAATTACAAAGACGCGTCTATACGCTTTCTAGCCTTTTTCTTATCTCTTCGATTAAATTTGTTCGAGAAACTGAAACCTCTCTGCGAGACGCAACATCTCTCAAAGTAACTTCACCCCTTGCCAATTCTCCTTCACCGATTATTACAGCTAACGGTATATCGTTCTCTTCGCAGTGCTGTAACTGCCCCAATAATTTTGGATTCTTTTTGTACGAATGCTCAACCTTGAATCCAGCATCCCAAAAGGTAGATAAAATTCGCATCCTTTCCTCGTGTAGATTCTTTTGCGCACTTGCCACAAACACTTGGACTTCTGTAGTACGTGTCTTTAAACCATCGCGATTCAACTTTGCTTCCAGGACGCTGAAGATGCGTTCCACGCCTAACGATAGACCAACACACGGAACCGACCTTTTCTTAATGTCAAACATCCCCACCAAATTGTCGTAACGTCCACCGCCTGCAACGCTACCAACGCCAACGCCGTCGCCACCTGAAAATCAACGATAAACAACCCTTCTTTCTTTGCTTTCGTTCTGTACTTGAAACCATCAAGCACGATCGATACCGAAAACTTACCGGTCAATATTGCTTCGAATATTACACCCGTATAATAATCGAGCCCTCTGGCGAGACTGAGATCAAATCTTACTTTGTCCTGTACTTGGAAAATGTTGCAATACTTGAACAACAGTTCCATAGATTCCAAGCCTTTCACCGCGGATTCGTGTTTCATCAGAGCCGTGTCGTTTTTCAGTTCATCGATAAGTTCCACTCCACCGGACCGCGATACGTACGTTCCAATTCTTTCAGCAATCGATTCGTCCAACCCTTTTTCTTCCACTAATTCCTTCCTCACTTCTAGCCATGGAGTTTTGTCGAGTTTATCGATCGCGGAACAGACACCACGAAACTTATCGTTCGAAACACCACACGCAGAAAATATACCGTCCAGTAACGATCTATGGTTCAATTTGATCGCATAAGGTCCTATATTCAACGACTGTAGCGCTTCAGATACAATACGAATGCATTCGGCGTCAGGTATCATCGGATCGTATTGGCCGGCTATGTCGAAATCCTTTCATGGAAAAAATGGAACAAGTTAAATTCACCGTTATCGTCGTTATTATTATCAATGATATAATAAGTGTTTCACACTTACGCACTGATAGAATTCTCTGTATCTACCCTTTGTCGTGGCCGGATTGTCCCGTCGATAAACTTTTGCTATGTGATATCTCTTGATGGAAGAAATTTTATTCATAGCCAAATACCTAGCAAAAGGTACAGTCAAATCGTATCTGAGGGACAAGATTTCTCCACCTTGGTCCTTTAAGTCATAAATTAGTTTCGAATCTTCTCCATATTTTCCTGTTAAAATTTCCTAAATTGACAACATTTTTCAAATATTAATGCTAAACGTATCGTCAAAAATTCATACGATTGAAACGTACCTTTAATTCAAAGACAGGTGTATCTACAGTCTCCGCGCCGTGTCTTTTAAATACTGTTATTATTTTATCCAATACTCCAAGCCGTAGCGTCATCTGTTCAGGACCGTAATCCCTTGTACCTTTCGGCGTTTTCAGAATAACCTTTGACGGTGCAGCATTCTTTTCTGCCTCGGATTCAATTTTCACCTCCGACAATTTCTCAATCTCCTCTGCTATCTATGAAAAAGTATAATAGTAGTCGGTTAAAAATAGTAGTCAGTTAATTAGAAAAATCGATGTACGATCGTCTCTAAATTTTTAGACTTTCTACGTAAATTGGCGTTTTTCTTTTTTTTTTTTTTTCTCTCTTTTCTAACTCGTTAAAGGAAATAATATGCTCCATACCTTCAGTTTCGAAGGTACCGTCGTGTAACAATATTTTTGCCCAGGAAAAATGGCATTGATCCGCATCAAGCGCAACATTGCGAATAACGCAATCGTTTGAAAGAACCAGAATGAAAGAGAAAAGTCCACCTCAATCAAAACTAGTTGAAAGAACAAATGTAGTATCATGTAAGCGAGCTGGCAAGCAAGTCCTATGAATTATATCGTTTACATGACAATACCGCGACTAAGGAGGTACCATCTATGCATAGATCAATCGAATATCGTTTCTTAAATATACCAGCCTAACCAAGAAGACCAAAGTTGCAACTTATAGAATAAATAATTTATAGCTCTGCTTGCAAGCTAGCAACTACCTTTCTCACCTTTCGGTTTATCTTACTATGATCAGAAAGACAAAGGTTGTTTATGGAATCAACCCTGTTTGCCAACAAAGTGGCAGGTCCTTTCGGATCAGGAAAGGCTAAGCGTTCAACTTGGCTAAAGCTTTTGATATGGTTGAACCATCTTTGCAAGTGTGGCCACATTGAAAGCTGATCACCAAAGATGACACAAAAATCAAAAAGAATCGCATCTTTTGTGGTAGGTACCCAGCCATATACGTAACTGATATCCGCAAAATCGTTGTTTATATTTTTCAACTCTGTTACTATATCCCAAGAATTCGTGAAATCCTGAAGAATTGAATACGATGCGACACACTTACCTTCGTAAAATGTTAAGATAAGTAAAAGAACGATGATTCTTTTAACCGTAATATAATAGATAAACAAATGTAATATATATACAAGTAAAGGTAAGAAATGGTAAGAAAATCTGAAAATGGAACACTGCCTATGTAAAAAATAATCAGCTGCGAACAATGAATAAGATTGTAAAAATATGAAAATCGGAAGAGCACATGATAAGGAAAGTTAGGCGTTGCCAGAAGGTACATACATACTCGATTTCACGTTGATAGGTTAAAATAAAAAAATTTAAAAAAAATACAAGTTTGTTATTTTGAAATCAGAAAAATAATTAGTTGTACCTTGATATCGTCGACTTTTATGGTTTTTAGTTTTCGCACAACCACTTCTTCTTTTACTCGGTCCAATTGTCTTTCTTTGATTTCGTCAGCCATCGCGCGTACCTCAGTCTTTCCTCGTTCAAGTCCAATCCCAAACGTTCCACACAACGCGGCATCACTGTTGCTATCAAATAGGTTATATTCAAATTTACTATAGTCTGCTCACTCTGTTTATCTTAAAATCGTATAACATTTCCCCCCTTTCTTGCATCATACGAATGTTCCGTAAAGAAAATGTTCATGTCATACTTATTTCTTCTAGATTAGAGGTTTTAAACGTTACCGAAGCACAAACATACGAATGATGCAACTGTCAGTTGTACATATAGTAAAGACCGAATTTTGAGACCGAAACGAAGATGGAGAATAATTATCAGGAAACGTGGAAAATCTTGATGGCATTGATGGATTTGCTACTCGCGAAGCACTCATTGCTCGTATTTCTCATTGAGTAATTGTGCCAATGTAGATGTAATAAGGGGTTTTCTATGCCGAAAGCCTTTTTCCCCTACTCGTGTGTGAAATTGGTTTAATTTATTTATTATAAAATAGTGTTTATTAGAATGTAAGGTGTAGTTAATAAGTGAAAGGTATTATATAAATGAATAAAAGTTGAATGTTCCATATATATATATATATATATTAAAAGATGGGATGTGGGAAAATAAAGCAGTAATATTTTATTATAAATTTTTTTTTTATTCATGAAAACATATAGTGAATTTTTTACTGAACTTCAGTTCTAATTTAATTATACGTATCGATACCATTCCTAATTGATGTATGTATATCGATAGGTATCGATACCAAAAATCGATACAATTAAGAAATATGCTCATCACTAATCGATACTGTATGTACATCACAAAGCATGAATATGTAATAAATTAGAAAGCATGAACAGCAGGTAAATTACCTACACTGCAAATTGGGGTTAGACATAACCCATTAGGACCGATGTGCAAACGGAGTCGAGACATAGAATAAGGAAAACATAGATGTTCCATCGCAAGTTAAGTTGAGACATGGAGTAAGGAATACGAAGATCTTCCACTGCAAATTGGGTGCAGACATGGAATGAGGAAGATATAGAGTTTTTTCAACACAGGAAAACTTTGCTTTGGGAAAGAGTATTTCGCGGAAAGGTCGGTCCCGTAATGTACGGTATGCGGAAAGTTTGTGTTCGGAAAAGTCAATTTATCCCCTGTGGCTGGGGGTTTAGAATACAGCCACGGTAACCCCTGCCTGTCGTAGGAGGCGACTAAAAGGGGACGTTGCTACTGCTGAAGTAGCTTCGATGTCAGGCCTGGGGCATAGGCATAGCAAGTATATTTACCTATTATTGATTTTAGAGCAAGGTTTCTTATGTATATACCGGCAATTTTACCAATTTGCATATTGTTGCCTTCCTATATTTAAATAAACTATTATTTCCTATGCCCTACTTTCTACATTCCAAGTTATCTTTCTAACTAACTGTTTTATTGTAGCATACGTTTGAGAATACGCGCAGCCATGATGGCGCTTACGGACGATCGATTTATCGATCGGGAGTCGTCCATCTAGGTGAACGCGAGAGCAGTGGTCTTCTCGCCGGCTCGCGCGCAACGACGCCATTATCGAGCATCGATTCATCAAGCTCGGAATCGTGTTCACTGGATTGTTGAATATAGTTAGTTTAAGTGCAGTTCAGACGAAAAATATGGACCATCGAACGGTCGGTGAAACGCTCAAGATCCGCAGCAACAGTGCAAGCGACCGGATCAATTACAGGATTAATTCATTGTACACGCGAGCCGCCAACCACGCGTCGATCACCCACATGTTCACGGCCACCATCAAAAGCAGCGGGCTGAATTTATATAATTAACGGCGCTTATTTGCTCTCTGCTAGCACTCTTGTAAATTCTCTATTCAATTTGTATATACCTTTGTCGAAATAAGATGCCACATTTATTCAATATATTTTATATTCCATGACTAAGCCTACTGTCATGGCTACCCGTTTCGTTTCCGACCGTTGTTACTTATTACCTATAAATATGTTATTTTTGCAATTATAGTGCGGTTGGAAGTATTCCAAGTCTCCGATCGACTATTTATATGTAAGTTTGATTGCTTGGTGTAATATTTTTACTTGTTTTATCTTATTTCCTTTGAGTGTCCTAACTCTCACCCTAACCCCTTCGCCTAACCCTAACCCTAGCATGGTAGGTGTGTATGTGCCCTAGCATGTTAGGGTTAGGACACGTACCCTAACTCTAACCCCTTCCCCTCAACCTAACCGCTTTCGCCTAACCCACTAACCCTAACCCCTTCGTCTAACCCTACCCCCCCCCCCCCCCCCCCTTAACCGTAACCCCTAACCCTAACCCTAACCCTAACCTCCTTAACCCTAACCTCTAACCATAACCCTAACCCTAACCCCCCCCCTTAACCTTAACCTCTAACCTGTAACCCTAACCCTAACCCTAACCCTACCCCCCCCCCCCCCCTTAACCCTAACCCCTAACCCTAACCCCTTTAACCCTAACCTCTAACCATAACCCTAACCCTAACCCCCCCCTTAACCTTAACCCTAACCCTAACCCTAACCCTAACCCTAACCCTAACCCCCCCCCCCCTTAACCTTAACCCCTAACCCTAACCCTAAACCTAACCCCCTTAACCCTAACCCCTAACCCTAACCCTAACCCCCCCCTTAACCTGAACCCCTAACCCTAA